TGACGATTACTAATGTATGAAATGTTGAGTTGTGTTGGAGAAAGGGAGCGAGGGGCGACTATGAATATGTATATATATATATGTATTTATTTATATTTAATAGTAGTAGTAATGCTGATACAGCGAGTATATCCTAATTGGGGCACGACTCCCAATGTGTGTCCCAGGCGCGCACCTGCAATGAATATTTGAATTAATATGGGAGCAGCTCTTTACTATATAAACAACTCTCTCTCGCTCTCTCCCTCTCTCACCTGACATTCTCGACTGCAGTACCATTGATTCTGGCAGCCGGCGCACATGTAGGTGGCCTTATAGCGTTCACATTGCTGGCAGCGACGCTCCAGCTCTTCCGGCCCATTCATAGTGGAGCCCATGCGCTTGCTAATATTGTTATTGCTATTGCGATTGTTTGGATTTGAGCCACGGTCCAGCGAGTCCAGACCCTGCAGCAGCTCCGCCCGCCGATACATGGAATGTACTTCGTTGTACTGGAATAACCAAAAGGAGTCATAGGGATTATATGCAAGCCAATGCTGTGGATGCAGTGCACCTACTTGCTTATTTGTATCGTTGCTTTTGCGCTGATTGCCTGCCGCCAGTGGGCTGCTGTTGTACAACGGCTTGAGTGGCATCTCATTATCAAAATGATTGTCCAGCGAATTGGTTTGGCTGCGTCGCGCGTCCGGTGGCTGTTGGCGATATGAGGAGCTGGCAGCGAGATCCGTTGCAGAGCCTGTCAGCTGCTTGGATTCATTGATCAGCTGCTGATAACTGCAAATGGAATTGTTTAAAGAGCTGAACTAAACCAGAACCTAAGGCTATATGCTCGTACCGTGACTGTGGTGGCTGTAGTTTATTAGGCTTGCCAAGCAACTCCTCAGGCTGTTCTCGGCGATAATCCTCGTGCACGGCAGCAGAGCGTCCATAGATACTGGAGCGATCGCCCACTATGGGAGGCAGTGATGCACGCATAGCAGGCACAGAGTTGCGTCTGTGCAGCTGTTGCGTCTCATAATGCTGTGGCGGCGGCGGCGGCATGGACAGCTCGGCGCAGGACGGCGATTTCTCCTGCAGGCCCAAAGCGCTGGACCATTAAAGAACAAGTTAATAAGTTCATTAAAAGATGGCAAATCTCTAAGCAAACATACCCGCGCAAGATTTTAAGATCATCCAGTCCGTTTTCCACTCTGTTAATCAGCTGCTCCACTGCGCTGGAACCATGACGCGAGGGCATTGGCGCATTTTGTTCGTTGTGCAGCAATGCATGCATTTCATATAGCTCCGATGTGCTGCAGTTTTTGTTCAGAATCGAGGGCAGTATCTCCTTCATGATAAGTATGCGCTCCTTGCGCTCAATGCGCGCTAGCAGTTCCTCCTTGATGCAGCGCAAGTGCAGCAGACGATTATGCTCCTCCTCCTTTTGGGTAATCAAATTATCCAGCGTCTTGATGTCCGCCTCAATGCGCTGCTTCTCATTGGCATAGGACTTGAGCTCCGGCTTGACGGCGCGCACCTTATCACTCATTATCTCGTCCAGCTCCGTGTACAGCTCCTTGACGCGCTGATGAAAGACCGCATCGCTGTTGCTGTTGTTCAGATCAACTGAGGATTTATTGCGTGGTTGTGCTGACGCGGGCGCCGCAATGGTTTGTGTTTGCCTGGAGTTGGATTCGGAGCGCTGCTTTGGACGCGGCGGCAGCTGTTGCTGCGCCGGCTGCTGCTGCTGTGCCTGCTGCGGCTGCTGCTGTGGTGGCTGCTGATGTTGCTGTGCCGGCTGCTGTTGCTGGGGCGGCTGCTGTTGCTGTTGCTGCTGCTGGTGAGCGTAGGGTGTGGCAAATATGTGCGCCTCATGTGCTGCCTGCTGCTGTATAACGGCTGGCGCGCTGGCTGTTTGAGCTAGAGGCTCGGCGCTTGTCTTAATGTCAGCCAACGACTTCTCATTGGGATAGACTATCTCCATGGCTTCCACGGGTGGTGTGGGCGTCTCTAGGCTATACGAGATGGCAGCCATGTCTACAGCCTGCGACTGATGCATCGTCTTCTTTTGCGCATAGAAGTCCATGTCGCTAGACGGTGTCAATGTGAACGGTGAGCCCAATTTGAGCACAGACGTGCTTGATGGTGACTCAGTGTTGGATCTGGATGCCAACAGCTGGGCAACAGCTGCTTGACTGATGCTTGGCTTATTCAGGGGCGCTGTCGGTGGTGTTGGACGTGGTAATTGTGCTGCTGCTGCAACTGCAACTTGCTGTGCTGTTGCCGCTTGCTTTGCAGGAGTTGCATAAACAGGCGAAAACTCTATAATGTCATCATCCATATCTTGGGTTGGCAACGACTTGGTGCGCTTATCCACATGCGGCTCAGTCGATGGCGGCGTGACTGAACGACGGCGTTTGAGTGTGGCCTCTTCCAGAGGCATATCCAAGCTAGCTCTAGACTCAATTGCTGCCTTATAGCCCAGGTCCAGGGCAGGCAACATCTGCATCTCCTGCTGCTGCTGCTGCTGTATGCTGTTATTACAGCCGGCGGCTTCTTCTATAATCGGCTCTGCAGCTATGGCCGGCTTCATGGTCAAGAACTCATCCAGCACGGAGCCATTTTCAGCTGGCGTTGCCTCACTCTCTATTTCCAGTTGCAAAGTGAAAGGCGGTGGCGTCTTTGAGGCCACCTGCTGTTGCGGCTGATTGCCTGCTGCCGGCGTGTCGGTGGGCTTCTCCGGCGAGTCTTCATTCTCGGTATCATCCAGGCAGATCAGCTCCGGCGACAAGCTGCCCGTGTGGCTGCGACTATGACTGCGGCTGGGCGTGCGTCCACTGCGTCGTCGCTCTTGTTGGCGCGTCTGCTGCTTCCGTTCAATGGCCCGTTTTGCAGCGCGGTATTCGGCCATGCGCCTCGCCTGCGCCTGAATTTTGGGCAGAGCGCGCCGCAGCTGGCTCATGTAGTCGATCTTATTGCTAACCCGTTGATTAAGCCTGAACGTAAAAAGCTATTTAATACGCACAAGTACTTGCAGAAAAAATATAAAATATGCATAGAGCTCTCTTTCGGTTGTCACTTTGAATGATTCGAGAGAACATTTCAAATTGACATAACAATTTCTTCGAATACGAATTCTGCTGGTTCTTGTCATTGAGATGCCAAGAAAATGGATTAATTAGCTTAAAATTTTAACTATTTCATCTAAGATTAATGTTCATATGCTTAAACCTTTTTAGCTATATATGCTTTGTCGGACAACCTATAAGAAAATTGGACTCCCTTACATATCTCAAGCCATAGACTGCTCGGCAAGGATCTCTAACCAGACAATGCTGGTAAATCGGTTATTGAGAACTGTTAAGGATCTGCCAAATTATAATAATTGTTCAGAGTATATACCATTTTATGCTGCGTCGCTTGAAATACAGATTTGCCTGAATGTCCCGCTGCATTTGCTTAATCTGACGCTGCGTATGCTCCCGATTGGACGGCGGCTTCGTTGACGCGGCGGCGGCGGTGGCATCCAGGTCGTCCGAGAGTTTGCGGGGCGTGGTGGAGGTGCTGTCGGTTTTGGTCGGTGAGCTGTCATTGGATTTGGATTTGGCTGATTTGGCGGGCGTTTGCTTGCTGACAGCCACATCCATTAATGCATCGTCGTCCTCGTCGTGGCTGTATTCATCGCTGCTCAGTTGCGAATTAGACGAGTCGTAAATTTCCACGTTCGACATGGTTGAATTTGTTGGAACTGCACACAGACACACACACACACACACACGCACACTCAGACTTAACTGAAATCTAAACACATGTAGTACGAGATCATATAATTATATGTTTGCTGGGCCATACTTACACGCTGCTCACGTTTTGCACAAATTCAATTTTTTTTTTCGCTCTTGCAAAAAAGCGTCGCGTCTGCCGGCAGAAATGGCTGTTGTTGCCCTTGGTGCCGCCTCGCGAGTGCTTACCGTACGGTTGCTCAATAAGCAAAGCTGCGTTTGGTTTGTAATCTGCGCACAATCGACCAAATGGCTATTGGAATAGTACTTCTTTTCTTAATTGTTTTCTAGCATTGCAAAAAAAAATTTTGCGGCGACGACGGCTTTTATTCGTGTATAGATAGTGGAGGATGGCAATAAAAGAAGAAGAAATGTTTTTGCTGTTACTGACAACAGTGCGCCCAACAGAGATTGAGCCGTTAACATTTGGTGAGTCTGTTAAATAACATACGTTTTGCTAATAACATCTCGGTTAAGCGATTTATCTATTCTTAAAGCTATTTTAAGATAATTTAAAATATTTTCTATGCTGGTGGTCAAAGAGAGTTGAATACAAAACGTGTTTGACACAGCAAAAAGTTAATTGGCAAATTGTCAATTTGAGCGGACATTTGTTTGGCATAACATTTAATGTTATTGTAACCAGAATTTATCAAAATTAGGGGAAGGTGAGGAGTACATATTTTAAAACTTATCGAAAATCTATCGAGCATTAAAACTTATCGATGCTGCATAAAGCAACGATACTTTTGTGTTATCAAAGCTCTAGTTTTTAAATAACAACAATTTGCATATGCTGCTCTAGAAGCATATCAAATAGAATTATTTATAGATACGCTACTTTCACGTCAAAGCTATAGTAAAACATATCAAAAATATGCCAATTACATTTAAAAATACTCACAAACGGAATGCTCATTATCATTTTAAGTAGATTTTTAGCTGATAATTTGACGCAGATCGAACATAGAGAGACAGCAGCCAATACAAATACATACGAATATGAACTGCGTGTGTATGTGAATATATGAATATATTTATGCATATGTATATGTATGTGTGTGTGTGTGTGATACCGATATTAATAGCGTGTAATGACTTGCATTCGTTCAAATGAACTATGGCCACCTTGCAGGGTCGTAAACACACACACACACACACACACCCACACACACACACACGTATATACATATGTATAAATATGTGGGAAGCGTGTTTGATTTTTTCTATCTTGGCTGCTCGCCTCGGACGACAACTACGACAAGCGCTTAGGTTCTCGCAATTGATAACGGTAAAGGGTGATTAGTTTATTAATCATCGATATCAGCACCGTCAATGGAACTAGGGCAAACAGTTGGAAATATTTCGGCATTCAGTTGATCACAGCAGCTGGCTGTGCAAGCAAGGAAGTCGCTTGTTTCCGTGCGCGCGTTTTCTAAGAAATACCACCCCCTGCCCCCCCCTCCCTCCACCTCTTCCGACCTGTCGCTAGCACATCTGATCGGTAAGTGATGATCATTACTACTAATGATAATTAGCTATGATGATTAAGCATATCTTTGAAGAAGAAGACCTGTTTTCAAGTGCACATCATCGAATGCCATAGTTCAATGGGCAATTTTATCCAGATATCATTATAACTGTTTATGTTACGTTACGTTACGTTACGTAAAGGTCTTGGAGGTTAAAGGAGAAATCAAATAATTTGAATAGTCCTTGCTTAACGAATTATCTAAATGAACCAGTTATTTGGAGAACCGAAACAAGCGGGACGCCGGTTCGAATCTCAGCTTGAAGGCCGCTTCAGAGCTTAATTATTTATAACGACATTCTCTATTATAATTCTATACTAATTTTATATTATTAACTAGATTTCTTATCTTCAGTTTCATGATGGTCTCGCTAACGGAGCTGAAAAAGCATACAATATGCCATATGATAATCGCAATAACATTCTTCTCCTGCGGCCTGCTCTGCAATATCGCCCAATTTCTGCTGTTGATCCTGGTGAAGCCCTTTAATCCCACACTGTTCCGCAAGCTAATGTATTATCCGTGCTATGCCTTCTACTCCCGTAAGTCATGAACTCAGCCCATTTCAAGTATTTCGTTTTGATGTATTTCGTTTTATCTAATACGATGCAGAGCTGGTTTCGGTCACCGAGTGGTATGGCGGCGGCCGGGTGCACGTGTACATGGACAGCGAGGACTTGAAGATCGCCGGCAAGGATCACGGTCTGATGATCATGAATCACACTTACGAAATTGATTGGCTGTGCCTGTGGATGCTGCTCGAAAAATTGGAAATTTTGGGCACCGCCAAGGCGTTCGCCAAGAAACCCATCAGGTATATGCCGGTGCTGGGCTGGGCCTGGTGGATGGCGGAGTTTGTCTTCCTCAATCGGGACTTTGACAAGGACAAGGAGATCATTGCCAAGCAGCTGAGGCTTGTCTACTCGTATCCCGATCCCGTTTGGGTATTGCTCACAGCCGAGGGCACACGCTTCTCGGCCGCCAAGCACGAGGTATCCGTGAAGTTTGCCCAGGAGAAGGGCATGACCCCGCTCAAGCATCATTTGATACCGCGTACGAGGGGCTTCACGACCAGCCTGCCCACGCTGCGCGGCATCTGTCCGGCTATTTATGACATCAATCTGGTATTCAAGCGCGACTCAAAGGTGCCCGTGAATCTGAATTCCATATTGAGCGGCGAGACAGTGGAACCATATATCTTTATTCGACGCATCCCGTTGGAGCAAGTGCCCGAGGGCGAGAAAGAGGCCGCTGCCTGGCTGCAGAATCTGTACATTGAGAAGGATCGCATTGTCGACAGCTTCCATGAGACGGGCAGTTTCTTCAAGACGTCGGGCATCAAAGAGGTGCCCTGCACCATCTACAATCCGCGCATCAGCAGCCTCATCAGCTTCGCCGTGGTAGGCAGCTGCTCCATGCTGTCGATCTTGTACTATTTTGTCGCATCCTTGCTGGCGGCTAACTGGTCTGGCCTGATAACCATTATGACCATATTTGTGATATGTAAGTATACGGCTTATTTCATTTGTATTTCAATTTCATCAACTGATATGTTTTTCCACCTGCAGTTTTCCTGCTGCTGAGAAAGGCGAACAACATGTCAAAGATCAGCAAAGGTTCCACATATGGTGTCGCTGGTGGCAAATCGAAGACAAATTAGTTATCAGTTCAATATTCTATACAATAGGGAAGTTTACGTTTGATGAATTTGCAACTAAAAAAGAGGCGTGTCCGCACCTTAAAGCTTGTTGATTCTTTGACGGGGATTAAGGCGAGCTGTACATATGTATATGCATAGCGATTTAACGATTTTTTTTTAATGATTTGATAATAAAGAATGCAAAATAAAGCTAGCTTATATATTTGTAGGAATTACATGTCTGGACTTTGGCATAGACTGCTGACAGACACGAAAATGCTTCGTTTGCCCTCGCTACACATTTAGTTCATAAAAAAAGTAACATTTGTCAATGAGTCAGGCTGATTAGATAAACATAATTGTGATTATAAGTGTACTATAAGAAACGCAAAATTTTGGAAACAGTAAGCGCGATAAAGTATTGGCAGCATGTTTATCAGTCTTTCTACCAATAAACGCTTGCCGCTTTATTGCAATCGTTGGCTGATATGAACTTGAAACGAACAACATGTAGATGTTTATGTGATAACTATTTAAACAAACGCAGTAACTTAAGCATATGAATTTTATATTTTCGCAATTATTTTAAGGTTATGTTTTGCAGAGCTTTTGGTATTTCAAATGTTGCTGTTTGGCGCGTAAGCTATTTTGCGCACAAGGCTTAGGCCAGGGCGGCACTAGCAGCTGCTGAATAATCGATATGTGCTGTTAATCTTATCGATAGTTATATTGATTGCGGGCCGCGCTAGGTACACGGAAAAAAAAACATAAACAAAAGGCAGTAAGCGGAACGCACAACTTCTATGAGTTGTTTAACAATTTAGGCTTTACGAAGTTTCTTTCTATTTATTTGTATTAAATTTGTATTACAATTCTCTTGATCTTTATATTCTCGAACGTGTTCGCAGATTAATCAGCAGGGATTTAGGAGATATGAATGTATGTATAGCGATAAGGCGATTTTGTCAATGATTTAAAAATGAAGAACATTTTGTATATGTAACATTTAGATGGCTGGACATCTGGCATTGACTACTGGAATTTTTGGTACTCATAAAAAATAATTGTCAATGACTTAACCTGATTAGATAAGTTGAATAGGAAAGTTTGAAAGCAGTAAGCGCTTTAAGTAGCGGCTGTATTATTCATGAGCTTGTGTACCAATTATCAGTTATTGCAATCGTAAACTTAAAAATAGTAGCATAGAGATATGAAGAAGATTATAAAAATACCAAAATATTGGCAGCTAGTAAAACAATTTAAATTTCGACTCCAAGCGTCGAACAGGAGCCAACCAAACCTTCAGCTCAAACGTAGTCATAAAATTATATGGCTTCAAATTTGTCTTTGCAAATTAATGTCTTGAAACTATTGCCGTTTTAAATATGCGCGCCATTTGCTGCAACAGCTGCTCAGCGCAAAAGGCATAAGCCAGGGCGGCACTAAAAGTTGCTGAATAATGTGTTTAATCGATTAGTTCTGCTGGTCTAAGCGATAGTTCTATCGATTGTCTTGCAGCGCTAAGTACACGAAAACAACTTTAATTGACAAAAAAACAATTCGCGAATCGCACAAAAAACGTTGCTAAGAGGTAAATTGTGTTGTGCGTTCAGAATAAATACGACATCTACATATATTTAAGTGCACAGTAACCAAATTTGTATCATGTGTAACGAAGAAGCTATAGATTGGACAACTGTGCGATTTGTATACATATATATATATATATGCTATATATGCCATGGCCATGTCAACTAGATAAATATTTATGGCGCTAAGCGTAATTTACACGCGATCATTGAACTGAATAGACAACAAAAGTGTAACTAATAGTAATTGTAGCATGAAGCTATCACGTTGGCAAAAACAAACACGCACGCACACTAAAGCACACACACTCACACACACACACACACACATACGCACACAGAGACACCCTCGCGCGTTCCCACATTTTGTTTGCTGCGAAATGAAAAAAGTATCTTCATACATACGTAATATATGCAAATAAGTTGGCGATACAAACGTACGTGCATTAAGATTCATTTATGACATGACCGTGCGGACTTTGGTCAGTTCAGAAGGCAATAATAATAATCTTGCTACGAATTGCATTGCGCTGCCTTCACAACCTTATCTCAACCCGCTGGCCACTGTTTTCAGATAAAGGCAGTATTTGATTAAACTGTGCATATGTATATATATATATATGTATATCTATTGACTGGGCAATCAATGACAATCTGAATTGGCTAAGGTCTGTTCTGCTAATTGACCAGCCAGCTGGTAAATTGATTAGAACTTTGCTCGCATTCGTTTCGCAGTTCTGCGCGTGCCAAGTGTGTGTGTGAGAGCTGGTCGTAAAATTGACAAGAAAAAAACGTTGCTATATATACACCATATATATATAGATACTTATATCGTGCTTATTTTAAGTTTTATTACGTAAAACTGTCTTAGATTAATATACCACCATTTGCCCTAACGTTTGGCTCTCTCTTAGATTATCCAAGGCGTGACCATGATTACGTTAGAGGAGCTCAAAAAACTGAGACTGATCCATCTATGCATTGCCATAACATTCTTCACCAGCGGGCTGACCATCAATTTCGCCCAACTGTTGCTGCACATATGCCTGAAGCCATTCAATAAGCATCTCTTCCGCAAGCTCATGTACTACCTATGCTATTCCTTCTACTGCCGTAAGAAATTGTCTCGAGTTGAGAGAGCTTCATACTAAATCCTTTTCATTGCAGAGCTAGTTTTTGTCGCCGATTGGTATGCGGGCTGTAAATTGCGCGTCTACATGGACGCGGACGATGCGAAAAAGTATGCAGGCAAGGAGCATGTGCTGCTGATGATGAATCATAAATACGAAATCGATTGGCTGGCTGGCTGGATGATTTGCGATAAGGTCGGCGTACTGGGCAATTGCAAGGCGTACGCTAAGAAGGCCATCAGATATGTGCCTTGTATGGGCTGGGCTTGGTGGCTAGCCGAGTTCGTCTTCCTCAATCGTGATTTCGACAAGGACAAGGAGATCATTGCCAAGCAGCTGAAAATTGTTTACTCCTATCCGGATCCCACATGGCTTCTGTTGAATGCAGAGGGCACACGCTTCACACCGGAAAAACACGAAGCTTCGGTTAAGTTTGCCCTGGAGCGTGGCATGACGCCGCTCAAGCATCATTTAATACCCCGCACTAAGGGATTTACGGCTAGCCTGCCGGCGTTGCGTGGCATCTGCCCGGTTATATATGACATTAACTTGGCATTTAAGGCCGATGAGAAGGTTCGCCCTTAACCCTGTTACCCCTTTGTATTTGTTCTACTCTCAAGTTCGTTTCTCTTTACAGACGCCGCCCACAATGTTGTCCCTGCTTAATGGCAAGGGTGTCGAGCCTTATATGCTTATGCGACGCATTCCGCTGGAGCAAGTGCCCGAGGGCGAGAAGGAGGCCGCCGAATGGCTGCAAAAGCTGTTCGTAGAGAAGGATCGCATAATTGATAGCTTCTATGAGACTGGCAGCTTCTTCGAGAAGTCTGGCGTCAAGGAGGTGCCATTCCAAGTCTGTAAACCTCGTCTCAGCAGTCTACTCAACTTTGCCGGCTGGGCCACCTACTCGTTGTCCCTAATTATCTATTACTTGATCACGTGCTTACTGGCGTCGAATTGGACTGGTCTGATTACGGCTCTGTCTGTGCTTGCCATCTGTACGTATTCAAAGAACAAATGTGATATTTTAGCAGATTTGTCAACTCATATGCCATCTTCTTATTTTACAGTCTATTGGTTAATGGGCGCTGCAATTAACAAGACACAAATCAGTAAAGGCTCCAATTATGGTTCGCAGAGCGCAAAACCAAGCACACATTAATTTGTAACTCTTTAAAAATTCGTTATTTGTTAACGAACGTTTAGTCAATGAGCCAAGCTGATAATCTCACAATTATATCTATATATACAATTAACTTTTAATCGTGGATTTATGCCTGATACGTTTATCAGCCGTCCTTATCTCCGAGTTTTTGCTACAAAATGATTTTATGTTTTTCTTGGCTATAGGTGAGTTTAAGTTATCAGTTTGGTAATAAATTTAATAAATTATTAAATAAATAAGGCCGCACACTAGACATACACAAAGTTTAAAATGTATAATAATGCAATAACTAATAATTAAAAAATGCAAATTTTAAGCTCGTTTTAAAAAAAACCACTAAAATAGATAACAAAAATTATGCCAACAGCTGACGTGGTATCGAGTAAGCGATACTATCGATATTTCAGTCAGAGCTGCCACCGCAACCTCTAGCCAAGACAGTAGAAATGCATCGAATATTACAATTATCGATAGTTTTCCAGTTCTACTCCCCATTTTTATAAAACGCCAAATGAAAATTAAAAAAAACTTCGTACCTTTAATTTAATGCAATAATATGTGCAATTTGAAGGTGAGTTAACAACAACTCACTATTTGGTGCTATATACGCAAACGGTACATACATACTCAAGTGAAAAGTGAAACGTAACACTGCCTCCAGTTTGCAGTCTGATTTGTCATTTCTGGGAACGGGGGCTCGGGCGCTCTCCTGTAGGCTCAAGGACCGTCTGTTATATGTGTGTATATATATATATAAACGGAATGCTTGTCGCAGCACCAAGTTGTGGAAGTGTGCAAGGACTGCTGGTGGGGGCATGCAGAAAATAGAAGTGTCTTTGTTTGAAGTAAAAAGAAAGCAGACGGCGAGCTGATGACGTTGAACTACGTTCAAATTTCTCTCCATTGTGCCACTGCCAGTTATATATACAAGGTGCTATATAACTACATTTCGACATATACATGTGTGTGTGCCTTATTAAAAAACAAAATCATAATCATATGGTCAAGGAACTGCTCGGAGTTGCCAGTTCTCGCATATGCAGAAATGTACGTACATAGGTATGTGGCAAGCACACACATACACATACGTACAGTGTATTAATACCAGCGTACATGTACAAATGTATACAGCTACATATATATATGCATATATTCGTGCGTGCGTGTGTGTGTATGTGCGAGCTGTTGAACGACAGCTGACGTTGTTGGTGGTATCGGTATGGTATCGGTGCGGTATCGGTAATCGTAAAACAAGTTAAAAGCGCAACGTACTTCCTATGTACATACAACATACACATAATAGATGAGTGTATTGAATCGAATGTTTTCCTTACGTTTTTTTATAGCATGCCGATTCAGGCGCCCTCATGGACAGACTTTCTCAACTGTCCCATCTGCTGCAATGAGTTCGAAGCCAGCCAGCGTGTGCCAATCAGCCTGGGCTGCGGGCACACAATATGCAAGCCCTGCCTGACCACGCTCTACAATCGGCAATGTCCCTACGATCAGGTAAGTTTGCCCCTTAATCACACAAAGCTATGTATTAAATCGTAATATTGTAATTTAGACGCTTATTGTTACGGATATCGACAATTTGCCGCTTAACTATGCGCTGCTGCAGCTGGTGGGCAATGGCAGTGGCGGTACAGGTGGTGGTGGCGCCGCCGAGGAGGAGCTGGCAGATCTGGCACCAAGTGTGCTAAAGCTGCAGCCGGAACAACTAAAATGCTACAAGCTGGGCAGAAAATGCATCGAAGAATTGGCCTTGCATTTAAAATCGTTTCTAAATCTGAACAGCAGCAATTTGCTGACCCGGCCCATGCAGCGCAAACTGGTCACGCTTGTCAACTGCCAGCTAATGGAGGAGGAGGGTCGCGTGCGTGCCTTGCGTGCTGCACGTTCCTTGGGCGAACGCACAGTAACCGAACTGATATTGCAGCATCAGAATCCGCAGCAGCTCAGCTCGAATCTTTGGGCAGCGGTGCGCACTCGGGGCTGTCAGTTCCTGGGACCCGCCATGCAAGAGGAGGTACTGAAGCTTGTGTTGCTCGCGCTTGAAGAAGGCTCGGCGCTCTCACGAAAAGTACTGGTCATGTTTGTGGTGCAACGGCTGGAGCCTCGCTTTCCTCAAGCGTCTAAGACGAGCATTGGTCATGTGGTGCAGCTGCTCTATCGTGCCAGCTGCTTCAAGGTGTCCAAGCGCGAAGCGGACTCCTCGCTGATGCAGCTAAAGGAGGAGTTTCGCACCTATGATGCACTGAGACGCGAACACGATGCCCAGATAGTGCAGATTGCCACCGAGGCGGGACTGCGCATTGCGCCCGAGCAGTGGTCATCGCTGCTGTATGGCGACATTACGCACAAGTCCCACATGCAGAGCATCATTGACAAGCTGCAGACACCGTCTGCATTTGCACAGTCAGTGCAGGAGCTGGTCATTGCGCTGCAGCGCACCAGCGATCCCGCCAAGTTGGCTCAGTTGCACAATCATCTGCAGTATTTGGCCGGCATTGATCCGTGCGCTGAGACAGCTAGCTGGGAGGATGTATCCAAGGCGCTGGACGCTGTGAAGCATGCCGTCATGGGTCTAGTACATTTCTTGCAGCATCACGGCATACGCAAGCCACAGGAGAGCAGTCTAGCCGGCGGCTCTGCCAACAACAACAACACAAAGTACAAGATAAGTCTGTGCCGGGACCTGAATCATCGACGGGTATGCCCACGTGGCGCCAGCTGCACATTTGCCCACTCGCAGGAGGAGGTGGAACGCTATCGCGCCCGCAATCGCGGCAAGCATATTAAAGCAGCCATGCCCATGGCAATGCCCAGCATACCACCAGGTGGCAAGAAGCCGCTGCCCCTGGGCAGCGAAGTGCCTGCACACACCGGCCCAATGATGCCCATATCGCCCATACGCTATATGCAGCCACCAGCACAGCCGACCAGAGGCTTCCTCGAGCCCAATTGCAGCATGCCGCCTGCAGCACACAACCTTCCCCCAAGCGGCGTCCATCCACAATTGCTGCGCGCACATCACAGTCCTATTGGTCGCCAGCAACAGCAGCAGCAGCAGCACGCGGCGCTCAATGGACTGCGGGTGCCACCGGCACCAGGACGCTATGAGCAACGTTTTAATTATGGCCCGGCGCCGGCTCCGTCGCGCAACAATGTCACGCGTGAGTATCCGGGCAATTCCCCGGCTCCGCCGCCGCAACGCAACCCACCGAACTACAACAACATCAGCAACAACAACAACAACAATATACACAACCACAAGAGCTTCTGCAGCATACTTCCAACGGATGTCTATCATTCGCCCTACTTTGGCAACGAGGCCACGGGGAACAGCAAAGGCAACGCCGAGTTACCAGCAGCTACAAAACTGGGCCATCCAGCTGCTGGCGGCAATCCGTGGGAGCATACGTATATGCCACAAGCATTGGCAACGCTAGCGCCGCCGTCCAGCAAGTATCCCAGTCGAGTCATGTCCACAATTTTACCCGCAACAGCCGATACCTCATTTTATGAAAAGAAACCGCCGAGTAATAATGTTAATATTGATCTGGATGTGGAGAGTGCAGCACATGCTGAATCCATGCCATTGTTTAGGCCCAACAACAACAACAACAACAACAGCAGCAGCGGCAACAACAGCAGCAACAGCAGCAGCAACAACAACAACAACAATATCTCATTAATATTCTGGAATAACTCCAACAAAGATTCGGCCAACTTTGTGCGTTCCGACTCCATATTGGATGACGATGCATCAACCTCGGATGTGCCCACCGGCTCCTCAATGCACAGCCGCTACGGCCCCATTTGTCCCAAACGCTCGACGAGTAACTGGCACAACTGGCCCATGGAGCATGATCCAAACAATAAAAACGAGTTCCTCAGCGACAAGAGCACAACAGCCGGCGAGCTGAACTTTGCAGGGTTTGAGCCGAAGCCAGCCTACAAGCCGGAGCACAATGACAACCTCAATGTCAATGCCAATAAGGTTAGTTTTTAGTCTATTTAGTTGCAAATGGTTTTTAATTGGAATCCTTACAGAACTCAGCTGGTCGTGATAGTGTGTACATTTGGAACAACGATCTAAATGCGAACGCAACAAGCCCCTCGAGCAATTATTGGAGCAACAGCAGCAACAGCGAGCCAGCAGGGTCCCATAACGAAAGACTGAAGCAGCTGGATGGCAAGCCGATGCTGCTCTCCGAGGACAGTATGGAGGGTGGCATCGATAGCGGCATGATGAGCGAGCTGGAAAAGAATCTAGTTGACATTGTCGAAGTGTGGTCGAATCCGGATGATAGCGGCATAAAGCTAGACTAAGGTCAGACTATGGATAACAATGTTCGATCGAGTGGAAACATAATGCAATCATTTTATCAAGATGTCCCCAGTTGGACATTTAACAGGTTTGTACACCGCACAGATTAAAATTCTAGAATTTCAAGTAACTAATCCTAGCAAATAGTTAAAGTTTGATCATTAATCGATCGGTCCAAGAACCAGATAAGCAGAAGCAGATAAAGAAGAAGATGAATATAACAAATTTGGGTAGGGGAAATTAGAATTTATTATGTAATTATTTAATTGTCTACTTAAAGTGTTGTCGAGCTCTATATATATATATATAGAGATCTATGTGTCGCATATATATATATATGTTCATTGTTCTATATTGAATTGATGTTCGGGCCAACCGAACTAGTCCGTGTTATGTTTTATTTTGGGTTTAAAATTGATCAGTTAGAAAAAACAAGAAGTTCATATGGTATAGAATACTTGATGTCTAAAACTAGCCACGATCTTTTAGCACAACAATAATATAGATCTAGTTTATAGATATTCAAATTGCTAACAAATTAATGCAAATTATGTGCACACATCATTTCCGTAGATCTTGGGTAAATGCTCCCAAAATGAAAAATGAAGATAGGGTTCACAAAGTCCGTTAAAAGATCAAATCTGGTTATGGGAATTACTTTAGATCAATCAAGATGTTGGAGCAAGTTTAGAAAGCACTCGAACTGAACTCTGCAATGGGTAAAAGTTTGCACTAGAATTGAATGCCAAAATGCTAAAACCATCTGAAAATTGTAAGACCCAGCTACATAATGCTGATAATGTATGTAGTTTGAGGTCGGCTCGTGATTTTTATATATGGGCTATATATACGGAATGAATGGGCGTGTCTGCTCCTATCAACAATATTGTGTGTGTCTTTTGTTTTTGTAGTGTTTCTTTTTTTTTAATTTTTTTTTTAAATTATTATCTGTGTATTTGAAATTGAACCGCTATTTTTATAGAGAAAAGATATAAGATATATGTGCTAGAAAGTTGGGATTCAAGTGTGACCCGCACCTGGGAGGGTGGCTGGGGCAGGGGGGGGGGTGGGGTGGGGTGGGGAAAGGGGACCCACATACGTTTGATAATTTATATGTATGTGTGGATGAATGTTTATATTTCTTAAAGAAATTTTAATAACGCTATTGTGCGATGTTGTTAACTATTGTACTATATTATTCAATTTATTGAAAATAAATTAAAATCATGTCCCTTTACGTTGTACTCGTTGAACTGTATACTTGCAGCCCTACTATATACTAAATAAATATATATTAACGATATATATATATATACATATGATTAATGCGCGCGCTCTACTACGCATGTAATACATGCGTTAATATTTTAATTGATATATTAATATTATATATTAATATCAGATGATGATACCACGTTTTGCTTGAAGACTTTTTTCGATTCTAATGCTAACTCAAAGTGACTTTTTATATATATATTTAAAAGCAAAAGTCAAGAACCTATCAATCCTACTATCATATACACATAAAACAGATCGAAAGACACTAACTTAAACCGATCCGATCTGATTGATATGCGATCTTCATTGAAAATGAATGTGTTGTTAAACCGTTGATTAAAATCATAAAACAAAATGATATGAAAAACTATAAGAATATCCTATGTATATTTAATTATCTCAGTTGTTAATGTGAAGCATGCGAGAGACACAGAGTTCGAGTTCTGTTCTATTTAGTTAATGCAAGCAATACATGCATACATATGTATTTTTGTTATTTATTAAAATGATATTGTATGTATATGCAAGAAGATGTAGAGGATGAATATAATATGTTCTACATATGCTCAGTAATTGACGCATTAAATAATGTATAATGTAATATGGCTAAGCAAAGAATTACTGAAAACTGATAGTCGATAACAAGCAAGAGATCGATAAAATGCGTTGCGATCGATTTATATATGTGAAAACGAATGAGATTTGTAATATGTATTTGTAAAGTTCGCCAAACGTTTTGGTTAGAGCTTCATCTCAAGTTCCACTTATTTTGTGAGTCTCGATCCACAAACCGCGAAACACAATACCCATCCCGATCCCAGATCCTTGTAAACTTCAAAGCACGCAACCGCTGCGCCAGTCTGTGAAATCCTATTGCGTACTTAAGACACCACCACGTGGGTGGGCAAACGGGAGAATTGTGGTGCAGTTTTAGTCTAAACCCAATGGGTTCACATAACTTCGTTGTTGAGTTGACTTTTGTAATCTTATAAAGCTATTTTATGAGCTTGGAATTTGGCCAAAGCAAGCCTCGAGCAGAGACGGATTTCGAATTCCAAGTGCAAATCATCTAAATTTTCTACATATATATATATACTATACATATTATATGTATTATATTTAATACACGTATTTTTTGTATTATCACTAAATGCTAATTTTAAGTAATTTCGATTTCTGTTAACCCTCCCAAAAAAAAAAAAACACAAAAAACAATTTATTTATTTTATTTTGCCAATAAATTTTTCAATTAATTTTCAGTTATGTTTTTACTTAAGTTCATATTTAAAATCATACATATATATATATATAGGTTATATCTTAAGCGTGTGCAACATATCAGAGCCGATTTTGAAACTTAGAAACTAACACGATACCACCATCCACTAAAAAAAAAAAACAAAAACGAAATACCACCCGAAGTTAACTATGGTTAAGTAAACAGTAACTAGTTATGGACAATCGACCCAAAGTTCTGAGACACATTCTCAACTCAAGTTATATATATATATACTTATATATAAATATATATAGAATACTTACGAAAATAAATGTATATAGAGATATGCCTAATGTATTTGATATAGACGCTTCTGTTCCTTGTGACTAGGTTTAGTGAAGTTCAACCAAAATTATTGAATAGTACTCACGAGTGTCTGAATACATTCGTATACCAATTGCCGGCAATAGTTTACTCGTTAAGTCTCTGTCTAATAGTGCTTCACAAGTAGCTGCAATCAGGCGCTTCTATCAATTGGCCAAGTGACTTACAATAGTTGATATACTTATCTCTCATAAAGACACAAATATCTCTTCCATCCTAACGCATCAAATGTGTTAAGGCGCGGACAATACAACATTTGCATGCTTCTTCAGATGTCACCCAGCTCTACAGATTAGAAAATGAATTGTCCACTCGAACGTATTTGAATATGTACAAAAATGATATTCAGCGATGAGAAATGATGAAATTTGTGTTATTTGTTGGAGATTCTTAAATTGTGATGATGTGAAATTAACAGTTAACATATGAACTACTCCCAGTTTAATGGGAAAACAACAAATGTCTTTATATTTCCATAGATATGTACTTATTATTATAATAATCTTAACTAACTACTAATGTATACACACAATTATGCATACATACCAGCTAAATAACCGTACTTAAAAACAAATAGTAAAAGTAATTCAAATCCAAATATTGTTTCAAATTTTATCTACAAAAAAAAATAACCTACTGGCACAGTCTTGTATCTGACAGATACTTTATGCTGTTTGTGCCAGAGTCTTGCAAATTGTTGGCAACATCAACTCAATTATGTATGTACTTTTTTGTGTGCTGAATTTTCTTCAAATTCATTATAAATGTATTAGAAATTGAAACAAAACAAAACGAATTAATGTGTGTGTGTGTGTGAGAATTCTCAATAAAAGTTATTTAACGATTTTTGGGCTTCAATATAATCATAAAGGTAGTTAAATAAAACTATTCCTTTTGGCAAAAGGCATTCCAATTTATGGAAAGCTCTTGAATTTACAAAATTTTCTATAGATTATATTATTTGAGCCAATACCTTGAAATTTCAATGATTCAACTAATTAAAGTTCATTTAAATCATTGCTTTAATCATATCTTAAGGTAAGTATATATCTTAAAGATTTCATTTTGAAATAACGTAAATTATAAGAGAAGAATTTGTTAAAGTTTCAGTTTTTAGCAAAATTAATCATAATAATTATATTTATTTAATGCATTTTATCTTTATTAAAGTTTTTATTTAGTGTGAAAGATAGATGTCTATATATATGTATCTATATGTATTACTAAGTCTTTATATAAACAGATATCTGTTATCTTCCCTTAAGCTCAATTATAATTTTCGCTTTAAGCTAATGTCATTTGAGCATAGTCGCTGCATCAGTTGTGGTTTGACTGAATGCTATTCAAGCTTCTGTGGTTGATTATGAGAGAGATTTGAAAAGGTATCAGGTGAAGGAGAGGTTAGCGCAATTAACAAGTCTAGAAATTGATAAAAAGTTGAATCGTATTTTATTTTGATGAAATGTACTGTGAAACCAGTTAACAATAAGATTTCTGGCATTGGTATTCAATCTTGGAGCACGGGTTTCCACATGACGGGCATGTCAAGTTCTTCGATTTCGCCCACGTCCAGCATCCAGACGCCACCATTTTGGGCCTGTTCAATGACCTTGACCATATTGCTGGCACAGACCTCCGGTGGCTGACGCTTTACCTTGGGTATAATTTTCTTCATGGGTGTCTCAAACGAAAATGTTGTCTTGTCCAGCATATCGGCCAGCAGGGGCGTGTCCGTGAAGCCTGGACAGATGGTGATAAAGGCCACTCCGGTGCGAGCATAGTAAGCGGCATCCTGTCAAGAAATTGAGCATGAGTGAGCAGTTGGAGTATGCATTTCTCACCGGTACTCACCGCCAATCCACGTGTGAATGCGGTGACGCCATGCTTGGCCGCCGAATAGATGGCCATAAGTGGGGTAGGCTGCAGCCCGGCCACGGATGAGATGTTCACCACGAGCCCGCCTCGGCCGCCCTTGGTCTGATCCATGTGCTCCAAGGCCAACAAAGAGCTGTTGATCAAGCCCAGCTGGAATGGAATTTGATTACCGTCTGCACCACCCACCATTCGAGGCACTTGGGTTACCCACCAAATTGATTTGTATGGTCAGCTCCACGAAGTGGTCGTTCATCAGGCCCATGCCATTGACGACCAGATCAAAGTGTTGCAAGCGTGCGGCGGCCGCTTTGTAGGCCGCCTCGAGCTCTGGCTTTTGGGTAATGTCCACTTTTTGGTAGAAGATCTCGGTATTTGGATACTTTGCCTGCCAAGCCCCCAAGAGCTGATCATTCGGCGCCAGATCGAACACGGCCAACGCCTATAAAGTCAACCAAAAACTCGATCAGCCAAATTGAAAACACGTCTCGGCCACGAGCAGAACCAACCTTTAGCTGGCGTTCGAGCAGCTCGGCGCAAACTTTTTGGCCAATTCCGCCAAAGCCACCGAGGTAAACCACATTTTTACCAGCCAAGTCCATTTTCAATTAGCACTCTTTTAGTTTTTTCGTTTAATAATTCAACTTGTTCTCGGTCCGACGTTTGGCTTTCAACTGATCGCAGATCGCGGCTCTCCCGAGTCGTTGATCGCTTTGTTTATCAGTCGCAATTATCAGCGGCGACATAAGTTTCTTCTGATACCCTGTATTTAATCACATTTTGCAGCTGAAAGAGGGCGTGCTTCCTTTAATCTCGTATAGTCTATATATGGACATATTCCAGATAAGCTTTTCGAGTTGAGCGTATCTTCAGCTTTCTTTGGATTCAATATGAAATAAATTTCCATATTGATATTCATGAAAGATATTTGCACTTAGAATAAATTAAAATTAAAAGAAAATGATTAATATTATAAGAAATTTGACTGACAAGCCAAGATAAACATATTCCAAGAGTCTAGGTGATATCTTAAAGAATCTTCTTACAGGGTATTTGTTAGTCAGTCAGTTTCGGCTAATGTACTCATGTTCAGATATTGATGTGTTTATCCAGAGTTCAGTGCCTTCCACTGTGGAGCATTAACTTCTCTGCGGAAGTGAGTAATAAAAGTTTAGATTAAGATATCACAGCATCTTCTTCGATAGTTGAGGACCCCCGTCTAGATTTTCCAACCGACGGGTGCGTTGAAATTGTTTATTTTGGTGCTCCAACAACAAACTTTGTCCGATTTTATCTATATGACATAATCAATATGCAGCACAATTCAAATGTTAGCCCACTTCTTGAGACAAACAATGCAAGAGATATCTTTAAAGAGCCGAAAGAGCGATAAGGGGTTCTTTTACTTGCAATCAAATTTTATTTATATTATTATTAACAGCAGGGGGTCTAGTAAGAAACTTAATCTATGAGCTTCGGCTAAAATAACCGCCTAGAATTCGAGCTGGGATCCTTTCATTTTCATTTGCCTGCGTCACTCCGGAAAAAGTCGTACCTGGAACCGAGTAACTTCGGCAATGAAACAGAGAGGATGCCGGTTCAAATCTCAGGTTAAGCCGAAGGTTTTTCTGTCTAGGGCTATGCTAAATAGTTATACAAATAATAATAATAATAATTTTTATCCCTTTGCTGGGATCTACGATAAGAAATGAAAGTTGCATATGCTTGTTCTTGATAAGAATCTTATCGCTTTCCACTTGGAAGTGGGGAGCACTACGAATATGTCAAACATAAATGCTACTTGGGTTAATTTAATGGATTGATCTTAGTTGAGTGGCGCGCACCGGAACTCAACTGTGCAAATGGGAAGCCCCACGCGGCGTCGCAAGTGCGTGGGCTAATTGCGCAATCGTTGGTCGTCGATTGTATCCGTATCAATATTAAGTTCACTATTACAAAACAGCCAAGTTAAAGCCAAAGCCAGAGCAGCCGCTGCTGCAGCTGCAGTTGGTGGTTTGTAAGCCGATCCGCTGAAGACGTCAATTTGGAGGTCAGGCGCAGATCGGCTTTGCGAGTGGCCGGTATAAATAATCACAATGTGGCCACTGCAGCAAACAGTTCCACATAGCCAACTACCTTGACTAGCTCGCCAGGATGCAGTGCTACATTTGGTTCATAGCCACAGCCGCCTTGTGGAGCGTCGCAGCTTGCGCCGGCTCGAGACCCATTCTTGGCCCCGCCCGGCGTGGCTATCAGGAGCAGGATACGGCGCGGGCCTTCTACTCGTACGGCTACAGTGATGGGAATGCGGCGCGAGCGGAGTACACAGCGCGCGATGGCTCCTCGCGTGGCTTCTACTCCTATGTGGATGCCAATGGCAAGCTGCAGACGGTCAAGTACGAGGCGGGCGGTCGTCAGGGCTTCAAGGCGGAGGCCAGCAATCTGCCCAAGCCGCCTGTCGACGACAAGAAGCCGGTGACGGACACGGCGGAGGTGCAGCTGGCGCGCCAGGCACATCTCAGCGCCATACGCGAGGCACAGGACAAGGAGCGGGCGGCCAACCTGCGCGAGGAGGCGGAACGGGCGCAGCAAAACGAGGAGCAGCCTCTAAGCTCTGAGGATGCGGACGTACTGGAACGTGTGCGCGCAGAGCTGGCATCCATGCTGGCGGAACGGCAGCGAGGCGAGGAAGAGGCACAGAACGAGGCCGCAAACGAGACTGCAAATCAGGCGGAAAACAGGGAAAGTGAAAGGGAACGGGAAAGGGAGCAGGAACGGGAACGTTCGCGGGAACGGGCGCGGGATCAGGAACAGACACGCCAACGTGATGCCAACGATCTGCGACTGCGCACGGTCTACCGCCTCGCAGACATCAGTTCCAGCAGCTACCTGAAGCTGAGCGAGGATCTCGAGGATCGTTTGGGTAGCCAGGAGTTGCGCGTGCCCGTCAGCGCCTATTATTCCTACGTCTCGCCCAAGGCCAAGTACAGCGTGACCACGCCCACCGAGCTGAGAAGCTTGCGTCCCGTGGCGCTCAGCCGCAGCTTGGTTTTGAGCAAACGGATCTAGAGATGTCTCTGAAAGATTTGATGAATCCTGGTTGGAATTAAGTTGAACGTACTCTTAAGAATAAATGCATTCTGTGCACCATAGTGCCTAATCCTTGGACTTGTGGCAGCCCCAAGGCGGGGGCATGAAGAGTGTGGATGTGGACCCTCAAATATCCCATGCAGACATACATAGGTCAAAATTTCCCACCCCATAACTCGGTCAAATCTTATCCGATTTTCAAAAAGTTTGGCTTTTTGTTCATGGTTTGGGATCTAGATCAATGCTGCATCTAATTCTGGCAACATTATTTTTGGTCAAAATTCATGTCGAAATAGTACCCTCAAAAATCGTATACAGACATAGGTCAAAATTTCCCACCCCATAACTCGGTCAAATCTTATCCGATTTTCAAAAAGTTTGGCTTTTTGTTCATGGTTTGGGCTCTAGATCAATGCTGCATCTAAATCTGACAACATAATTTTTGGTCAAAATTCATGTCGAAATATACCCTCAAATATCCTCTATAGACATAGGTCAAAGTTTCCCACCCCATAACTCGGTCAAATCTCATCCGATTTTCAAAAAGTTTGGCTTTTAGTTCATGGTTTGGGCTCTAGATCAATGCTGCGTCTAAATCTGACAACATAATTTTTGGTCGAAATTCATGTCAAAATGGTACCCTCAAAAATCGTATACAGACATAGGTCAAAATGTGCCATCCCATAACTCGGTCAAATCTCACCCGATTTTTAAAAAGTTTGGCTTTTTGTTCGTGGTTTGGGCTCTAAATCAATGCTGCATCTAAATCTGACAACATAATTTTTGGTCGAAATTCATGTCAAAATGGTACCCTCAAAAATCGTATAAAGACATAGGTCAAAATGTGCCATCCCATAACTCGGTCAAATCTCATCCGATTTTCATAAAGTTTGTATTTTTGTTCATGGTTCATAGATCAATGCTGCATCTAAATCTAACAACATTATTTTTGGTCGAAATTCATGTGGAAATGGTATCCTAAAAATCCTATGTAGGCATAGGTCAAAATTTCGAACCCTCATAACTCGGTCAAAACTCAAGCGATTTCAACAAATGTAAAGGAGGTTTCATAATTAGGTGGTTAGGGATTTTTCCCAGACGATTATAAACTGTGCATTGTCAAAAGTATTGTCTACTTAATTCTTAAATTTTTAGTGAACCGTAAATCCCTTTAAAGCCTGCCAGATTTGCTAACTACAGCTCTAAAACTGAGGGATACATTGATTTTTACAATGTATCCAAGTCAACATGAGCTTATATATACTCCTTTTCAGTTTGCGAATAGAGTATAATCAAATTTTTGGGCTTTACCAGTTTGTAAACCCAGCAAGAAATTCCAGGGGAAGATTCAAAGTAATGCTCTCCAGGTAGAAATTTGTGCCAAGTCAATCGAGAAAGAATATCTGGAAAGGCTTCTCTTGTTTCTGCTTGCGTTGTCTCCCTTTTCACCAGAAAAACAATAGATTTTTTTTTTTCCAAAATTAAATTTTTATTGTTTAACAGAAACCAAAACAAGTGAACCAAACGATTGCTGCATGGAGCTTAAGCCACGGGCAGATAGTGATTTGATGAGGCAGCCTTCAGCAGGGAGTTGTACTTGTAAATGTAGCCACTCGCAGGCTGGTAAACATAAAGTGGCTGCGAGATTATGGTATGGCTGTGACCTGGTGCAGATTTGATGGTGGCGGTGGTCGTGACCTTGCCCAGCTGGTTGCGCAGCTTCTCCGCCTCGAAGCGCTTGAAGAAGGCAACTTTGGCGGCGGCCACCTCGGGCGTATCCTGCACAGCGCCGGTCAAACTGGCGTCGCCAGCCAGACGCAGCTTGGCCTCCGCATGGGCAGCCAGGTGTTGGGCACGCAGCGCAGCCACCTCGGCTGTCTCCGCATTGGGTCGCAGCTGCTGCTGCTGCTGCAGGCTGCTGGCCGTGACACGAAAGCCATTGGCATCCGCCTGGTAGTTGACCGTCTGCTGTTCGCCTCTGGCATCCACATAGGAGTAGGAGCCGTGGGTGACGCCGTCCGCCGTGCGCGTCTCATGCTTGGAGTAGAGCGGCGCCGTATAGCCATAGGCATACTGGCCATGCTCATCCTGGCTGTGGTATTGGCTGAAGGTGCCCGCTGCCAGTGGAGCGCCATAATGCAGCAGGGCTGCCGAGCGCGCCAGTGTGGCTCCAAGAAGCAGGATTATGCAGAGGTTAAGACAGTAGCTGATCGACTGCATCTTCTTTTCTTTATTTTTTTGTTTACTAAATTTTTTTTTGTGGGTTTCTTGTGTGGCGCTGCTAGTGTCGTGGACTAGTACTCGCTCCAGAGAACTCTGTGCGTGACAATGCCGCGATTCTGCGTTTTTATAGACGCCTGGCGAGGCGCCTCCTTGGCTCAGAGAGCGCGACGCAATTGCCAAAAATTTGCAATATCGTGCGTTCTTCGGGAAGGTCGTCCAGTTTACTTTCATATTCCCTGTTTGTTGTTGACTGTTTTGTTGCAAGCAGTCGCTCTTCCTCTTGCTCTGTTTGTACATAAATATTTTGTCGATTTCAACAAGTTGAGCATAAATTTGTACACAAAAGCCGCAATTTGTTTTCATCTGTCAGTGGACAGGGTACGACGGGCTGCCCCAGCGCAAAACCAAGAACTTAATCAGGCCAGCTCTTGTCTCTGTCTCTGTTGTTGTGTGTCCTAAGGTCAAGGAACCATCTTTTGATATGTTGTTTATGCCGCTATTAAATTTAATTGAAATCAAAATTCGCAATGCATTTATGAAATGCTGTTGGATGAGCTGCTAAAAGGCCTCTGAAGTAAACACACACACACAGCGGGTTTGCTGCTCAATGGTTGCGGCTTTTTTACGGATCAACAGCTGCTGACAGAGTGGAAAACCAAAAGGTAGCCGAAGAGCACGTCTTTTTAAATTAATTACCAATATTATAAACAGGGAATAAAGGAACAAGCTGGCCCTCTGATCAAAAGTAAGCACACAATCATTACCTAACTAGATCTTTGTTGGGAGCAGCTGAGAGGAAGCCCAGTTTGTTCCTTGATGTCAAAAGATCCAATTTGGCTGCCTAACACAGCTCGTTCTGACTGCCTGACTGGTCATCAATGCACAGCCTAGGACGGAACTAGGAAGCTGATCCCTTATATGATAAAAGTGCGCGCTCCAATTCCACCCGCAGGTGTGAAAAAATCGTGGAAAACAGTTGCTTACAACTTTTTTGTGTTTATGGAATTATGGAATTTATATTTTCGGGCTTTGTGCTTGCCTTATTTTGGGTAGTATGAAGTTGTTACACTTTTAAAGTTTTTCAATCGAAATTCATAATATTTTAATTCTCACGAGCGGAAAATGGGTGGAAATGTGTCAATTCTAAAAACTAACACTACATAGTCCGGCTTAAGGGGTAATGCCTATTGGTAATACATTGATATGGCTCTGCAAGATTAGCCTGTAGGAAGAAGGAAACGTTTTCTCCGTGGGCGAAAATATCAAAGTGTCCAGATCCTTAAAAGAAATTCGTATAACGACAAGCTGTTTAGTCTCAAATCTCTTTATTCGCACTTGGCTAGATTACAAAATTCAGTTTTAGTAGTAGAAACCGGAGCTGTAGTAGCGTGGAATGCTATAGCCGTAGACCGACTGCACGGGCAGAAAGACATGGGAGCTGCGAGCAACTGGAACCGAGCGGGCGCTGAGGAGCTCGTTGCGCAGCTTCTCGGAGGCGACACGCTTCAGATGAATGGACTTGGCAGCGGCCACCTCGGCTGTGTCGGCAACGGGAACAGGCAGGTCCAGATCTGTTGGTTGGTGTTTGGACTGTTGAGCCTGCGCCAGACGCAGTCGAGCCGCCTCATGAGCCGCCAAATGGCTCTGAGAGGCGGCGGCAACTTCGACGGCGTCAGCTGAATTGTGGGCAGCAGCGGCAGCTGCAGCAACGGGAATGTCAGCGCCGGCGCCGGCGCTGCGGGCATCGCCAGCTGGCGAGCTTGGCGCACGAAACTGCCGCTGCGGCAAATTGGTGGCTGCCACATGGAAACCCTTCGCATCGGCCGTATAGTCAACGGTCTGCAGCTTGCCCGCCGCATCGCGATAGCTGTAGCTGCCGCGCGTGATGCCGTCCAGGCTGCGCACCTCCTGCTTGGTGGAATGTGGCTCGGCATAGCCGTAGGCATACTGGCCCAGCACATCCTGCGTCAGATACTGCTGCTGCGTGGGCGTCACCAGTGCCGAACCCTGCGCCGTATACACATACGGATAGTTGGCATACAGCGCCATGCCCTGAGCCAGCGCCAAGCTGGAGGCGACAAGTGTTACCAATAGAAGTTGCATGTTGAGTTTGAAGTTGGAGCTGGGTGTGTGTCCTCGGGGCCTCGTTAGTTGTTACTGCATTTGGCTAGCCAGGGCCGCGTCCTTTTATACCAAAATGTTGCAGGTTCTGGTTCTCGTTCTGGTTCTTGCCCCCTTTGGTCACAGCTCGTAACGAGCTGAGGAACAACTGACGGCTGTCCACTTGCATCTGGCTGTCATCGTTAACGGCAACTGCAGCCAACTGTGGCTTAATTGTGGCAGGGCCCTGTGGCAGGGCCGGGTCTTAATGACTGCACATGTGGATAGCATCTAAAGAGGCAACACTTTGGACCTAGGCCAAAACAGTTTCTTATCACGTGCTGGCCAGCAACGCGGAGTTAAGGCAGTGGAGGAAGCGAGATCAAGGCCATGACCACGAGCTGGAGGAACGCATCTGTGCAAGACAAGGCAAATGTAAACGATATTCAATTGTTATACCCTGTGGCCAAGCCAGGTAAGTGAAAGCGGGCATGACAAGCTAGGGGTAAGGTTTGTAAGCGTCAAAAGGCAAGCTTATTTATTGAATTTAAAATATATATATATTAATGTATATATCATTTTTAATTCACATATATGTCAGCTAGACAAGAACTAGTTTCATGAAAAGGTTCAATATTTAATACAAGCTATAGAATATGGCCGATCGAAGTCTCATCTGTGAGGAGTATGTAGAGCTTGTTAAGGCTATGTCTAACTATGAATTCTTTAACAACTTAAAAGTAGTTCGTCGTTCCTTTGAAAGATATCTGATATAGTAAGCCAATCCGTCGGATCTTGACATAGTTTCAGGAAGATAGCTTGCAAGCTGATAGAGCCCTTTTCCTGATCAAGAATATATATATTTGATAGCATCGGAAATGCCGAAATGCGTGCTTTGGCACTAAAAAGTATGGAAACAAGCTAAGAACAGTGTAACATATATAATATATATATGTCAGATCTTTTAATTGTATACATTATAATCTATTCCTTAACTACTTTAAAGCTTCCACTGTAAACACAGCTATTGAAATTCACTGCAGTCTGGTAAAGCCTTTTTTTTGGACAATTAATAATTATTATTATAAACACATTTTTATTTATATATTCTTTAAACTAAGGTATATACATGGTTTTTGTGCAGGGTATTTATAGGTACGTTAGGTTTTTATGTATCACAAGCTGTTGAAATTTCTTAAGCATCCAGGGCATATAATTTTCTAATACTTCTTAGCCATATACTCAAGCAAGTAGCTAGTCTATAGTTAAAATCTGCAATTATATTGATTATTTAATATTTTTATTAATTTTTACTATATTTATTGTCATTGACATTCCCCCATTTATTTCCTTTGCTTTAACTTTTTAAACAGGGTATCTGCCAGTCAGTCAATCGTATTGGCTGTCACTGTTATTGTTATTGCTGTTGCCGCATTCAAGTGGCATTTTGTGGCCCTCTTTAACTGCAACTGCAACTGCAACTGGAACTGCTGCAACTGATTTAAGATGCGCCTCGCGTTGCCTTTTCCCGACAGAGCCCCAACGGCATTTCAAGGTGAGTGAAGGCCAAGGGCCACATTTGTCCAGCTACGTCGTAGGCTTCGGCCTGGCCAAGGCCTTAATCGCCGCAATCCCAAATTGGAATTTGGTTTTATTTTTAGCCACAATATCTGGCCATGCATCGCAGCGCAAGTCGAGCGTCTGATTAGGATTGATAGCATTGGCCAAATAGAGTTATACTCCGTTTGGGCCCAGAGTTGAGAATTGCCCTTGAGCTGCGGCTATTTACAGCTCACAGCTGGATTGATAAGTGCATTTTAATGTCGTCTCTCTCTCTCTCTCTCTCTCGCTCACTGTGCCTTCCCCGGCCCGCTTCACACTTCCTCTTAATCAAAGCCCAATCCAGAGCAGCGGCCCATAATTTGCCAGAATGGCCACCTTAATGATCTTGTTAGTCCAAGAGCCTCAATGCCTGGCCTGGACGTCTTTTGTGGCAGCTGTCCAATTCACTTTAAATTCCTGTCGCCAACTGGAACAGCTGCAGCTTCAGCTTCAGTTTGTGGCGTTGTTTGCTTTGCAAATTCCTGGCCCCAACTGGAGCTCTGCTCTCTGGCATCCATTTGAATTTGTCGTGGGCTGTCGCCTCGCTGATTTGTGCATCATTAGGTCTAGAAATTCAGGGCTAATTACTTATTAGCCGGGACACACCTTCGCGAAGCCGGTTTTGCTTTGATTAAGACAACTTTGTGTGCGATGTGCTTTGTTCTGGTATACCCTTATTAGAGGGTAGTATAAATTTAAGACAGACTTTGTTGAACTTACGTGAACTAGTCATTATTTATGGATACTGAGAAATTGAGTACTTGGTAATAGAAGACAAATTTGGAAACAATCCTTCGCTAATTGAGTTTTTTTAGAACGTTTTTCGTTTAGGCAGAATGAGTTTAAGTATCTGTCATACTTAAACTGTTCGATAAGGTCCACTATATTATTTAGCTTCCATATAAAAAGAAACTTACCGCCTTAGTATTTGTTAAGAAATCATGTTTTTTTCTAAAACACATTTATAGTATTGTGTCAAGATAGGTGTGCAGTAATATAATTAGTTACCTGAAAATGTATTCAATCTTTGGCAGTCCATATCAACTCTTTATACCCAAGATAACCTAATCAAAGGCGAAGCAAACGCCTGTGACATCATATAAAGTATATATATATTCTTGAAAAGTAAAAACAGCTGAGTTGATAAGTAAATATTTTCGTCTTGTTTATTTCTATTGCAAATAAACTCTCAGTTTTAGAGTTCATAAACTTAATTTGGAACAGGATTGAACTATTACATCATGTCAACTAAATGATCGGTCGAAGTTGAAGCTTTTATATGAAAACTCTTTTAAGTTTTTCAAGATTTCTATCTTAGCCAAAAGTTGACAATTGATAAGTTTATTGTACTCCCTACAAAATAAACATATTCTGAGCACAAAATTAACGACCAATTTTAGTTTTAATTAGAATAACTTTCTTGTTTTTCAAGATATCTTAACCAAACTCTGGAATCACGCACATTATTATGCTTATAAGTTATAAGAAAAATTTCTTTAAGATCGGACTGATATATCCTTAGTTCTATGGGAACTATGGCGTTATTTATAAGAACTTCATTATATGGCCAAGCATGGACATGTATTTGGCAGTGTTAGGGTATTTCTTCTTCGGCAATTCGCAGTTAACTATTTCCTCTTGTTTTTTTAACGTTCTTTTGCCTGATATTTGTTCATTCCTGCTCAGTATGACGCCATCGCAGGCCTTTGGCCACAATGCTAGCCAATTATGTGAGTGACAGGCCGCATATAAATCACGGCCCCAGTCGGGCTTAGACTGTGTATTAACAAAACAAATTTTGTTGCTTGGACAGCAGCATAAGTAAACACGCTTAAGGTGTTTGATTAAACTTTTTCTCCAACACCTTTCCCAACTTGAAGCTAGTTAATTTTCTATATATTCTAGGTTCAAAGAACTCATTTGCCCGATCCGAGATATAGAAATATTTTTGGTCTAGTAATCGTTGAATTTCACACAAAAGTCATTTGCATATGAAAAACATTCGAGGCCTTTGCCACTGTCATCGAGTGCCTAGCTGCCCCCCTTCCCATACTATAAGCTCATATTAGCACAGGTTGACCCCGCCTCTGCCACGCCCTACTACACCGCCTACTTCCCCCTGCCAGCCCTTGATCTAAGTGCGCCTCGCACTTGTTGTGTTTTGTTTGTTGTCAAATTTCACGCATCGTTTTCTGTTTCGTTGACGAGCAATAAAAATTGACGGCTGCCCCACTCCCTGGCCCAGCCCGCCTCCTCATCTGCTGCGGAAGCTCACTCGAACTGAGAGCTTTTGGCATTTCACACTCAAAACAAACGGAATACGAGTGGAATTTCAGTTGCCTTATCAACGGGCGTCACTTTTTGATAAATGGATTTTTGTTCTCTCTCTGCGCCTCTTTACGCTCAACTTTTTGTTGTTAGTTTAGCTGCGTGTGCTTTTTGTTTTTTTGGCATTTATAAATTTTGTTCTAAGTCAAATGAAGTCATCGCATTAAAATATATTTTATATATATGTATACGCAGTTTCCCTGCGGGCTAGAACTTGGTTAACTTGGCCAGCTCGAAGAGCTAGCTGGAGCGGAATGTATGCCATGATTTATGGGCTTCATTTTCGACTGCAAATTCAACAGTTTCTTGTCTTTTTATGTGCTGCCAAGAGTTCGCTCTGAAATTGCGCTCGCCGCAAAGCTCACTCAAATCACACGCAAAAATATCACTCATACGCCGCTTGTGCTTTGGCCCCCGTCGGGCGCTGGCTGCGCATTTAGTCAAAACAGTTGAGTCTCAACAGCCAAGGCAAACGCGCGCAGCACGGCAAACATTTTGAAAAACAACGTAAACAAACAACAAAACATATTTGAAAAAAGAAATATTCTAATTTTTATATATCTTTTGCGTCTAAAATAATGTAAGTTATAAAGTGTTTCAAGTTTGAACTCTGCTGCCTGGTTGGAAATTATCATAAAATTAAATCCCCTCAAAGTGCGACACACACACATACACACACACACACACACACACACGCACAACAACAGCATCGCGTTTAATCTCTGCCGCGGTGCGCTTTTCCCTTTGTGGAAATTTCAAGTGCTGCATGACCCATTTTCTCTGCTCCAAAATAGAAAATCGCTGCAGCTCCTTGTTTTTTCTTCTTTTTTTTTCCATATATAACAATGCGTTATATGCGTAGCATCGTTTTAGGCGCATTTGCCCCCTCTCCATAACATTCCCTTCCGTTTGTATGTATGCGGCGCTTGCGCGTTCCTGTGCTCCTGCTCCTGCAGGGTCCGGGCAGGCAGCGTGATGTCATCTAGAAGCTGCCTTCCATATCATCGTGTGTATACTTCAAAAACTGTGATGCATATGTGCTTGGGCAGACCTTGGGGCTTTGTTGTGCCTGAGCCTATACAACTGTGCCCCCTGCTCAACATTTTTTTTCTGTTGTTGTTGTTGATATTGTATTGCGTGCTTGTGTGACACCCTGCCCAGCAGCAACCCCTGCTCCCCCGGCCGTGCTGTGTATTGCGCTTCCTGTTTAAAGTGCTTCACACACATTTAATTTATGCAGCGCCTAATATTTCATATACTTATCGTATTATATATTGAGGCAGTCGCGCGTATTGTGACCTAAATATATGGCTCTTCCCCTCTTTAATGCATACAGTCTGATTGTTTCGAATAGTTTTTAACATACCCTGTACTCACTGAAAAACTGTGTGTATGAGGCATCTAGAGTATTTACATTGGAATTCCTAAAGTTTTTGTATATACATAAAAGTATAAATTCATCTGTAATCCCACACATAATTTACTTATTATCGAAGAGATAGATCGTTATTAAATATAGAAACTGAAAAAAAAGAAACGCTAATCCCACCAAATTTTATAGCCCTAAGACGACGTACTCAAGAGTTATTTAAGAATTCATTTTATATAGCTTAGCATCAGGCTACTACGAGGTATCTTCTAGTCTAGACTATCTGCTCGACTGCACTTGTTACTTCTGCCTGCCTTAAAGTCACATCGATGGGAATTCAAATTGAATTTCAAATTTGGACAAATCTAAATACAATTTTGGCTGGCCACGCGCTCTGTCATGAAACGAGATGCGGATGTCGAGAGATGAACGCAACAATTTGTATAGTCATACATGTGGTCATATATATTTCAAGTGTATATATATATGTGTGTGTGTATCTGTGTGTATATTAATGATCTCGGCAGCCAAAGCGGATTATGAGGTATCTTTTGCACGGCTGGGTACTAACTAACTTTTTTTTCTTGCCCAACCGCCAGACTGTCTGAACTTATGCTTTGCGGCTCGCCTTTTGTCGTGTTTTCTGGTTTGTTTTTTATGTATTTATGGTTTCCAATTACCGGAACACAAAGGGCTGCAAAGGCAATATATCGATGGGCGTGCTACACACGCAGACTTATACGCTGTCTTATAATTAGTTTTTACACTTGACATTTGCGGAGCTGACCTATACCCAATCCCAACTAAAGAGGACGTTTACCCACAAGAAAGCAGCCTAGATTGTACAGTGAATACTCGCTTGACGCACGGGAGAACTTCCGAGAATTTAAGAGAAACTTTGAAGACAATCAGGCAAAAAATGTATCCCTTCTTACCTATATTCATTACAGGGTATTCAAATATTTGTCTGAATTTCGATTAAGTTCGTGTTGCTCTCTCTAGGGAGTTGTACGTTAGTGGAGGCTTCACTTTAGTTGGATGTCGCTACAGGAAAGCGGCCTAGGCTGTTGTACAGTGGAAACTCGCTTGAGGGAAAACATGTATCCCCTCTTACCCACTTTCAGTACAGGGTATTCAAATATTTGTTTGAATTTAGATTAGGTTCGTGCTAGAAAACAATTGCTCTCTCTAGGGAGCTGTACATTACTGGAGGTTTCACTTTAGTTGGTTATCGCTACAGGAAAGCGGCCTAGGCTGTTGTACAGTGGGAACTCGCTTGAGGGAAAACATGTATCCCCTCTTACCCACTTTCAGTACAGGGTATTCAAATATTTGTTTGAATTTAGATTAGGTTCGTGCTAGAAAACAATTGCTCTCTCTAGGGAGCTGTACATTACTGGAGGCTTCACTGTAGCTAGTTATCGTTGACTTCTATTATTTCACAAATGCATCTCTATATTTGTTTGGTTTGCCTCACCCAAAACCAAACCCCGGGCGACGTAATTGCGACGCGTAATGACGATGACATAAGCGATACGATTTAGTCGACCCCTTTAACCCCTGCTGCCCACATATATAGTATATATTAGATGTACACACTGGCTGCAAATAATTGTCGATGATCCAAAGCCACATTTGTTACGCTCCACGGGTCGCTGCATGCCTCTGGATCTGAGCGCAACCTTGACCCAGGCTATCTTATCGCCAGCTCGTCGCATTCAATTACCTGGATCTTGTTGCAGGCCCATAACTGGTTGCCTTCCGGGACCTTATCGTAATTTAAATTATGCGCGTGCAGCTACCACAATTGTCTGTCTGCCTGCCTGTTTATATACATACATACCATATAGATGCCAGGCTTAACTGGCGCATAATTAATGATCGCCGCATTGAAAGCTCACGTTTTATTTACTGTTTACGTTCGATTTGTGCGGGCCCAGCTACAAATCTTAACATGCATGTTAAACATGACGACAATTTATGCCATGCGCAAAACATCTACGAGATTTATGTGCTCTATAATAGGGCTAGAGGGCGAAAAAAACGGTTTGTGCTTCGGTTTAATTAATGATGGGCAAGCGAAAGCCTAGTGTAATGTCTGTGCCGTTATGTGCGGGATCTACACTGAGAGAAAAACAGCACAAATTAAGGCCTACAAAGTAAGGCTTTTTTAAAGCGATTCTCCCTACTTTAAATTCGTTTCTTTTTCTTGCTTTTTATATATTTTTTATTTAAACAAATTCATCAAAGAGCGCTGGATTTGAACCAGCGATCTTTCGCTTATCTGTGCGATGCTCAAACATGTAAGAAGAACTTGTTCATGACGTCATAAAATAATAATACGCAGAACAAACATTTAACAAATTAGCTTTAAATCTTAAAGCGAAGTTTCCTTTAAATAAGGAATTAAGTTTAGATCGATTATAAAGCTTAGAAAAATAGGGAATTTTGTTTCAGTTGTTAAATAGTCGTTCCACGGTAGGGATACAGCTGTTTGTTTATCATGCGATTAGAATTCTAATGGAAGACGCTAATGAGCAAATGTATTGAGCTCGGAGAGCAGCTTTATTGCGTCACTTGAAAGCTAGATCCGACTAACCTTCCGCAGTTAATTAGCGGCCAGCATTTGTGAAAGCTTCCATTTGGCGCTATTGTCCGCTCGCAACAATGATATCATCGGAATAAAGTGTGTGCGTGTATATATAGAGGTATAAAGAGAGTGTAGTCTGATAAGCTATCTTCATATAGAGATATATAAATATGCGGGCAGATTTGATTGGAGTGAAGCTATAGCCGATAGTCAGATATAGAAGCCAGAGTCAACGCCATGTTACCGAGCGTCGTGGCTCACAGGTGAGAAACTGCGCACAAAACTTGGGAACCAGGCAGCAGCTGGATGGATATATGGATGCACACTTTAAACGCATTAAAACCCACCGAACTTTGCAGAGCCCACAACATGTCTGAGGCCGGAGCAAATGGCAGCAGCGAGGCACCCGCCGCGGAACTGGCGCAGCTGGCGCTGGAGGAGACCGCACCGAAGGTCAGTTTTTCGGATCAGTTCAAGGCGTTCTCCAAGTTCGGCGATACCAAGTCCGATGGCAAGCTGATAACGCTATCGCAGAGCGACAAATGGATGAAGCAGGCGAAGGTGTTCGACAAGCAGATCACCACCACCGACACGGGCATACACTTTAAGAAGTTCAAGGCCATGAAAATCACGCTGGCCGACTACAATAAGTTCCTCGAGGATTTGGCCAAAACGAAAAAGGTGGAGCTGGCGCAGATCAAGCAAAAAATGGCCGGCTGCGGCGCACCAGGCGTGCTGCAGGTTTCGGTGAGTTAGCCTTGCCTCTCAATTCCAACTTGGCTTTTCACCAACAATCTCATCCAAAGGCGGGCAAGGCCGCTGCCGCTGTGGACAGGCTGACGGATCCCAGCAAGTATACGGGCTCGCACAAGGAGCGCTTCGATGCCACCGGCAAGGGCAAGGGCATTGCCGGGCGACGCAATCTGGTCGATGATTCCGGCTATGTCAGCGGCTATCAGCACAAGGACACCTACGATGGCGCCCATTAATACCACTAGGTGCTCGACATTCACACACACACACACACAGATCCCTGTGTTTTGTCTCACAATTTTCCTGATCTTTGGCTAATTTATTACCCGTTTTCCAATGGTAGCACCAGTTATTTTTGTATTTCCCTCATTTTCCTTTTCTTATTATTACATATAAGTTGTGATTAAGTGCTTAAAAATAAATTTATATTAATTTACAATTATTCGTTTCGTTTTATATTCGTTTTCTTTCTATACCCTGAACCCATTAAAAATGGGTATAAGGGTATATTGTATTTGTGCAAAACCCAAATGTATGTAACAGGCAGAAGGAAGCTTCTCCGATCCCATAAAGTATATATATTCTTGATCAGCATCAATAGCCGAGTCGATCTAGCCATATCTGTCTGTCTGTCCGTCCTTCCGTCCGTATGTATGAACCCAAGGATCTCAGAACCTATAAGAGCTAGAGAAATTTTAGATGTAGGTGCTCCTAGTTCCCGCGCAGATCGAGTCTGTTTCCGATAATCGATAACTTACTCCGTTTCCAAGCAATCGATAAAAATCGATATCGATATCCTGTTTTTTGGGCAATTTTGGTAAATAATAAGAGCTAGAGTCACCAAACTTGACATATAGCTTCTTAAATAGAATATATACATATATGCATTTGATGTTGAAAGAAGAGGGTTCAGGGTATTCCCTAGTCGGAAGCTCCCGACTAGAACCTCTTACTTGTTTTCTTTAATTTTATATACAAAGCGGCCCAAAAGTTCAAAAACGTTTACACATCAAAATCAAATTTATATATATCTCAAAAAAAAAATAAAATATATACATTTATAAAATAGAACTTTTTGCGAGCATAGCACAAAACTTTTAATAATACACTATACAAAAGATGATCAATAAATAATACTTATACTAATGCTTATACCAAAGATAAACTGACATACAAATTTATGTGTGCTCCAAAATACGTATTTTTATTTTCAATTCAAATAAAGTGAAACATATACAAGTTCTTAAAAGCGTTCTATTCGTGTAATCGAAGCAAACTTAAATTGTCTTTTATCAACATTTTACAAAAATATATATATATTTTTTTTTAAACCAAAATTTTGAGATACGAACAAGCCATGTTTGAAATTGGATCAAGCATTGGAATCGATTTTATTTTTATCAAGTTATGGAACTTGAAAAATTTAGATACAGAATCGAAGTAAGGTTCAAGCCAAATCCAAAATGATATCAAACGTTAAAATTGATTAAGGTTTGCCTAATTTATGAGAGATACGAAGAAGAGTTCTTAACAAGATTCGTAAGGCACACATTTGTAGAATGTTCTTTGTTCCTTTGTTTGACAAATTAAGATGTTCAGCTAAAAGAGAGGTTTAACTATAGCCAAGTTGGTAATCCGTAAGAAAATTCATTTAGTTTCGAAAAAGTTCTAATAAGTGGTGATCAATCCCGTACTCTAACCATGAAGGTGTTTGGCATGCTTAGAGGTAGATAGCGACAATAAAACTGACCTCGGAAAACCAGAGCAGTGTGAAGCAGATCAAAAGCTAGACGAGCCCAGCGACTACAACGAAACTGATAGCTGCCGCAGCAGCTTTTGCATAATAAACCCAACCGGAGGCAGTTGAAGGGCTATCGATTGCAGCCAGCAGCCAGTCGATCGGTGCTAATCGCAGATCGGATATAAGACCAGATATCGTATGACCAGCGACTATAATACTAAGCCGCGGGCCTATAAAAGTCGCCTGCCCAGGCCTGAAAGCCAGCCAGTGCAGAGTCGCCAGCCAAATAGATTTGATTTTGTCGTGGAGCTCTATCGTAGCATTCGTGGAATATTAAAGCAACGCACAGTAGATCCAAAGGTGACAAAAAGAGCTATGGCATTTCGTGGCAAGAATGCGGTGGTCACAGGCGGCGCTGGAGGAATTGGTCTGCAGGTGGCCAGGCAGCTGCTGGTGGCGGGTGCCGGGGTGAGCTATGACTGAAGTAATCCGAATGTAAACAGTCAAAGATATGCGTGCTCCACAGAAGGTTGCCATAATTGATATACAGGATAATCTGGAGGAGTTTGTCAAGCTGCGCGCAGCGCATCCCACGCAGAGTGTCATGATTATTAAAATGGACGTTGCTAATAAGAAGGGCGTGGAGGCCACCTACGAGGAGATCAAGAAGACCTTCGGCAGCATTGATATTGTGGTAAATGTGGCGGGCATATTCAATGACAAGGATGTGCAGCGCACGCTCCTAGTCAATCTGGTGAGGCAACCAGCTACAATTCTTGGTTACACGATTCGAAAAGTCGATCCCTCTCTTACAGGGCGGCATCATCAATTCCAGCTTGAGCGCTTTGCAGTACATGAGCAAGGAGCACGGCGGCAATGGCGGCATTGTGGTCAACATGAGCTCGGTTGTGGGTTTGGATCCAATGTTTATAATACCTGTTTATGGTGCCACCAAGGCGGGCATTATAAGCTTTACGCGTTGCCTGGGCGTAAGTAGCTAATGGAAACTTGCTGAAGATCCCTTTTCAATTCCACTTTCCGCGACCAGAACGACAAGTTCTATCAACGCTCTGGCATTAGGTTTGCCACAGTCTGTCCCGGCGCCACCATGACGGACATGTTTACCAATTTCACGGAGAAGATCATCTTTCCAGAGACCAGCGATGAGACATATAAGATTCTGGATCGTCTGAGCAAACAGAGCGCCACAGATGTTGCCCGCTGCATTCTGAATGTGCTGGAGAAGGAGAAGAACGGCGCAGTCTATGTGATTGAGGGCAAACGCATCATACCCATTGACATGAAGCCGTACTGGACTGGCAAGGAGCCGGCGCTTTGAACCAACAACATATCCAAAAGCTGAACAATACACAATTAACCACTAATCAATTTGTCGCGGGTAGTTTTTAATAAACAATCAAGCATACTCTATGGGTGGCCATATCTAATCCTGTCGCCAGTTGACCAACACCTCATCCGTACGATATCGTTGCGTTACGAATGCATCTTCCAGTGGCATTTGCGTGCCGGCGCTGAACATTTCGGCGCCCGCATGGGCTATCATTAGGCCATTGTCAATGCAGTAGCGTTCATCGATGGCGAAGAGTTTGCCGTTGCGCTCCTCGCACATGATGCGCATCATCTCCTGCAGGCGCTCGTTGCAGCCCACGCCACCGACAATTAGGACCTGGAACAACCAACAGACTAAGATATACACATGTACGGATATATAGAGAGTCTCTCACTGACCTCATTAGATTCACAGTGCGCCATGGCGCGCTCTGTGATCTCGACTAGCATGGCAAAGATGGTTTCCTGCAGCGAGTAGCATAAATCCGCCTGGCTATACTCGGGCTCCGGTTCATCCTGCTGTTTCTTTCGCTTGTTGCGCCGCTTGCCAGGCTCCGCCAGTTCCTCAATATGCGATAATATGCCAGAGAAGCTGACATCCATGCCCTTTACCACATACGGCAATTTGATGTATTGTTTGCCCTGTTTGGCCAGCTGTTCAATGTTATAGCCCGGACTGGGATCGTTCGACAGCTTGATAATGCGCGCAAATCTGTCCAAACAGTTGCCCACAGCAATGTCTATCGTTTCGCCAAAGATGCGATAGCGTTTGTTGGAGTACGCAATTACCTGGGTATTGCCGCCGCTCACGTACAACACAATTGGATTCTGGGCGCCTGTTATCAATCGACCCATTTCAATGTGGCCAATGCAATGGTTAACACCCAGGAGGGGCTTCTGCCAGAGCAGCGACAGCGTGCGTGCCACAATGGCGCCAACCAGTAGAGGTGGCGCCATGCCAGGACCTTTTGTATAACAGATGACATCCAAGTCGCTGGGCTTAAGTTGTGCCTCCTTCAGACTCGCCTGCACTAGGGCCAAAATTGCCTCGCGATGATGCTTTGCCGTCTCCTTGGGCAGAAAACCTGTTGCATAGATATAAAGTCAAAGCAAATCTAGTTGAATGGCAGTATTCGAGATACCTTCACCGGGCGGTGTTATGTAGGTGCGTCGCACATTTGCCAATACTTTGCCATCGTTTATGATGCCAACGCCAATTTTATTGGCGCTGCCTTCGATGCCCAGCGCACAAACCATAATTGTTTACTTTTGTATTAGAGATGAGCAATATCGGCGCACATGTGACTGGGCTATTGTGACTGACAAATCTCGGACAAACTGTGAGTCACTGTGACTGCAATATTGCTCATCTCTTCTGTGCGCGCCTCTTCTACTTATTTCCAGCTGTTCGATAGCATAACATTAATTATCGATGACAAACATATGTTAAAGTGCATTGCGAATGTCAGTGGCGCCAGTGCGTGTCAGCATGGTTGTGTGAATGTCGCTTTTTAATAGGAGAGCAGAATGTAGTGAAAACAAATCAGTTGATTTTTGCAATATTTTGTATTTATTTTAAAGTACTTAAAATGGAAACGGCTTCAACGCCGACCGAGCCAAACAGTGAGGGCATTGATTTGGCTGCTGATCATAGCTGTGGACTAGCTAATCAGGCGGCTGTAATAAAAATAACAAATGACGCCGACGTGGATGCAGCGACAGATTCTACGGAGCAACAACAGCATCTGGAATGCAAGAGCAAAGTACAATGCGAGAAAAACACAGAGATAGCAACAACAACAAATGAAACTACAACAGAAGATAAGAATACACAAGTAACAAATGAGTTAGCCATAGTTAAGGAAATGCATGCGTCTGTTGTCGAGCAAATGGTCAGACAGAAACCCGAGGACTCCACAGCAGGCATCAGTTATGCAGATCTCAAGGCGCAGGAGGAGGAACAGGAGCTCAGCAAGGATGCTCCACAGCAGGACATACTGGCACATGTGCACTGCCTGGCGCAGCTGGAGGAGCAACGGCGCAGCTATGAACGCCAGCTGGAACAGCTGCGCACGGCAAATGCCCAAAAGGATAATATGATGCAGTTGCTGCAGCGCGAGAATGCGATACTTGATAAGGAGAAACAGGCATTTCGCAATGAAATGGACTTGGCCAACAAGGAGAAGGAGTCGACTGTCATCAAATTTGCCATGAAAGAAAAGCTGCTCATCGATGCCAAAAAGGAGAAGGAGGCTGTCGAGAAGCAGCTGGCCGATGCCAAAAAGGAGGTCAAAAACGTTTCAACTCGCTTTCAGGCGGTGCACGAGGAAAAGTCGCGCATGACCTATATCATTGACGAAAAGGTAAGTCCTTTGCATAAGACAACGAGTCTATGCTAACAATGTTTTCCATTTTGTAGTGCGGCGAGGTGCGCAAGTATCAGCGAGAGCTCGAGAAGCTAAAATTGGAAATGGGTCACTTGGAGTCCAAGCTGAAGTACCATGCCAACAAGCTGAGCATTGAGGTGGAGGCCAAAGCGGTAGGTGGCATATAATATTCCTTAACCTTCTTGGAAATGTAAGCTCTTCTTATCTGGAAACTTTAGCAATTGGAACGCAAGCTGGAAGAAGAACGCAATGCGCCCAACAAACTTGAGGAAAAAGCCAATGGTAAGTCCTTGTGCAGGCTCTTATGTTCACTAATTATTTATATCTATTGTAGAGAAGCTAAAGGTGGAATTTGAAGCCAACTCAATACTCCTGAAACACGACATTATGCGCAAGTCCGAGGCACTGGACAAGCTCACCAAGGAGCATCAAAAGCAAAGTGAGGCTAACAAGGAGCTGCAGCAGCAGCTGCAGGAAATAAACGCAGCGGTACAATCCACTATATCTTTTAATATGCAATTCTGGCTTATTCATCAATGTCCTTTGCTCTGCAGCATCAACAACTGACCGAACAGTTCAAGGAGCTGCAGTCGCAGCATAGCTCCGTGGAGGCAGCCTACAGCGATGAGCTGCTGAATGCGGCCAAGCTGCATAGCCAATTGGCTGAGCTGCAGCTTCTGCGCACGCAGAACACAATGTACGGACTTTCAGCTAATCAAAGTAGCATTAGTTTAGAGTATTTATATTCTTCGGGCTCCGAAGAACCTACCGAACGAATGTTCATGATATTATTGTCCGATGTTGATAAGATTTTGCCTATATGCTTAAAGAGCTTCATTCTGATTTGTTAGGTTTGTTAAGATATCTAGGAAAACTAAAGCAGCTATTGCAGAATTATCTGATCCGTCCGATTCCGACATATGTACTGCCTGCACCCACGCCATGTTTCATATTGATAGCTTTTAACTCAGGGAAACTAGTTTGATTGGCAACAGATGAGTAGACGGACATCGCAAATCGAAGTTTTCTCCACGACAATACCTGAAAAAATTATAATACCATCAATCGCTAATTTATTTCTTACATTTCCACAGCAACGAACAGAAACTGGCTGAGGAGCAGACAAAAGTACAAAAACTGGAGGCCACTGCGCTGGACAATGAGACAGATTTGTCGCAGCTGCAGCAGAAGAAACAGGAACTGTTGAGCATCAACAAGGAGATGAGCGAGCTAATAGTGCGCCTGCAAAATGATATCTGTCTGGCAGAGTCGAAGGTAAGTGCATAAGGAAAAAAATAAAAATATATCTTAAAAAATGTACATGCCCCGGGTGAGGCTCGAACTCACGACCTTAAGATTATGAGACTTACGCGCTGCCTACTGCGCCACCGAGGCCTTGTTGTTAAAGCATTCCAAATCTCCTACTAAATATTCAAATTTCGACGAACAGGCACAAGGTCTTGAGGCAGAGAATAAATTGCTGAAGCAGGAGAAGCTCACATACGATGCCAAATACAGCGAGCTGGAGCAACAGCTGAGCGCGGAGGCGGCCGAGAAAAACGAGGAGCGTCAATTGCTAGCGAAGCATCTGTCGGAGAAGACCAAGCTCTATGAGCTGATCAAAGGCAAGCTGGAAAATGTGCAGGGCGACTTTGAGGCGACGCAGCATAAAAATGCGACGCTGGTCAAGGAGCTGCAAAGGGAGCTACAAAAGTACAAAAGAGGCATTGTAGATGCCAAACCCATTGGCTATTGCAGCAACTGTCAGCAGGCGCTGAATGGCTACGGTCAGGAGCAGCAGCAGCAGCAACCGCTGCGCACACACAGCCGCAACAGCAGCCAGGGCAGCCTGCACAATGGCAGTCGACGTGCCAGCGAATCATCCGAATCCGAAACGGTGGCCAGCAGTGTGACGGCTGTGCCACAGACAGACCTGCAGGCGGTGCCGTCCAAGAAGGTTCTGGTGGAGCGCATTTTGCGCCTGCAGCAGGCCTCAGCGCGTCAGACCGAACGCATCGAATTCCTAGAGAATCACACGGCCATGCTGGTCTCGGAGGTGCAAAAGAAATCCAAGGTGGTGCAGCATTATATGCTGCGCGATCAGACAGCCGGCGCGCTCACCTCCTCCAAGAGTGATCAGAACAAAAGCGAGCTGGTCAAGTACGGCAACGGCGTCATGGCGGCCATCTATGGCGGCGTCAAGGGCGCCGAAAACAAGAGCATGTCCCTGGAGCTCTCGTTGGAGATCAATAAGAAACTGCAGACCGTGTTGGAAGATACGCTACTGAAGAATATAACGCTCAAAGAGAATCTGGATGTGTTGGGCCTGGAGGTGGATAATCTGACGCGTAAGTTGCGCTCATACGAACTAAACAAAGTACAGTGAAATCTCGTTGAGATGTCTACTGTACTCCACACCATTCCATAGTCTAACTGCCTGTAAATATAGTTAAACAAATTCGTTGCGATTAAGTGTAAATTAAAAGTTTAATATGCCAACAAATGCTAAAGCGGATGCAGTGCCTCACAGCAGCCCATCGTAGAGCTTGGCGCTGACTTTCGCCGGTTGGCCCACGTCCATGGACAGCTGCCGCGTGGGCTGCTCTCCGGCTTGGGCCAGGCGCGCCAGCTTGTTGTGCGTCTTCTTGAAGTGCACATTGATTAGTGAATTCGCCTCGCCGGTTTCATCCTTAATATACTCGCGCAGCAGCGGCGGCAGCTCCATCTTTGTGGGCAGCACCACAGGCTCCACCTTTTTGGTGTTGTTTAGAAACTTGTGCTCCTGGTCAACGGGCACCAGCTCGTAGTCGGCCTTGTAGCTGGTGCTGTAGATCTCAACGGGCTTTGGCTGCGTAACGCCGCGCCAGGTCTTCTCCACGGTGACACGAACTTTGCGCTCATTGTCGGGCTATGCATAGGAAATATATAAGATTTGGCTACCACCTGTCTTCGCCGCGCTCACCTGCTCGTCCACCGCCTGCACCTTGAGTATGCGCATGTAGCAGGGCTCCGGATAGCGCTGAAACATGTTACGTATGACCATGCGACCGATGCCCCAGTCGGGCAGATTGCCCACGATCTCCCATAGTGTGTTGCCGCGAAAGTCTGTAGTGCGTCCAATGTACTTGATTACTTTTTGGCTCATGGTGACTACGGCTTTTAATTGATAACTGGAGCGAAGTAAAAATATAGTGGATCGGTCCGGTGTGCTGCTTCTTCTTCTTTTATCAAGCCATTCGCTTGTTATGCAAACAGCTGTGCCTTTAACAGCGCTGCCACTTTTTGCATAGTCATGGCGCGAGAGAGTTTACAGTGGTTGGCAACGCGGTGCATATTTAAATTGTATTAGTGTAGAAAAACACAACAATGCATTGGGTATATGAGAAGAAGAAGGAGAGAGAGAGAGAACAGGCAAATTGGGATGGCAGATCAATAATCGATAACAGCCCCAACCGTGTTGGAGCCTTGCAAGCAGAGCTGTGCTAATTATGTTAATCACAGTTATCGATAATAGTGCCAAAATTTTTCGCTGCCGAAAAGATCCTCGTGTCGCGTGTGTTGTGTTTTGTGCTAAAAATATCATCTATTTATGTGTTAATTAATCATTTTAATGGTGAGTTTTGTTCCATTTATTACAACTATGTATACGGTTAAGCACGTATTACCACGTTTATATTGTATGTTTATATGTACACTTGTGCATTTTCTTATTGGTTTGGAATGCCTATAAATTACATAAATAAGCATTGATACTAGCTACAATTGTTATACGCTTTTGTTAATAAGCGGACTAGCCATTGTGTGCATGCTCTTCGATTGCATCGCTTGCCGTGTGACCCACTCCGCTTGTGTCCAGCTGCTCGTCATACGACTCCAGCTCCTCCTCGTGATTGTGCTCCTGCTGATTGGCGCTCTCGTGCAGTCCAATTGTGGCATGTGCCCCGGCCTTGGATGCATTTACTTGTGCCGCCGCTGCCGAGGAGGCCGCCTTAATGGCCGACTCCTTGGTTGCCGCAAAGTCGACGCGCGCCTGCTGCAGCTGTTCCTCGACCTGTTCTACTCGATTCTTGGCCTGACCCACCATTGTTGCCTGCGAGGCCAGCTGGTTGGACACCTCGTTGGCGGTTTGTTCCGCCTGCTCCGCCAACGATTTGGCATTGTTTACGGCCGCAGTCAGCACGGAGATGTGATTATTCGCCGCTAGAGCGGTTTGCTGCGCCAGCTTGGCGGACAGCTTGGCCGCCTTCAGCTGCTCCAGCTCGCGCGAGAGTGCACGCTGCGCCTCGGCTGCTTGCTGCTCCAGCTCCTGGAGTATCACCTGCTTGCCGGCGAGCGCTGCCTGCGCCGTTGCGGCGGCCTGCGATGCGGCCTGTGCCAGCGTGTTTTTGGCTATGAAAGCGGCCTGCTTGGCCGCCGCATGCTGATTGGCCACGGCTGTGTACGCCTGATCCGCTGATCCCTGGGCTATGGAGCGCAAGCCGCTGCCTATGCTATAGCCAGGCTTGCTACCCTCCCCATGACTTTGGTGGCCTTTCGAGCTGCTGCTTACATGGTGCTGCTGGTGCTGCTGCTGCTGATGCTGCTGCTGCTCCTCCTCCTCGTGTCCTGTTAGCGCGGGCTCAAAGTATCCGCCGCTGCTGTGCTGATGCTGTGCCTGCGGATACGGCTGCAGTTGTCTGTAGTAGTAGCCATTGCGCTTGTGCAGCCTGCCCTCGGCCTGTTGCGAGCAGAACAGCGCTGTATGTGGCACATTAATCCCAAATCCACTTCCACCTAGTCGTTAAACTTACCTAGGAGCAAGTGGCAGAGCAGGCAGCTAAATCCCTTGTTGTACATCTTACTGCTAAAACTGCATTAAACATTTGCTCCGGCTGTTCCGTGGGTTTTATACTCGGCCTGTTCGTCGCCAGCGGTGCATAAATTTTTAGTAGTGCGGAAAGTCAGTTGCGGCTTTTGAGTTTAACGGGCTCTCAACATGTAAGGTTTATAATATTTTTGGGTGATTTGAATATGCCGCACAACAACACCCGCTTGAGGAAGCGCCTCTAAGTTTTATGCTGATTTTGGGTGGTGTAAAGCTGTTGGCTTTGGCGTAACAACTGGCCATCGCATTTGCATTTGATGGGTTGCGCCCAATTGTAATTGATACTAAGCTGCTTATAATATAGTTTCAGTTGCAGTAGATTTTTTATTCCTTTTTTTTTTTTTTTAATTGTTTATTTTTATAAACATAAATTCAATTTAGAGCTATTAAGCAAGATGGGGAAAGTTGTGTGGCGAGGGTGTTCAAGTTGGATTTTTCATTATATAAATATTTCTTTAAGGTTTTGGCACTCATTAGGGGATCTGATGTTTAAATTTTGTATCAAAAACATTCAGAACGGTGTTTAAAAGTCGGACTAACAAGCCGAAGGTTCCTGTTATGAGGGTGGAAAATTATGATCTATGTCTATATATAGAACATTACCGATTTTTTAAGAATTTCAACCAAAAATAATGTTGCCTGATTTATATGCCAAATCAAGAGGACAAACCATGAGCAAAAAGACGAACTTTATTAAAATCTGATAAGATTTGACAAAGTTGTGTGGGTGGGAAATTTTGACCTATGTCTGTATAGGATTTATGAGGATTTACCATTTTAACATGAATTTCGACCAAAATTGATGTTGTCAGATTTAGATGCTACTGCTACTGCTTTAGATGCTCTAGAGCCCAAACCATGAACAAAAAGCCAAACTTTTTGAAAATCGGATGAGATTTGACCGAGTTATGGGGTGGGAAATTTTGACTTATGTCTACATAGGATATTTGAGGGTACCATTTCGACATGAATTTTGACCAAAAATGATGTTGTCAGATTTAGATGCTACACTAATCTAAAACCCCAAACCATGAACAAAAAGACAAACTTTTTGAAAATCGGATGAGATTTGACTGAGTTATGGGGTGGGAAATTTTGACCTATGTCTACATAGGATATTTGAGGGTACCATTTCGACATGAATTTTGACCAAAAATGATGTTGTCAGATTTAGATGCAACATTGATCTAGAGCCCAAACCATGAACAAAAAGCCAAACTTTTTGAAAATCGGATGAGATTTGACCGAGTTATGGGGTGGGAAATTTTGACCTATGTCTACATAGGATATTTGAGGGTACCAATTCGACATGAATTTCGACCAAAAATGATGTTGTCAGATTTAGATGCAACATTGTTCTAGAGCCCAAACCATGAACAAAAAGCCAAACTTTTTGAAAATCGGATGAGATTTGACCGAGTTATGGGGTGGGAAATTTTGACCTATGTCTACATAGGATATTTGAGGGTACCATTTTGACATGAATTTTGACCAAAAATTATGTTGCCAGATTTAAATGCCAAATTTATTTAGAGTGAAAACCATGAACAAAAAGCCAAACTTTTTGAAAATCGGTTCAGATTTGACCGAGTTATGGGGTGGGAAATTTTGACCTATGTCTACATAGGATATTTGAGGGTACCATTTCGACATGAATTTTGACCAAAAATGATGTTGTCAGATTTAGATGCAACATTGATCTAGAGCCCAAACCATGAACAAAAAGACAAACTTTTTGAAAATCGGATGAGATTTGACCGAGTTATGGGGTGGGAAATTTTGACCTATGTCTACATAGGATATTTGAGGGTAACATTTCGACATGAATTTTGACCAAAAATTATGTTGCCAGATTTAAATGCAACATTGATCTCGAGGCCAAACCATGAACAAAAAGCCAAACTTTTTGAAAATCGGATCAGATTTGACCGAGTTATGGGGTGGGAAATTTTGACCTATGTCTACATAGGATATTTGAGGGTACCATTTCGACATGAATTTTGACCAAAAATGATGTTGTCAGATTTAGATGCAACATTAATCTAGAGCCCAAACCATGAACAAAAAGCCAAACTTTTTGAAAATCGGATGAGATTTGACCGAGTTATGGGGTGGGAAATTTTGACCTATGTCTACATAGGATATTTGAGGGTACCATTTCGACATGAATTTTGACCAAAAATGATGTCAGATTTAGATGCAACATTGATCTAGAGCCCAAACCATGAACAAAAAGCAAAACTTTTTGAAAATCGGATGAGATTTGACCGAGTTATGGGGTGGGAAATTTTGACCTATGTCTACATACGATATTTGAGGGTACCATTTCGACATGAATTTTGACCAAAAAAGATGTTGTCAGATTTAAATGCAACTTTGATCTAGAGCCCAAACCATGAACAAAAAGCCAAACTTTTTGAAAATCGGATGAGATTTGACCGAGTTATGGGGTGGGAAATTTTGACCTATGTCTACATAGGATATTTGAGGGTACCCATTTCGACATGAATTTTGACCAAAAATGATGTTGTCAGATTTAGATGCAACATTAATCTAGAGCCCAAACCATGAACAAAAACCCAAACTTTTTGAAAATCGGATGAGATTTGACCGAGTTATGGGTTGGGAAACTTTGACCTATGTCTACATAGGATATTTGAGGGTACCATTTCGACATGAATTTTGACCAAAAATTATGTTGCCAGATTTAAATGCCGAATTTATTTAGAGTCAAAACCATGAACAAAAAGCCAAACTTTTTGAAAATCGGATGAGATTTGACCGAGTTATGGGGTGGGAAATTTTGACCTATGTCTACATAGGATATTTGAGGGTACCATTTCGACATGAATTTTGACCAAAAATGATGTTGTCAGATTTAGATGCAAGATTAATCTAGAGCCTAAACCATGAACAAAAAGACAAACTTTTTGAAAATCGGATGAGATTTGACCGAGTTATGGGGTGGGAAATTTTGACCTATGTCTACATAGGATATTTGAGGGTAACATTTCGACATGAATTTTGACCAAAAATTATGTTGCCAGATTTAAATGCAACATTGATCTCGAGGCCAAACCATGAACAAAAAGCCAAACTTTTTGAAAATCGGATGAGATTTGACCGAGTTATGGGGTGGGAAATTTTGACCTATGTCTACATAGGATATTTGAGGGTACCATTTCAACATGAATTTTGACCAAAAATGATGTCAGATTTAGATGCAAGATTAATCTAGAGCCCAAACCATGAACAAAAAGCCAAACTTTTTGAAAATCGGATCAGATTTGACCGAGTTATGGGGTGGGAAATTTTGACCTATGTCTACATAGGATATTTGAGGGTACCATTTCGACATGAATTTTGACCAAAAATGATGTTGTCAGATTTAGATGCAACATTGATCTAGAGCCCAAACCATGAACAAAAAGCCAAACTTTTTGAAAATCGGATGAGATTTGACCGAGTTATGGGGTGGGAAATTTTGACCTATGTCTACATAGGATATTTGAGGGTACCATTTCGACATGAATTTTGACCAAAAATGATGTTGTCAGATTTAGATGCAACATTGATCTAGAGCCCAAACCATGAACAAAAAGCCAAACTTTTTGAAAATCGGATGAGATTTGACCGAGTTATGGGGTGGGAAATTTTGACCTATGTCTACATAGGATATTTGAGGGTACCATTTCGACATGAATTTTGACCAAAAATTATGTTGCCAGATTTAAATGCAACATTGATCTAGAGCCCAAACCATGAACAAAAAGCCAAACTTTTTGAAAATCGGATCAGATTTGACCGAGTTATGGGGTGGGAAATTTTGACCTATGTCTACATAGGATATTTGAGGGTACCATTTCGACATGAATTTTGACCAAAAATTATGTTGCCAGATTTAAATGCAACATTGATCTAGAGCCCAAACCATGAACAAAAAGCCAAACTTTTTGAAAATCGGATCAGATTTGACCGAGTTATGGGGTGGGAAATTTTGACCTATGTCTACATAGGATATTTGAGGGTACCATTTCGACATGAATTTTGACCAAAAATGATGTTGTCAGATTTAGATGCAACATTAATCTAGAGCCCAAACCATGAACAAAAAGCCAAACTTTTTGAAAATCGGATGAGATTTGACCGAGTTATGGGGTGGGAAATTTTGACCTATGTCTACATAGGATATTTGAGGGTACCATTTCGACATGAATTTTGACCAAAAATTATGTTGCTAGATTTAAATGCAACATTGATCTAGAGCCCAAACCATGAACAAAAAGCCAAACTTTTTGAAAATCGGATCAGATTTGACCGAGTTATGGGGTGGGAAATTTTGACCTATGTGTACATAGGATATTTGAGGGTACCATTTCGACATGAATTTTGACCAAAAATTATGTTGCCAGATTTAAATGCAACATTAATCTAGAGCCCAAACCATGAACAAAAAGCCAAACTTTTTGAAAATCGGATGAGATTTGACCGAGTTATGGGGTGGGAAATTTTGACCTATGTCTACATAGGATATTTGAGGGTACCATTTCGGCATGAATTTTGACCAAAAATGATGTCAGATTTAGATGCAAGATTAATCTAGAGCCCAAACCATGAACAAAAAGACAAGCTTTTTGAAAATCGGATGAGATTTGACCGAGTTATGGGTTGGGAAACTTTGACCTATGTCTACATAGGATATTTGAGGGTACCATTTCGACATGAATTTTGACCAAAAATTATGTTGCCAGATTTAAATGCAACATTGATCTAGAGCCCAAACCATGAACAAAAAGCCAAACTTTTTGAAAATCGGATCAGATTTGACCGAGTTATGGGGTGGGAAATTTTGACCTATGTGTACATAGGATATTTGAGGGTACCATTTCGACATGAATTTTGACCAAAAATGATGTTGTCAGATTTAGATGCAACATTAATCTAGAGCCCAAACCATGAACAAAAAGCCAAACTTTTTGAAAATCGGATGAGATTTGACCGAGTTATGGGGTGGGAAATTTTGACCTATGTCTACATAGGATATTTGAGGGTACCATTTCGACATGAATTTTGACCAAAAATTATGTTGCCAGATTTAAAAGCCAAACTTTTTGAAAATCGGATGAGATTTGACCGAGTTATGGGGTGGGAAATTTTGACCTATGTCTACATAGGATATTTGAGGGTACCATTTCGGCATGAATTTTGACCAAAAATGATGTTGTCAGATTTAGATGCAAGATTAATCTAGAGCCCAAACCATGAACAAAAAGACAAGCTTTTTGAAAATCGGATGAGATTTGACCGAGTTATGGGTTGGGAAACTTTGACCTATGTCTACATAGGATATTTGAGGGTACCATTTCGACATGAATTTTGATCAAAAATTATGTTGCCAGATTTAAATGCCAAATTTATTTAGAGTCAAAACCATGAACAAAAAGCCAAACTTTTTGAAAATCGGATGAGATTTGACCGAGTTATGGGGTGGGAAATTTTGACCTATGTCTACATAGGATATTTGAGGGTACCATTTCAACATGAATTTTGACCAAAAATGATGTCAGATTTAGATGCAAGATTAATCTAGAGCCCAAACCATGAACAAAAAGCCAAACTTTTTGAAAATCGGATCAGATTTGACCGAGTTATGGGGTGGGAAATTTTGACCTATGTCTACATAGGATATTTGAGGGTACCATTTCGACATGAATTTTGACCAAAAATGATGTTGTCAGATTTAGATGCAACATTGATCTAGAGCCCAAACCATGAACAAAAAGCCAAACTTTTTGAAAATCGGATGAGATTTGACCGAGTTATGGGGTGGGAAATTTTGACCTATGTCTACATAGGATATTTGAGGGTACCATTTCGACATGAATTTTGACCAAAAATTATGTTGCCAGATTTAAATGCAACATTGATCTAGAGCCCAAACCATGAACAAAAAGCCAAACTTTTTTAAAATCGGATGAGATTTGACCGAGTTATGGGTTGGGAAACTTTGACCTATGTCTACATAGGATATTTGAGGGTACCATTTCGACATGAATTTTGACCAAAAATTATGTTGCCAGATTTAAATGCCAAATTTATTTAGAGTCAAAACCATGAACAAAAAGCCAAACTTTTTGAAAATCGGATGAGATTTGACCGAGTTATGGGGTGGGAAATTTTGACCTATGTCTACATAGGATATTTGAGGGTACCATTTCGACATGAATTTTGACCAAAAATGATGTCAGATTTAGATGCAAGATTAATCTAGAGCCCAAACCATGAACAAAAAGCCAAACTTTTTGAAAATCGGATCAGATTTGACCGAGTTATGGGGTGGGAAATTTTGACCTATGTCTACATAGGATATTTGAGGGTACCATTTCGACATGAATTTTGACCAAAAATGATGTTGTCAGATTTAGATGCAACATTGATCTAGAGCCCAAACCATGAACAAAAAGCCAAACTTTTTGAAAATCGGATGAGATTTGACCGAGTTATGGGGTGGGAAATTTTGACCTATGTCTACATAGGATATTTGAGGGTACCATTTCGACATGAATTTTGACCAAAAATTATGTTGCCAGATTTAAATGCAACATTGATCTAGAGCCCAAACCATGAACAAAAAGCCAAACTTTTTGAAAATCGGATCAGATTTGACCGAGTTATGGGGTGGGAAATTTTGACCTATGTCTACATAGGATATTTGAGGGTACCATTTCGACATGAATTTTGACCAAAAATGATGTTGTCAGATTTAGATGCAACATTAATCTAGAGCCCAAACCATGAACAAAAAGCCAAACTTTTTGAAAATCGGATGAGATTTGACCGAGTTATGGGGTGGGAAATTTTGACCTATGTCTACATAGGATATTTGAGGGTACCATTTCGACATGAATTTTGACCAAAAATGATGTTGTCAGATTTAGATGCAACATTAATCTAGAGCCCAAACGATGAACAAAAAGCCAAACTTTTTTAAAATCGGATGAGATTTGACCGAGTTATGGGGAGGGAAACTTTGACCTATGTCTACATAGGATATTTGAGGGTACCATTTCGACATGAATTTTGACCAAAAATTATGTTGTCAGATTTAGATGCAACATTGATCTAGAGCCCAAACCATTAACAAAAAGCCAAACTTTTTGAAAATCGGATGAGATTTGACCGAGTTATGGGGTGGGAAATTTTGACCTATGTCTACATAGGATTTTTGAGGGTACCATTTCGACATGAATTTTGACCAAAAATGATGTTGTCAGATTTAGATGCAACATTGATCTAGAGCCCGAACCATTAACAAAAAGCCCAACTTTTTGAAAATCGGATGAGATTTGACCGAGTTATGGGGTGGGAAATTTTGACCTATGTCTACATAGGATATTTGAGGGTACCATTTCGACATGAATTTTGACCAAAAATGATGTTGTCAGATTTAGATGCAACATTGATCTAGAGCCCAAACCATGAACAAAAAGCCAAACTTTTTGAAAATCGGATGAGATTTGACCGAGTTATGGGGTGGGAAATTTTGACCTATGTCTACATAGGATATTTGAGGGTACCATTTCGACATGAATTTTGACCAAAAATTATGTTGTCAGATTTATATGCAACTTTGATCTAGAACCCAAACGATGAACAAAAAGCCAAACTTTTTGAAAATCGGATGAGATTTGACCGAGTTATGGGGTGGGAAATTTTGACCTATGTCTACATAGGATATTTGAGGGTACCATTTCGACATGAATTTTGACCAAAAATGATGTTGTCAGATTTAGATGCAACATTGATCTAGAGCCCAAACCATGAACAAAAAGCCAAACTTTTTGAAAATCGGATGAGATTTGACCGAGTTATGGGGTGGGAAATTTTGACCTATGTCTACATAGGATATTTGAGGGTACCATTTCGACATGAATTTTGACCAAAAATTATGTTGTCAGATTTAGATGCAACATTGATCTAGAGCCCAAACCATGAACAAAAAGCCAAACTTTTTGAAAATCGGATGAGATTTGACCGAGTTATGGGGTGGGAAATTTTGACCTATGTCTACATAGGATATTTGAGGGTACCATTTCGACATGAATTTTGACCAAAAATTTTTCATAACGGAAATAGTTTTTTTTGTCATAAATTAATTTATTTAAATAGTTTTAAATTTATTACAAGTATAAAAAATAAATTAATTAATATAAACACAACTATTTTACACAATACAAATTGGAACTTGAATGGACAGCAATACAAGAGATTGCCAAGGCACTCGCTAACTTATTGAACAATCGAGTCTGAGCTCGACAAGTGTGACAAAGAGTTTGTGGGTCATAACAATAAAAAAAATATAATAACAAGGTAATAAGGAGGCCTAAACGTACAGTAAATAATGGTAACGAGCGGTAACAGTAATTCGAGTGGGCTAACAAACACGAGCGAGTGACGGGTGTTACATAAGGAAATGGCTGCTCAAAAGTGAAAAACGAATTGATCAGAGGCGTCGTCATTTCTTATGCTGCCCCCCGCGTGGTAGGCGTTGATTGTGGGTGCCTCTGTGGTGACGTCTGTTAATCATTTGTAGCTCTGCGTGATTTGCTGAATCCAAGGCAAGTAGGCAGAGACCTTAACATAGACACCGGGCACATTCACCTGACCGCAACCAATGCCCCAGGAGACGACACCGACCACGTTCCAGACACCGTTGCGCTCGCAGACCAATGGACCGCCGCCATCGCCCTTGCAGGCATCCTTGCCCTCCTCGCCGCCGGCGCAGATAAAGCCGGGATTGAGCTTGTAGCTGTAGCCAAGACGCGTGTTGCGCAGCTGGGCTTCGCACTGATGATGCGACAGAATGGGCACATCGACCTCCTTCAGTATGTTCTGGTATTTGCCGTGCTCACCGAAAGCATCCTTGCCCCAGCCAGTGGTCCAGCAGCGGGCATTGGTGAAATCGGAATACTGATCGGGCAGACAGGCGGGGCTAATGTGCGGGTTCTTGGTGAAGTCGACAGGGTGGTCCAGCTTCAGAATAGCCAGGTCATTATCGAGCGTGCCAGCATAGTACTCGGGATGAATGTGCACGGAGACAACATCGCGTTCAATATAGGGGAAGAATTCGACATCATGATTCACATCCCACTCGCCCAGGCGCACGCGCAGATCGAAACCATTTTGACTGTGGAAAGAATTAATGACTTAGCAAAAGCCTAGCGAGGAGTTTTGTGAAATTTTCACTTACGATTTAATGCAATGGGCCGCCGAGATGATGTGCTGGGCGTCGATGAGGGTGCCACCGCAGGCGTAGATCGACTCCTTGGGATCCTTCTTCAGTATGGCCACATGCCAGGGATATTCACCGAATTCACTGTCGCCATCGACATAAACTGGATTCTTGATGCGACCTGTTATGCCGGCAGCGTTCCTTACACCACAACGTCCCAGCTGTTGCTGAGGTGGTGCCTGTGGGCGCAGTGGGCGGCGGCAGCAGACCTCGTTGATGCGGCAGGTCTTCTCAACAGGACGGTTGCCGTAGTAAGCGCGCTGCAAGTTAAATTGACAAATAATAGTTGAAGGATTAGAATTTGTTAAAGGTGGTTTTCCCGTTCAGATCCCAGATCATTAACTGCAGATATTGTTACCTGCTCTGTTCCCAACTCAGACTCATCCACATTATCCACGCTTCTTCGCCTGCGATCATGGGGAAAGGTCACATAATCACTGCCCGTTGCAGCGCCAGGCGCTTGAGTGGGTATATTATGCACTTGTCCCAAATTCAATTGCTTGCCACGGCGACTAGGTGCCGTCCAATCGGGCGCGCTGACATTCACGCTACGCTCATGATGTTGGGAATAATCCCCATAGCTGCCAAATCCACTGGAACCAAAATCGGAGTGCGAAGTCTCGGGATAAATCGAGTTGAAGGAGTGATCAAATGGGGCCTCTGAGTGAAGCTCAGCATGATGCTCAGCGTGATGTACAGCATGATGTTCCGCGTGATGTTCATCGTGATGATAATGCTGTACGGGCGGATACAATGAGGGTCCACTGTGATACTCAAAAATGGGCGTGCTGGGCACCATCTCAACGCTAAAGTGTTCAATGTGTGCCGGTCCGGTGCTTTCGAACGCGTGGTGGTGCGACGGTGCGCTATAGTGGTGCGGATGGTGATCATGTTCGTAGCCGCTGAAGTGATCGTGGTGATGGTAATGCGTGCTGTAGAGTTCGGTGGGTTTCTTCTTGAAGAAATCGCCCACTTTCTGAATGATATTCGTATTGGGTGTCACATGGAGATTGACCAGAGGCTTGACTACCTTCTCGCCGTAATCCGTTTTGCTCACTTGCAGCGAGACCAGAGGATTGACATTGACTAGACCCAGATTCAGACCGTTGGGACCCAAGGATCCAAAGTTTGGATTCTGTGCGGGATAATAATCACCCAAGACATTGGCTGGATAGCCGCCCGGGTTGCCAGCCGAAGGGTAGGGCAGGCCGAAACTAACGCCATATGTGGGCAGAACCTTGCGCTGTATGAGCTCAATGGCTTGGAGGGCGGGCAAAGCCAGCGGAGATGGTCCGAGTAGTCCCTGACGCTGCAGGAAGAAGGACACGTAGTTAGGCTGGCGCCAAAGAGCTGATGGACGTGCGACCTTTAGACCCCGTGCGTGGTTAAGTTGGTTTTAGTTGCAGTTGGATTAGTGACGATCCCGAATCGGTGGCAACCAACCCACGCACGCAGGGCGCAGGGAGACGACGACGAGCGGGTTGTTTTGATTTTTAGTGGACCTTGGCGGAGTTTGAGTTGAGTTGAGCGTGGAGCGTTGATCAATGGGTGCAGTTTGGTTGTGTTTGCGTGTATGTGTGTTTACGTGTGCGTGTGTGTGTGGGTGTGTGGAGGGTCTAGAGCACAATTAGTCTCAACTAGGGGGCATTATATACTAGGTGTCAATCGCATTAGTTGGGGCAGTAACATGATCTGGGGATTCAAGGCTTAGCTAAGTAAACATAGACACTTACCCCTTGGGCATCCAATGAGAGATCGCTGTTGTCCTCCTCCTTGTTGTCAGCATCGGTTTGGCGACGTGTGCGTTTCTTTTCTTCCTCATCCTTCTTGTCCTCCTTGGCGTCAGCCTTAACAGTAGCATTGGAATTGGGGGCAGCATCATCGCTCAGCGCTTCAATGTCCTTGCCCAGATTTCTCGGATCAATGGGCAGAATCAGATCCTCTTTGCGGCCAATGCGATCGGCGGCAGGGCACTGAGAAATGGGCACGCACTGGCAGTCGACGATTTGCTGACGGGAAGTGTCATAGCCACCGGCGCCCTGGTACAAGCCACCCTGGTTTTGACCACCGAATCCTGAGGAGAGGCCATTGTAGTTGCTAGAGGCGCCACCTTGCAGCTCCTTCTTGTAGTAGTCGGGATTCTGGCTGTGATAGCTGCCGCTGGGCGAGCCACTGAAACCATTCTGGCCGAAACCGCCGGATTGTGACAAACCGGAGCTGCTGCCGAAGCTGCCCAAGCCGGATGTAGGCTTATACAAATCGCCATTTGGTTTCTGAGAGGGATAGCCCTGGGAGAGCAGACCACCCTGGGAAGCACTATTGAAGCCAGCGTTGAAGGCATTGGACTGTGAGAAGCCTGAGCTGGAAGCCTGAGCCTGGGGTGTGTAGGTGGCTGAGGATTGGGCCAGGGCGCTGAAGTCGGTGTTAACGGTTTGTCCGCCGCCAACGGGAATAGGCACACTTGGAATATTGGCACCCTCGCCGCCATCGACGTGATGGAAGTGATGATGGACATGCTGCTGCAGACCCGCATCGATGGGTGCACCCACAACAACCTTGGTGCTGGACGAGGAGGCGGCTGAAGATGAGGACGATTGTTGTGCATAGAAGCCATTCAGAGTAGAGCTGGCACCTTGAATCTTTTCTGGATTCTCAAAATTGTACGGAGGCACTCCATTAGAGGGACCATTGTAGAGAGGACCGGACGGAAGAGCGGACGCAGGACCGTTAGGCGGGCCACTATAAAGGGGGCCAGGTGGTTTGCTGTCATAGATGAGAGCGCCAGGTGGAGGCTTGGAGTAGGTAATGCCATCAGAGCCATCAATTGCCGATGGTGGTGGGTGTTCCAGATAGGCACCGCCGAACTGACCGCCTGGTCTGTACAAACTGTTCATGGGCGGCTTATATGAACCCTCATAGCCAACCTTGCGTGGTGGTCCGAAGGAGTTCACTGAGCTGGGTGGTGGACCACCCATTGGCGGACGTCCACTGAAATAGCTTGGTGGTGGCATGGGTTTAGCTGGTCCATAGGGGCCGCCGCCAAAGCCAGATGGTGGTGGTGGTCCTTGTGCGTAGATGGTCGAGTAGAAAGGACGCTTCTCCTCCACATCGCAGCTCATCAGACCCAGACCGCAAAGCTTGTCGCGGATTAGATTGCGTGCCTGCATATCGTTGCCTTCCTGGAGCGCCTGGTCAATATTGCCATCCGCATATACAGCATCATATTCGCCCAGATTGCGTCCTTCGCGTCGGGAGTTAATCAGCTGATCGATGACGGTGTCAATCTCCGTGGCATTGCTCTGAGTGCTCTCATGCACGGCATAGTTGCGGCCCTGCGTCTCCTCGGCGGGTTTTGTGTCGGCGGAACGTCTGCTCAGCATGGAGTCTGTGTCCATGGGCGCCCATTCGTTGCCCCAGTTCGAATCGGCGGCAATTAGCGTAACGCTAGCCGCCAGCACCATCAACCAAGTCAGACCATGTCTCATTCTCATTCTCATTGTGTGTGTGTGGCGTCTGTGTGAATGGAAGAAAGGTAGTTTCGGGCGTTACATAATCTGCTTGACACCAATAACCCAGACCATAATAAACTAACTGGTCATTGTCCCAATTTACGCTCACCAGCCCCTCTCACAACTGCCAACCTCCATGCCCGCCGCCGTCCCGCTCTTTCACGGGCATTTCTCGGGCTGTGGCAATCGTGAAACCGGTTGCGGGCAAACGTCTTGAAATCTTCGCGCTGACTCAGAGCTCGGCTTGAAAAGACTTTTACTTTCGTTCGAGGTCGCAGACCGTGCATGATTGCCGGCTCTAGCCCCACTCCGCTGCCCATATATGAGGTAATTTTACCTGCTTCGAGATTTGGCAAGCCCCAAACGGATCGCTCAACATGATCTCTGCCTTGACAGCTGCGTCCGCTCCGATCTCAGATCTGGCTCTACGCTGTGTGCATTTTCGTAACTCCCCCGAAAACTGTTCGCTCTTTACTGCGTGTTATGTCATTTACATTTTTAATGTGTTTTTCTTTCTGGAGCGTGGGCTGTAGCGATCTGTTGCGATCTTCGAGCCATTTTATTAAATTCGGCTTATATAAAGCGGAGTCTTGCGTCTTCCAGCGAACGGAAGTCGTGTGCAACGTTGCATTGCAATTTGCGGGACGCACGCCGGGGGGTACTCTGCTTTTTGCCTGGGCAATAAAGTCAATTTCTGTGTGTGTTTGTGTGCGGGGCGCATGCAAATGACTGGGAGCTTGTCTTGGGATTTGCAGTGAAAGTTTTTGATATAGGGTTTGGGTCGTTGACTTGAACATATCAATCGGAAATTGGGTGTGGTGGGAGCACTTGAATTGACTGTGAGGATATAAGGTCGGAAGGATTTCTGGCCTGGAAAGAAGCTTGCAAGTCAAGCTTGTCGTTCTTCCATTGGGCTTGCTGACAAATTCGAATTAGCAGAGAATAATTTGAGAAAGGGGAACCAGGCTTTGTTCATAAACATTATTAATAAGCAGATCTTACTGCTTGGGAAGGCAGATCCAATTATCGGAATCGGGTGTCTTTGCCCTTTGTGTGGCGCTCTTCTATGTGAAGCCTACAAGGGTCCCCTTTAATCTTACAGGTCTTACCAATACTATTATTTCTGTCCTATAACGTTTTTCTATTTTAAGAAGTCTTGGCTTGAACTCGGGTACGATCTACACTTAAAGATTGTATTATTTTCGTCCATTTTGTTATGGTCTTAAACTTGTCTTTCACTAGTTATACGTCTATTCCATAACAATTTTTCTGGGAACTCAAATATTGTTCTGCTTAAGGTAGCATTTCACTTGAAACTTGTCCCTTTTATTTTAGACATATTTTAATTTATTCAGGCAACGGTCTTCCACTTGGTATTCAGCTCTCGTTTAACCCACTTCTTTTTAACACATATCACTTTCTGCTGCTGTCTTGCGCACTCTTACTAACCTTTTTATTATAAATATTCCAATGTGTGTTTGTGTTTGTTGTAATCCTTATGTAAGTGGTTGCTTTTATCCTATCACTGCACCACTGCACCGCTCGCTGTGTGTCTGCTTCGTTTGTAGGCGATTTATTCACTGATTTCGCTTTCGACTGCGCCGCGCATTTTATACAAAAGCTGCGCATGCGCAATGCCGACGTCGACGTCGCAGCTGCTGCTTTTGCGAATTGTTGGCTCAAAACAAAACAGAGAGGCCATAGTGGGGCTCATTTTCTGGCTATGACGTCAAAGTCTTTATTTTTGGGTTTTTTCTGGGCCTACTGCGACTGCATTCTGCGTATCTGCGAAGGTTAAGATGAGGTCTAAGCGGAAACCTTAGCTGCACGCTGAACCAAACTGAAGCTAAACGCGTTGCTGCAATCGTGTGAACAAAAGATGGCTCGTAAGAGAAATAAATAAAATAAAAATAAAACATGTTGAAAACTCTTGCGACCAAATTAGCGCTTTATGTTTTGAATGTGGGCTGCAGCTAATGTCGCGAGATGTTTCAGATGTCCAAATTTTCACCAGTTTCCGCTTAAGGCGCCAGCTTTTGTGCAACAGCCAACAACAGATTATGAAATTTGCAATTATTAATTGGGTCAGTAACGACACAACACACGAGAAATGACCCAAAGACGGGGCAACGGAGGGCAACTGGGCCGCGCTGACTAAGCGACAAGCCGCAAAGGGCCAACGGGCTCAAAACCGGATCTGGCCTAAAATTTGTAGTCGCAATTGTTTATCCCCATATTTACCCCCATGGCCGGCGCAAACAAACTCACGTCCAGACGCGACTGTCATTCATCTGAATCAAAATGATTTTTCTGAAGCGGTTTTACCCGAAGTTCATAAAAATTAAAACGCGTCTCGCATATCGCCCGACAACTTGTTCGCGTGCCCAAATGCTGCCGATGATTCGTTAGTATATTGTATATTGTGTGTGGTCAGTGATGCTTTCTGATCAATATTCACCAGCTACTTGCACTACTCTCTAATCAGCTAATCAGCAGTCGGTCGCCGTCACAGTCAGTTGTAAGTGTGTGATTGACCTTCCAGCGATTGGCAAGCGTTTAGAGCCGGGCTTAAGTGGCATTTTATGTTAACTATTCCATGAAAGCTAGATAATATGTGCAAGCAGGCCGCTGCTCCATGCTAATTATGCTAATCAGCATAATCATTTCTCTCATAAATACCATGTAAACATTATGCATGAAAAGAGTATGCTAGCGCTGTATAAATGCATGTACCTGTAAAGTATTTATTCTTGATTCATCTTCATTGTATATATACTTTTATTTTCCCTATAGAGCTTTACGCTTCAAATCCATGCATCCATTTTGTATCTCATCTCGAAGTTTATATTAGAGAAGTTTCCACATTCCCCACGAAAACTAAAAAGACTATTTTTAAAGTAATTTTTAGTATATGCACTTATTCCAGTTTCATTTTTCATTTGTATAATAATTGGGGAATAAATACATACTTTGTTTTAACAATAGCTTCTTCATATCATGGGTTAAGGAGTGAGAAGCGCAGAGGCAGGCGCAATTTGTTTCATACGAAGCTGGTTACAGGGTATCTCCTGGTCGGCCAGCCTCGACTGCTCGTTGGTAATGCTATTGTTGTCTCGATTGTTTGGCAAACAGTCGCCAGCTCAAGCGTTCGTGTAGCTTTTATCAATCAAAGCTTTGGCCATCGGGTTTTTACTTCGCTTGACTCAGCCAAAGCTTCAGTTTGGCTGAGGGCATGTTTGAAGCAGACGCACTTCCGATTGAGTTTTGTGGAAATTAGTTAAATATTTGCCAGGTGAATTCCCAATAGTCGCCGCTTGAACTTGACCTCAGGCTGTGCACCTTGTTGCGGCCACAAGTGACAGCTTATGGACGCGTGCGTAATCGGGTTCAGGGTTTCAAATAATCTCTTAATTGCAATTTCGAATCAAATTGCGCTCAAGTTGTCTTGTGCCAAATGTTGTGCTTCAAATACAATTTAAAAATATAAGCTTATAGTTTTAAAAAACTTTAAAATTGATTGGGTTAAACATTTTTGAAGGTTTACCCAAGCTCTTCTTGAATCTATATAATTTACGGTCTATTGGAATTGTTGGCAACTGATCATAAAAATAATGTAACTATCGCTGAGAATAGATAGAATGATGCTGGGTTAAGAGGGTTATCGTTACATTAACTATTTTGTTTACTACTTTAAATAAAGTAAAATAATTATGTTAGGGTTGCAAAAAGTACAAGAATACTCAAGACAGAGACTCTTGAAAATAGTCGGTTATATCTATAGTGGAAATTATAGTGTGCCAGGTCAAGACCTCATGTTGATAGTTTTTAAAACACAAACATCGAAGTATATCCCAGATTAATCAAAGCTTATATTCCCTTTCTACAGTGTCCACAAACCACAAACATCAAAGCAATCCTTGATTAATCATCGTTTATAGTTTAACTTATGTTGAAATTTGCTTTTGCCAGACTCTTAATGTGTAGACGAAAGAAAAAGTAAAGAAACCCAAGAAATTAAGCTCAGCTAAAAAACCTAATAACCCATCAATTGTTTACTCTCGTTGAATCAAATCCTTACTTTAGTCGACATCAAATCAAATCAAGCTCAATCAATCGATAGACAACTTATGAGCTACACGCCTAGAGTTTTAGTTAATAAATCGATAAAATCGAAATTTATTGATTTTTTACCATCTCTAGCTTTATTGAAATAACCAAAACCTTGCTAATCTGCGTTGATTTGCACACAGCCCATCCCTTCTCTGCATTGACTCAAATTTAAGCCCAAAATGGTTTGTCTTCAATTTTGTCTCTCTTTGTCGTTGCCTCTCTGTTTCTCATGCCGAAGGTCTTGCTTTTATCTCTGGCTCTGTGTGACAATTGCCCAATAACCAATAACTGAATAACGCCCACACATCCAACTATTTTGGCGAGTTTCTTTACATATATGAGGCAAGCGAGTAAACCCGGCTCTAATATTGGGGAAGCTTGTTTGCAGCTGCAATTGCAACCGCATTCATACCAAATAATTGCAACTGTGCCACGGATTTGCCCAAAACTTACGAAAAATGAGGCTTGGAAAATCCCGGCTAAAAAGCAAAATGCAAGAGACGCCAAGCTTCAGTTAACACTTGGCCTAGCCAATTCTCTCAGCTCACACAGCCGGTCGTTAAACAGCAGGCCTTGGGGAAACCCCAGCTAAAGTTTTTGTGGCAAGCCATTCAGCTTCGACTCAGCCGCAGCCTCAGCCTCAGCCTCTGTTTGTATTTGTATCTCAGTGTTTGCTGGCTTACATAATCCAAGCACCAAATGCAGTCGATGGCGGCACGCGATGCATTCGAGCAGAGCGAATAGTTCGGATCGTGATTCATTTGTTTCAAATTATGTTTCAATATACCCTAACAAGGGGTATTTTAATAAGTATATGGCATATATGAGCTTATAAAATGTATACGCTTTTTATATGCATAATAAGTTGAGGCTATATAATCCTACCTATCTATCCATATATTTGACTGTTCTATCTGAACCAGCCTTCCTGTGCAGTTGTGTGAAGGAAAATAAGTCCAAGTCCATAATTTTGAACCATATATATCATATCATTATATATATATATATCATATCATATCGTATCTCATCATATTATATCATATCATATCATAAAATATCACAGCATAAATCGATTGAAAAAAATACTTTTATCAGCTTAACTTCTCATCATAACAACACGATTTAAACTACTTGCTATGGTCTTGATTAAGATCAGTCTACAATCTAGTAGTAGATTTCTCATAAGTCTGTAAAGGAATTAAGTCTAACATATCTGACACTTCCTAAATGTCTGCTGGCGTATTCCTTATGAAGGATATACATTCCTGATCAGTATTAATTGCTGAGTCGACATTTCTGTCTGTCTATTTGTGCAAACTGTTTGCTTAGTTTTAAAGATATCTTGGTGATAATCTGAAAGTGTAGTAGTGCGGCCGGATCGGACCACCATATAATACAGCAGTCAGATAAATTATCAGTGGTATCAGTATCAATTTCTTGTTTAAATTTTTTAATGAATACAACTTTTACATATATATTAGAGTATTATATATTCGTCATGCAATTCTCTTTGTTTTGATATCATATTGTTTTGATTCGTTTTGGTTTTTTGGGATTTGCTTTGTGCACGCAGCTGGAATTTAAATAAGTTAATTTTGTTTTTTTTTGTGTTGCTTTTGGTTTTTTGCGGCGTTTGTTTTGCTTTTGCGAAACTGCATGTAATAAATTTGTATTGCTTTATTATTGTTGTTGTTGCTGTAGCTGGATTATTGTATTTATTAGTTGGTTAATCGCCAAGGTCATTCACCCACATTGTGTGCGCGGCATATTCAAGCAGGCCGCACGGGCTAAAATAGGGTCCGTCCAGGTGACTCATGATCCGAGCTGCTGCAGACTCTATTGTCGTTGTCTTGGATAGATAGTTGTGCAATGCTGAGTTGTAACACCCGCATAGTTAAATAATTGTAATTGTATTGACCTTTCACTGGCACGAGCACTGGCTTAATGCTCAGCTAATGTGGCAAGGAAACAATAGCAACAAGTTGCATGCCGCCAAAGTTTATGTGAAGTTGCGCCACAAATGCTGCTTCCGGCGCCAAGAAAAATACACCTATGGGCGACACGGTGAAAGCCCTGCTGCAAGTTCACATCTGTTAATCATTTGTGGCAGCTCAAATGTTGTGCGTTGTTTGCTCCGCTCGCTGAGATTACATAAATTATTCAAGTTGATTTCTTGCCTACCTTTTTATACCCTGCACCCATTTGAAGTGGGAAAAGAGGCCCTTTTGCCTAGCAATTGTAGTTTTCCAAAACTTTTGTTAATTATACCCCCAAATCGAAAAATGCCCGCTTCAAGCTTTTCTGGCATAGTTTGTGCTGTTTATGCACAAAAATTTGGTCTGTATATTATTATCAATTTCTTAGCAATGTTTTTGGAACATATATCGGGAATTATAAGAGCTAGGGCGCCAAATTTGTTACCGCGAATTCATTATGTTACCACTGCTCGAGTTTGGGTACAGGGAATCTTCTAGTGAACACACTCGATTAAATCACTCCTGCTCCTTGTTGTTGCGTTTCTTTTGCCAAATTGCCCAGTTCTGGTCGCAGCTTGTAAACTTTTTGGTCACTTATCCTAAGTGCTGGAGCTCTGATTGGCCTGGCAAATATTTTGCTTAGCCAGAAAGTTCTGCGTCTCAACCTATTTTTCTGCTCCGGTTAACTTGTTAGGTTCTGTTTCTTTTGTATACGCCAAAAGGGACCGCCCATGGCCATGGCCATGACCAATGCCGCTGGCCCAGGCCCAGGTCCGACCGCTCTGCGATGACAGCATAACGACGCATTCAAATGCCGCTCTATTGATAAACAAACAAACCGATTACGCAGCGGTGAGCTGACAATAATCGCCCAACCACCCAATCGCCCGTTGTGATAATTGTGTGTGTGTAATCAGAGCAGCGGTCGGCAGCTACGTCGTATACGTAGCAAATGCAATGAACTCGGTTTCGGTTTAAAGCATTTCTGTTGCAGCGTTTTGGGCGCGAGCTTTAAAAGTGCACGCCATCTAGCGGCCGGCGGCGGTGGCGGCAGCCACCTCAACTACTATTGCATACTTTTGCGGGCGCCCTCAGGCGTTATTGCATCATGTTAGGCCAATTGCATCTGCGAACTGCAGCTGACAGCAATAGATACTAGTCGAATTGTCTGGCGGTTGGGTGGTTGGGTGGATAGGTGGTGCAGACAATAACAAAACAGTTAATCGATAAAAGCCAATAATTGTCTTAGCTGCTGCTGTTGCTGCTTCTGCTGCCGCTTGGCTTGTTGTGATGCTCTGACCTTTATGTTGTGCTGGAATGTTTTGTCTTGTCGTACGCATTCAATTTTACGTAACAACAACAGCAACAAATGAGCACAACTACAAAACTGCACCCACAAAAAAAAATTAACATCCGTTGTCATTGCCACACATGGCATGTGTGTGACGAGTGAGTATGTCACATTTATTTCATATCCATTAAAAATGGACTATTAATTGGAATAAAACAATTGTGCAATTGTATGTGAGAGACAAAAAGAAAGCGAATTCATAATATGGAAATGTCAGAGTAGGCCGATGCAATTTATTATACTTTATTGGGTCAAAGATAATATCTTTAAAGCCTCATATATTTATAATACCCTCCCAAGCAAACATTACAATAGTTATCCTTCTGCGATATTGGCTGCGATGTGCGAGACTATGGTAGAATCGTGCTGAACATCTGCTAGTCGAGTATTTTTTTTTCTCCTAGAGTACACTTGCAATCTTTTGTTGCACTTGATAAACAATAACCTTTGACTTGTTATTGCATAACCTGGCACAAAATGAGCAGCGTTTCGGTCAGCAACTATTCCAATCCTGTGGCTGGCTTAACCTTTGCCCCTCCAGCTGAGCATTGACTTGGGCACTGATGTTTTTTGTTTTTGGTTATTCAAGGTTTTCAATTTCATCAATTTCTTTTGTTATTGTGCGCCTTTTGCTCGCTTCTCATTTTTCTGTTCTAGACGCTTCGAAACCCCAACCTATGGGCGGGGCAAGCACCTGGCGTGCATGGCTTCTGTTGCTGTTGCTGCTGCTTCTGGCGAATTGTTGACAACTGTGTCGGCCTACAGATATTGCTTATTGTCACTCGATTAGGGAGCACACACAAACACACTTGCTGGGTGAAGGTACTCTCAGTCGGCTGCTGACCCGGTTGCAGCCAGAGACATTTGCGAGACATTTGCGTGCGAAGGCAAAGGTTCATCAGCTCCTGTGCTTGGTGTTTCGCCGATCTAATGACGTCACAGACCACCTCAATCAATTGTGAAATGTAGCGCAAAATTTAATTGGCATTTCCAATGTGTTTTAACAAGCAGTAATCCTCCAGCCTGCAGCAAAAGCTGTCAGCCAACCATGAAGCTGCCCATGCAAAAAAAAAAAAACAAAAACAAGTGCGAGAATTAGGAGGGCTTCGATTAGGATATATCCCGGAAAAATTGATCAGTGGGGAGTTTAGAATCTTTAGTATCCTTTTTTACATTTTACATACAGAAACATTAAACTCTTTCAACAATTTTCAAAGGGTTCTGGCTACAAAAAACACATTTGAATATTAAGGAAAAGCTTTTTATTCAATTGTCAATCGTAAAAGTCACTTTCTATATAGCTTAAAGGGAAGGTGTGAGAGGAATTGTGTGTGCGGGATAGAGAGAACTCTAAGCCACTTGCATGGGCATTCACATAGGCAGCCGCTGGGCTCAGCGGTGGGTCGACAACAAAGCTGCGCACAGCTGCTGCCGGCAGCAAAGTGCGATGCGGAATAGTGTGGTGCACGATGGTGGTGGTGGCGCTCTGATGGGTAACAGCGGTGGGCACATGTTCCACCAGCTCAGTCCAGCTAAGCAGCGCAGGCTGGGCGTAGTTAAAGCTCAAAAGTGCCAACAACAAACATGGGCAAATCTGAAAACAGGCACAGGCAATTAAGAGCTGAGCGCTCGGCTTTGGCAAGTTGCACTTATCAAATGCAGCTGCATTTTCTTGTGCTTAATTCTGTGGCGAATCTATGACTGTTTGCCCTTTGCGGAGCTACTGCAGCCTTTATAGCTGGCTGGCATGGGCTCTGGCTTCTAATTGACACTGGGCGAGTCCAGACGACCGGACGAGTGTTTGGGCTTGGTCTTTGTCTTTCTTAGATCTTTAGCGCTGATTGCGTTATTTATTGGTTAAATACTCTGTACGCTAACTGAAATAGAGTATATTGATTTTGTGCCAGCTTCGTCTTTACTTATGAAGTCATTAGTTTTTCCTAAGTCTAGTTTATATGCTCGCTTATAGCCACATCAGATGGATTAGAGGAGCATTAACATTTTTGGCCACGCCCATTAGTGGGGGGTAAATCGCATAGATATATATATATACAAATATTTCTAGCTTTATATTATACAATCACATGCTTATTTTAAATGATCGCTACCTTAATCTGTTTCTCTAAAATGGTTTTAAGCCCCATTTCGATCAGTAACGGTAAAAAGTGTTAAATGGTTTTCTGTGAATATTTGTTATAGGCAAAAAATGTTTCTCTGATTCCAAAGATAATCTACCTATGAATATTCGTAATCGCCATCAATAGCTAAGTGTGTAGACATGTTCGCCTGTCTGTCCGTCCGTCTGTATAATGAAGTCTTCGCATTTCTATTTATAATCTTTGATAACTCGCACCATTATCGACAAATATCGATATCGTTACCCTATTTTTGAGCATAGATCAGAGCTTCGAACTGCTACAGAGACGCTATATAATATACAGACTCTTGCACTAGATAGCCCCATCAATATCTCGGATACCTTCAACAAATATTTACAGACTTTTTTGTATACACACCCAAAACTCTGAAAAAAAATGAAAAAAATGTGTATGCTTGTGTGAATAAAGGTATAACACTTTCAAGCTGAGTCCAGGGCATTTTTCAGTCGGCTGTTCTCGGCTAGAGCAACTTGACTGCAGCGCTCCTTCTTGTATATTTATGTTCTGCTTGGACAACAATGGAGCCGTCTGTTGATTTTATTGATTTGCTGTAGGGCGTCGGGCAGGTATCGAAAGGAACACGCTCAAATGATTGCAAATGCGAATTCTTTATTCCAAACAAAAAGTAAATAGATGTAAGAGTAAAGACAGAAAAGAGCATAGAAAATGGCAGCTACGGAGTGTCAAAGGCAGACGAGAGTATATCAAATACAGATAGAAAATGTGTTAGCTAAGTAGAAGAAGAAAAATCAATTTGGCAACGTTGTGTTTTTCTCTTTGGTTTCATCTTGTTGTTGTCGCTGTTCGTTCCCTCTCGGATCTAGTTCCGCAGGAGCACCACACGAGGATCGGCGGCAAGGGTCCAAACCAGAGGTTGCTGCTGGCGCACAAGCTGTGTGGTGCGCACAGCGGGTCCCACAATGGGCGTGACCAGACGTTGATGTTCATGCACCACCGTCTGGCTCTGATGGGACACGGCGGTGGGCACATGCTCCACCAGCTCACCTACTTGGGCCAGCGTCGGCTCCTGGATGGTCAGCACGCTGCGCAGGCCCGAACGAGCGGCCACAATGAGCGGCAACGGCACAGAGACGGGCACAGCGGAGACTAGGCGAGCATCGCTAGCAGCTGCGTTGGATTCGGATAGAGCCTGCTCCGGCTCCGGTTCGGCAGCGGCGGCGGCGGCTGCGTTGCTCTCGGCCAGCTCAGCGGACTCGTCGCTGGCGGGCAACGGCAATGGCTGCGAGGATTTGCTGGTGCTCAGAGCCACCAGATTGGCAGGCCATTCCAGGGAGCCAGCGCTGGCTGCGGCCAGAAAGATAAGCACAAAGGCAAACAAGCTCAGGCGCTGCAAAGCAGTAGAAGCAATTGAAAGAGCTGACTTTGACCGAAGGAAGCATTCGACTTACCAGCTTGAACATGATTTCAATGAAGGCAGCTAAATGACTGATGCTCTAACTGCAGCTAATCCCAGCTTTTATAATAGCCGTTGCGCCTCACTAAATCGAAGGGGAAAAAAATAAATGCAACGCGGATGACGTCAAACTCGAACCGGGAACATTTATTGACATATTTTGAAATTTGAATACACAGATTGGAGCAGCTTCGAGATTTGCTCATCTAAAGCAGATCCTCCGGCATTGGTATATCGCACTTCTGCTGCTCCTCCAGCCAAAACTTCTCGAGATAGCTGATCGGATCTCGCGGCTGGTCGCGTGCCAACGCCAGCATGCCCTCCATCAGTATGGGCACCACCTCCTGCTCCAGATAGGCGCGTTGCTCGCTGCCGGAGCGATAATGTGCTGATCGCTCGCATGTGGGCTTCTCAGCTTTCTTTGGCTTCTTCGGCGGTTTCTCTATGGGCTTGCATACAACTGGTTTTGGTAGTTCGATCTTTGGTTCTGGTTTCGGTTTCTTTGGCAGATCTTTGGGACAGCACATTACCCACTTTTTCTTGGATTTTTTGGGCTTATCATCCCAGTCGTCTAGTTGGTTGTCCGGCATTTTGTTGAAATCAAATGTGATTTTTAGCTGGCTGAAATAAAATTGAATAAAATTTCTGCTGTCGTGATAGAAATATATTTTGGCAACTATATACCTATAGTATACCTATAGTTTATTTAAAGTTACTGAGTTAATTTATGTTCTGATCAGCAAAGTCAGAGTTGCTTAAAAAAAAACTACTTTCTATAAGCTAAATGTCGGGTTTGGCGACTCTAGCTCTTAAACCTTACGAGATTTGCTTGGAAACGGGTCAAGTTATCGATTATCGGGAACAAACTCGTACTGCTCTCACAGGTTCTGAGATCCTTGCGTTTTTACATACGGACAGACAGGCATGGCTAGATCGACTCGGCTGTTAATGCTGATCAAGAATATATATTTACTTTCCCTTTCCATGGGTTTGAGGTCTGCTTCTGATAATCGGAACTACATATGTCGAAACCTACTATATCGCAACACTATATCTTATAGTTGCCATGGAAGGAATCGTTCAAAAATAATGTTCTTGCATGATCAAACTCTATAATATAATATAATATCTTAAAAGAATTCGTTTCATTATACCCTGTAAAGTGATTAAATCAGGGCTTACTTAAGTTTTTTACATAGATTTGTTTTATTTCGAAACAATTCTCGCCGCAGTACTGATACAACCAAACTACGCACGCACACCCATACACACACACGCACACACATACACACACACGCAAACACACACGGACATTCACATAAATACACGCAAACACACATACATACAAGCACGCACACATGGAGTACCACATATATTAAACCCGTTTTTGCGCAGCGGCCACGCCCGCCGATTCCTGCTTGTTTCTAAGCCGATTAGCGCTTAGGATCCGATGTAATCGGAGCTGTCACTGGGACTGGGGCTGGGCTAACGAAGCGAAACATCTGCCGATTGAATGCGCACCGTGGGTAACTTAAGCCGCTTAGTAGCCGGATGGATGGCGGCATGCCCCGCCTCGGTCCACTCGAATGCCTGTCTCCATATATATATATAGATATATATGATATATAGCGATCTATGCAGGTTCAATCAAATTTTGTAAACGACCCGCGTTTAGGTATTGGTTGTCGTTTGAAAAACTTGGTCAAGTCCGCATAGAGGCCACCAAAAAGGGCATAGCACAGGCGATTCTCCAGCCGCCAGATTAGATGATCCAGACGATAGAACAGGGCCAGAAACTTGAAGCACATGAGCGCGAGCAGCGCGTAAAGCTGCAGCTGGCATCGGCAGAGTCCAAACACCAGCTGGCTACCGTTTAGCTGGAGCAGGTAGAGCCAGGAGATGGCGATCGCCAGCTTGGAGTTGCTATGTTTTTGGTTTTGATAGTGTCATCAGTTTTGGAGCTTGCAACATGCGGCAGACTCACGTGCTCAGCTTAATATAGGCAGCGGGTTTCATCTGGCATCGATTGATGAGCAGCGCGGCCACGGGCTTCAGGAACTCGGCGCCACTTCCAATCACCGTGCCAATAATTATGACAGGCACTAGCGAATTTTTGCCATACACCTTGCTGGCCAGATGTACGCCCCGTTCGATGTGCAGCACCTGGCTGAGCGCGGCGACAGGTGTCGCGAGGCAGCGAAATGGCATAGTGCGTGCCACAGAGTGCGCCACATCAAACGGACTGTAGAAGATGATATACCAGGCGAATGTGCTCAGCATAACATCGTGGTAATTGCTGAGCGGCTCCAGAGGCAATGTGCCAAGCAACAGATTGACCAGTATATCGCCCGAATAGGATACCAATATATGGGTTAGCCAGAGCACAAAGGGTCGCATCTCCAGGCAGCTGCGCTCCCCAGCTGAGCTCTTGGCCAGCTCGTCGCGCAGCTGCAGCGCAATGAAGGCGTAGTGCATGCTCCGAAAGAGGATGTGATTGGATAATTGCTTGAGAATTTGCTGCGAGGACATAGTTGGGTCCACACCCATCAACTGGCGCCGTGTCCGTTGCCCACCCACGGTTCTCTTGTGTTCGCGTTCGGATCGGAGTCGTTGGAAGTTGAAAGCTCACTTGAATTTCGAGACGGTTTTCAAATTGTTTACTTAATTTTTAAAAAAAAACTTAAACTGCGTGAAATAAAAAATGCTAAACAAACTTCAACTGAGTGTGCGTGTGCGTGTGCGTGTGTGCCTGACTCAGAGCTCGAGAGGCGCGTAACAACGAGGCGTAGCTTATGTTCCGCACCGGCTTAATCCTGGGCAGCATCTGGTGCACCACCGGCCGTGCGGCATATGTTAGATGTGCGGGTGTGTGGCTGCCACTTGGCAGCAGCTGCTGCACCTCCAGCCGTCGCTCGTTTGCATTGACAATGCGCATTGTGGGCGGGATCTCCTGCAGGATTAGCTGCAATGGCGGCGGTGACGGCGGCGGCTTGGTCGTCAAGCGGACAAAGCTCTGATGCGAGATGGCACTGGCGCTGCCCGGCCCGGCCAGACTGTGCAGAATTGTGGCTGTCCAGCTGGGCTCCAGTGTCAGCGTGAGGAGGAGAATGAGCAGTTGTTGATCCCCTGTGCGGATGCGCATGCTGAATAGTCGAGTGGCGGTCCGGGCAACAAATAAACCCAAGCGACTTGTGCCCTAAGCCTTTTTATAGCTAATCGGATTGACAGACTCTTGAGCTGCAGTTAAGGTCGCCACCAGACAGCAGCTGGCAGCTCGTAACTCTAGTCTTATGGCCGAACCCTTGTGTATGGTTAATTAATTAATCAAGTATCAAAAAAGTGCTTCAATCCAAACGCAACGCACTTAGAGCTTCAATTACGCGCCTCCGGCTAATTGTTAAGGGGAGCACATATTAGCGGGGGAGAAGGGGTATGTTGCCGGTGAGAGAGAGAGAAACTGTGTAAAAAGCTAAGTAACTCACATACAATTTGTAAATTCGATTATTTTGATTAGCTGACTAAAAGATACCCTATAAAAAGCTTCAGTCAGGCTATACTAGATATAATATTCAATTCCATTAGGATTAAAGATATCTTTTCGCAGCTCAAATACTTTGACTTTGTTTTCCCAATAGAAGTCTAGCCTTTTGCTCGCTTCTTTTGCTTGAAGCTACCCTTTAATATCGTTCTGTCTATTTGTAGGGTATTTTAAAGCAAAAAGACTTCAGCTTCACGCTGGGAAGGGGGCGACCAACCTTCAGCGGGTTGCGCATGCGTTGCCGTCGCAGACACTCGCACCACCAGCACCACTCGCACCACAATTGATTGTTGTTGTTGTTTCTAGTTGTTGCTAGTTGTTGTTATTGTTATTACTACAATATTTGCGGCATTCGCTCGTATTTATTTATACATTTTCGTTTTTATTTCTTTACGTAAAACGTCCAAGTTGAGACACTCCCACAATTGCAAGATAACCGACAGCCAGAGGCGTCGCTAACATTTCTACGCCCGCAATTGCGCCCCCTTGGCTTTGGGCCACTAAGCCACTGTTTAGGCCAACAATTGCTTTACTGTGATTTCATGGCACAGCAATTCACATTGCCGTTCAGTTTGACTTTGCCACTCGCTACGTTTTCGTGTTTATTGAGGCTGGCAATACGAAAATCCAACAAAAAATAAGCCGCCCACCTCATCTAGTACTCTGCCTACGACAATGCGGCGTTTGGTGAGTTGTGTATTGTCACAATAAAAGCTATGTACCTATGCCAAACTCCACCCTTGCAGTTGCTTTTGGGACTGCTGGCTTTGGTACTGGCCAGACCCAGGCAGGAGATGCAGCTGCTCATCGACTCGGCGCCCTCGGTGGTCTCCTATCAGGGCTCCTCACAGACGCACACACGTTTTGTCATCGCGCCCATGGGTCGTGCCTTGGGCTATGTGGAGCCCACGAATGTGAATCGGACATTTCAAACACATCCAAATGAATCGAACTATTCAGCTGGCCATGAGCTATTCCAGCCCAGGCCCGTCTATGTGCCCTAGTCGTAGTAGTCAAATGTCATTAGTTAGGCTGTGTCATGTTTTACACATGTATAGAGAGAAGGGGGCTCTGTACTAATATAATCGAAATACATGCATACATACATAACCAAAATTAAATTGTACGCTCCTTTGACGTATATTGTATATATATATATATATATGTATATATATTTTGTATATCGAGATATAGTTGCATTAGTACACAAAACATGTCGTTCTTGCCACAAGCTGGTCGACGTTATTCGCGTCTGCCGACGCCGGACTCGATGCTCAAATTGGTGCAAGCCTCGGAGAACAGCATGGAGGAATCCGCTCTGGAGTTCTATGAGAAGTGTAATCTGACCTGGCGTGCTCAGTACACGAATCCCGGGCTCGCCCGCCTGAGCATCGGCACCGAGTTTCTGCCCGCGAAGAGTGGCAAGCGACAGAAGTCGTCACAGTACACAACGAACGGCGATACGGACTCGGAGAATCAACAGAATGGTAATAGAACCTATCGAATATATCATGAATCCGAGTTTCTCGAATTGTTGCCAGAAATCGATTCGGACTATGAGAATTTCGTGCCGATCGCCCCGTTCACGCATAATTAAATTTCAAAATGTTTATGTTTTATACGAAACTCCAAAATCCTCAATCCGCACACCCAAAATCCTCTCGTACGAACTCGACTCTCATCTTTATTCTTAACCTCAATCGCAGGTTGGTCTTGTTTGGTCAATCGCTGCCGCATCTAAATGCTGCCGGCCAGCGACTGATCAGTCCAAAGGGATCCGGCTGCTCTTTTATATGTATATCTGTGGGCCTTTTATCACGCTCGACGCTCGACCGTTGCGCTCTTCAGATCTCGCTCGCTCACGCTCTTGTGTTCTCGCTCACACTGACGTTTCTTTCTGTGAAATAAATGTGCATTTCATCGTATTTTCACAATCTGTAAGCCTCAGCCGCGACCTTCGGCGGTTCCATAGCCCAAGTCTTGGGCCATATTTCAATCTGAGCCTCCTTGAAGGTTGTCGCTTTGTGCCCTGTTTGACTGATTGTAGTTAAAATTAGAGTTGTGACACGCGCATGATTGATGTCGTGACACGGCACGACTCAAGTCGAAACTAGTTTCGTGCATGTGCGTGTTGAGCACAGCAACATGAGACTAAACGCAACAAAACTGATTTTCTAATAATAATAGACTCGTTCCATAATCGAATGCATATGACAGATTGATGTTGATATTCAGTTATTTTGATGTATGCAGGATTTGCACTTAGGCCTATGTATGATTGACTGACTGACTAATGGCAACAATACACTGCACAAACCGCACGATCTTGAAAGCGGAATTTATCACAATTGTTAAGTCTTGTGACTTAAAGAAGCTACTGCCAGCTACAAGTGTGGAAAGTTTGTGAAAAACAAACTACAACGCCATTCGCCAAACCCAGGTGTGCGGAAGATGGGGGTTCAAAGTTAAATTTTCGTGCATTTTTCTCTTCTCCGCTCTTCCACTCTTCTTCCGCCCAAATCGGTGAAGTAATCCACTTTTAATTTCGCAAAGTTTGTTGGAAATCTGATTTAAAATTGAATGCAAAATAAAATGAACTTCATTCAAATAAATAAAAACATCGATGATGATAATTAAGTTATGCTATTTATCAATATATATTGCGCAAAAAGTACATCGTGTCGTGTCACGTAGCCTGCAACACATCTCTAGCAGCCCTAAAATGAGCGAAACTTGAGCTGTGCTAACCATAGACTCCCGTTTGTCTAGTGCCCAGTTCAAGTTCAATGTTGAACCCGCGAAAAAAAATATATTAATAATAATTTGCTTAAAACAAGTTTGCAAATTTGTTTTGTGTTTGCTTTTTTGTTTGCCTTGGTTTGTTTGTGTGTGCTTGAAGGACATTTTGGCAAACATTTTTACGATATAAAAGGCCGGACCAGGTGCCTCAACAGCAACAGTCATTCGTTAGCTTCATTCCGAGTAAACTTAAAAAACCCAATTTTGAAAATGTTCCGCTTTGTAAGTAGCTGAAAAGGAATCTTCAAAGGAAACTTATTATTCCTGATTTCAAAAAATAGATTGCCATCTGTGCCCTGGCCACCATTGCCGCAGCTGCGCCTGGTTTTGTCGAGGAGCATCATGTGGTGGCTGCACCAGTTGTCGCCAAGGTGGGCGCTGTGGTTCACAGTGCACCCGTTGCCACCTCCCATCAGAGCTTCACGCAGTTCCACAACCAGGCGGTCATCACGCCCGTCGTCAAGCATGTGGCTCCCGTTGTGCCTGTCGTCAAACATGTGGCGCCCGTAGTGCCAGTGGTCAGCCATGTGGCTCCGGTGGTGCCCGTTGTCAAGCATGTGGCTCCCGTTGTGCACCACCAGACCTATGTGGCTCCAGTGTCCGTTGTCAAGACTGTGCCCCATGCCGTCTCCCACCAGAGCCACACACAGATCCACCAGAAGACCATCGTCAGCCCAGTCCTCAAGACTATCGCAACTCCAGTGGTGCCGGTGGTGAAACACGTAGCTGTTGCCCCCGTTGCTCACGTCTACCACCACTAAGAATATCAGTTTTTTTGTGATTTTGTGGAATTGTTGATTATTTGAATAAATTGTGAATATTGAACGAATTAAAATATTGTATTGCCAATTTATTTAATTTATAAAATTAGTATATTACCATTTCCTGATTACATATATATTCGTAATATATTTAATAGAGTTCTCATATAATATATTTATTTCTATTGATTTCCCAGGCCATCGAGGGACTTATGTTAATTAAACGTCAAACAAATGCGTCATTCCAAAATGAAATTCTACCGAGGTATGTTATGCATAAATAACTATTAGTATATATTTCCCATTTATTCTGTTTGTTCAAGTTGTTCGACGAAAGCTTGTTCGATTCTAAAGGTTTTCGCTATATTTAATTAAAATATGACAAATGATTCTATCAAAATTGTGTTCTATTGAAATCAATTTCGTCAAAGTCTCGATGCCATTCTACTTTATTCTATGCACCGTCATTGAATTTATTTTCCAGGTATTCTATTTCAGTTCAATTAGTTCTCATCTATTTTGTTTGATGCACATTTTTTGGTCACGTTACTTTTCTCTAAGTTTTCTAAGCATTTACAATTTAATGAGCTAGGCACTTGGAACAAAAGACTTCACACAAATAGAAGACATTTCCTATGCTTACACATTTTTGACAGCTGTCTAAATCAGGCTAATTATAGTGTTGCAAAAGACTTGCTGGAGCTATATAGTGTTATAAAACTGTATCTGTTGTATTTGAAAATTAGAATCGTCCAGCTTGATATTAATTTGGAACTGCATTTCTCTAAAGACTTCTCTAAATTGTGGTTTTCCAGAAAGAAACTTTATTTGACTAAATAAATTTTTTTGCCCTGTAAAAAGGCGAGGAAATTGTAAAACTGTATCTAACAGCTTATATGAGCCGTATCTGATCTGATAAAGTGTGTATATTGAGTCTCAATCTCAACCAAAATTGATATTTAAATATTTATATTCTATATTAAATATCCTTTACTTTTGGATACTTTTCCACCTAAATTGAAAAACAATTAAAGTTTCGAGGCAAAAATCTGTGGTTTATTGTTTTGTATATTGCTGAACTATTCGTAAGTTCTTGGGAACGTTTAACTATTTACTTGTGGATGGCAGTGTAGGCGACTGGAGCGCTGACCACAGTCTTGAGCAGTGGAGCCGAGTGCACTACGGGCACAGAGTGCACCACCGGGGCAGCAGCATAGGTGTGGACAACGGGTGCGGCATGGACGAGGGGAGTGTGCACAACGGGCGCGGCATGCACCACAGGCGCGGCATGGTAGGTCTGGACGACGGGCACAACAGGCACCTTACGCACCAGGTTCACATTGCTCTGATGGGTGATGGCCGAGGAGGCGCTGTGGTCCACATAGGCGGTCTTGGTGAGCACAGCGGGCTGGACAATGGTGTGTGTGGCACCGAGCAGTCCGGGTGCGGCCGCGGCGGCAGTAACGCAGGCAAAGAAGGCAATCTGCAAGGATAGAGGCAAGGATTTATAGACAGCACATTTGGCACTTGACTCGGCTGCACTTACGAATTTGAACATTTTGAGGGAGTTAGTGCTGTTTGATTTGTGAGTCGATTACAACTGCTGCTGTTTGGGGCATTGAACGACTGCTTTTATACAAAGATTGACAGTTGTTGGCTATTATTATCATTATTTTGTTTTTGGTAATTTCAATTCTGGTTTTGACTTGGTTGGGCTTGAACTTGAGCCGCCAACCGGTTCGAGTGCGGCCAGCTTCTAAGCTTCAGCCAAGTCCAATGGGAAGTTCATGAATTGACCTAGGTCTGCCATTGTAAAGCGCTTTAGCTGTGTGGGTGTGCGTGTTTGTGTAAGAGGAAGCTAAGTACTTGCTTATTGTACTTGTACTTATTGTTGCTGCGCACCAGCTGACAATTGAATCAGCATCAGCTCAGCTCCCATGCGACTCGTAATTGGCCTTAGATGTGGGTGCGCTTACACAAATTGTGAGGTATATGTGTGTGAGGGTGTGGGTGGGTGAGTGTGTGGGTAGTCGGCTTGATTATCCTGCGTCTGCGTTAATCTTTATTGCATTGCTGACATTTCGTTTTTATCTTATGCTGCAATGCCATCTGCACTGGCATTTGCCAGTCTCCGCATTTCTGCGGCGACCTAATTAAGTTACAATCTCTCACTTTTGCATTGACAGTTGCATTTGAGTGTGCATGCGCGTGTGGGTGTGTGTGGGGGTGTGTGGGGGGTGTGTGGGGGGTGTGTGGGGGGTGTGTGTGTGTGGTTGCAACAATTGAGTTATGGTGCTGACGCAATCAATAGTTTGCCATCAGATGCGGCAGGATATCTGCCAGAAGTCGAGCCTCTTGCGAAATCAGCATGTTCGATAAGAAACAATACAGAAGAATAAAAGGTGAACTTCTTGTGAAAGCTGCACAAATGTAATGAATGTGTCGTAACGTATGTGTGCCAGGAATTAAAACAAATAAAAACTCTGGCGAACAGCTCTTATAAAAGAGTAATTGGAAGAGTTGACTGAAAAGCTTACAGCTTAACGCTTGAATAGCCTTTATTTTGCGGAAATACATTTTGAAACGCAGTAGTAATGTTTATATAATTGTTTAAGGATATTACTCTACTGGACGCTTTTAAATTGATAGCCATAAAAGCTAATGGAAGATTATAGACCTACATATAAGATAATTATTGAGAGCTCATCAAAATAGTTAGACCATTGATCAATTTTTATCTTCTCTCTACAGTTGAGTTGATAAGTATGAAACTGTAACTGATTATTAATCAAGAATCTTTCAAAATCACATAAAGGATTTTGTATCTAGGTATGTGGGAACTAAAAGAAAGATAAATTTTAATCGACTTCTCGATCGCGATTAAGCGAAGCTGCCATAGTTCGGATGGGATCCAATGATTCAATGACTAAACCTTTAAACCTGCTTCCGGTATCTCTTAATCACACACGATCATGTAGATAAAATGGATTAAGATCAATTCACTGATTGATAATTAAAAAATGAAAACTTAAAATTGTTCTTATAAACACTGTAATGACGATATTCTTATGAAAGATTTGTACTAATTTATAAAATAGTAAATGAAAGAGTTGATATGGAGAAATCATGAGGAAACTCATCAAACTTTTTCACAGTATATTTGTTTTATAAAAACCACAAAAATAGACACCTAAGCCTGGCCGAGCTTTATAGATAAATTGCCTAATTGATGGAGTCATTAAGGCAACGGAACAGCCAAGTTCCGGGTTCGATTATCAGATGGATGTTATAATGACTTCGCCGAAGGCCACAACCTTTTATATATATATTTTCAATCCATTGTTTCTTAATAATCTATAACTTCGGGAATAGTTATGCAATAACATTGTAATTTCTAGATTTCATTCGCTCAGCACGTAATTGTAATCCCCTTTGAAAAAGGTTTATCAAAACTACAGCTTGACCCAGTTTTCAGTGCGACCCAATTTCTGTAAAAACCAGAACACACCTGAAAGATGCTGCCTTACCTTTCGTTGAGTGGGGGATGGAGGCAGGGGGAGCACACACAAACAATACGAAATAAATTATATATATTGCAATTGGAGCTGCAGCATTCAAATTAAAGCAAAATTGCAACATCGACAGCCGCGTAAACGTGGTCGCTCACAGATCCAGTTGATGTTGATTGTTATTGTTGATTGTTGTTTTTGTGTCTCTGATTCATGGCCAAACCCAAAATCAAGACGCACACATGTTGTTGTTGCCGTAGGAGCCATAAAAAAAAAGCACTACCAAGTGCAGCTGCCGCCGTTAAGTGCCCACTTGAGGAGCTCCGTCTCGGGCCCTATGTCAAGGTTAAGCTACGGACGAGACAAGCCCCACGCGTACTTAACCCACAATTTTTTGACAAGATTTGTTTTTTTTTTTTTATATATATATATATATATGTCTTGTAATGTCTCACCGCGCGCCGTGACAGTTACACGTACTTAAGATAAACATCTCAGTAAAAACAATAATTTGTTTTCGAAAATGAAATACGCGAAGACTTTACAAGAGTTGCCGCTCTTCAGCTTCGCCGTAAATCCTAATTTGTGTTGTGGTAACTGCAGTTGAACTCGTCTGCCGTCTACTGTCGGCTGTGGATTGACGGTGGCTTTCTGCCAGGTTTCAAGCAATGCAATTGATTACTTGGAGCGCGGTTCAGAGAGACCTGAACAGGTGGTGAGCATCCTGCGGTCTATCTCTATACAGGCCGTTTCTTTCTCCTCATTTTTTGGTCCTTTGCGTGAGGAAATTTTCACTATTTTTCAAAATACAGTTTCCTAGCTATCACACGATTTTGACTGTTCGTTAATGATCAATCAATCAGTCATTCAATCAGCCTTTAAGTTAGTCGGAATCAGATGACTGAATCTCTTAAACATAGTCGAAAGACCTCATAGCCATTATTTCATCTGACATCGAGGCTAATGTTTCTTGTTTTATACATATGGTAATAAAAAAATGTGTTTTCAAACACCAGGCAGCGCATGTTGTGTGTTTAGCTAAGTATTTCAAGATCCTTCTGGTTTTCTCATCAGCGGATTGTGATAAAGACGCTTGGATTGCAAAACCTTATCTCCTTGACAAGATACCATAACTAAAAGTACTTTTGTCGACAGCAAAGGGACATCTAGTTAATGCTTAGATATTCCTTGGAGTCCTTAAATATCAAGAGTACCTCAATGTTTGCATTTTGTATTCACTTGTAGACCTTTCTAATTCGCATTTGCTGTTTCTCTAGCCATATTTATATAACGTATCTCCAGCTGGAAGACTTACCTACAAACCCTAATTGCCGTTTGAGCGAACCAGTTGACCATTCAGTCTCCCAATTGTAGTCTTTAGGCCTTCGGTTAATCCAGCATAACTAATTGCCAGATTGTCATTTGTTGTCATTTGATAATTTGTCGTTTAATAATTTGGGCCAAATCATTTGCCGGCTTTTGGCACTTGGGCTATATAAACGACTCTTAGGCCTCAATGTGGCATGAGTTCTTACTGGAGTTCGGTGGCAGCCAATTCAAACTAAGACTAAATCCAATTCAATTGACCCGCACAACATGCACAGAGCGGTAAGCCCGAGTTCGAGAATACTCTACTGAATATTAAATACCCTTTCCACATGACAGTTACTCTACTCTTTGGCGTTTGTCGCCTGCCTGGCGCTTGTGAGCTCAACTGGAGAGGCTCGATGGTTGCATAGACAAGCTGTGTTTGGCTCCAGGGTGGAGCTGGTGCATCCCAACAGACTGTGCAGCCAACACAATGAGACTTTGTCTTGGGATTTGGATATCTTGCAGACTCTTAGCCCAACCCATTGGAGTCATGTTTACAAGGCGCCAGTTAGCTCAGGTTGAAAATATTGTTAGCTTTGCATAGTTGTTGGTATTTTGTTTGTTTTTTTGTAATATAAATAAATATATATTAGAAGTTATTTTAAAATTCCGAAATAATATGGGCACAGCTCAGAAAAATCAATCTCTCACTCGCTTTCTCCATCTCTCACTCTTTCATTTCACCCTTTTCTTTGACTTTTCAGCTTTTAAGTCTTTTGATATTCTTTTCTTCTATAATAATAAAAAAATATCATAATTTATGTTTCAATAATACTTTTAGTATGTTTTATTTAATTTTTTTTTGTAACTTTATGAGAATAACATAACGCGTTGGCTTTTAATGGTGCAGAGTGTAGGCCAAAGGAGCTGTGTGCACCACAGACTTGATCAAAGGCGCGGAGTGGACAACGGGCACCACAGGAGCAGCATGGTACACAGGAGCGGCATGGACAGCCACAGCTGGAGCGGAATGGACAGCCACAGCTGGAGCGGAATGGATGGTGGTCTTCAGAACTGGAGCTACGACATGTTGGACGACAGGCTTGCTGTGCACCTGGGTGATGCTCTGGTGGGAGACAGCCGAGGGTGCGCTGTGCACCACAGTGCCCACCTTGGCCAGAACGGGCTCGTGCAGTACATGATGGGTCTCAATGAGGCCGGCGCTGGCGGAGGCGAACAGCAGAGCGACAATAGCTACCTGTAGTCAGAAGAAACGTAGATCTTTAAATATAATTCCGACATCCATGTTCAGTTAGCACTTACGAATTTGAACATTTTGAGTTTTGTGTATTTGGACAATTTGTTGTCTTACGCAGAAGCTGAGGTTGTTAACTGATGCTGTTGGGTTCTGCGCGAAACGCTTTTATAGGAGCCTGGCTGTTGGCTAAGGGCTCGTATGCAGGCGATATCGACAACAGGTCGTTCACCTTGACTCACCTGAACTTTGATAAGACAGCAGTCGCGGCTGCGTTTGAATCGTGCGTTGCAGTAGTCGGAAATAATTACAGACACGATCGCATTCAAACTAGTTGGCTTCGGGCTTGGCTTCGGGATTCGACTTGCTTTGGTTGTGGGGTTATTGCTGAGTCGTAGTGAAGGTTAAAGCTTTGTTTGCCTTTTGGGCTTTTGTGTGTTCACTTCCCCATTGCCGACTAAACACGACGCGTTGTATATAAACACGACTACAGACTCCAAAAATATCATCAGTCACGGTTCAAAGCTCCTCCAGTCAAGTCCAAGCTGCAAACACAAAAACCCAAAATGTTCAAATACGTAGGTTAACTTTGTTGGGATGAAGATGAATTATTATTAAAGATCTACGTTTGTTCTGACTACAGGTAGCTATTGTTGCTCTGCTGTTCGCCTCCGCCAGCGCCGGCCTCATTGAGACCCATCATGTGCTGCACGAGCCCGTTCTGGCCAAGGTGGGCACTGTGGTGCACAGCGCACCCTCGGCTGTCTCCCACCAGAGCATCACCCAGGTGCACAGCAAGCCTGTCGTCCAACATGTCGTAGCTCCAGTTCTGAAGACCACCATCCATTCCGCTCCAGCTGTGGCTGTTCATTCCGCTCCAGCTGTGGCTGTCCATGCCGCTCCTGTGTACCATGCTGCTCCTGTGGTGCCCGTTGTCCACTCCGCTCCGTTGATCAAGTCTGTGGTGCACACAGCTCCTTTGGCTTATACTCTGCATCATTAGATGGCGATTAGCCTGAATGAGAACATCAGCTATTGATTGTGATAGGAAATTTATGATTTTGTTTTAATAAAATTTTTCATTTCATGTAAAAGAGCATTAAGAAAGGGTATTAATAAGTGGCATAGATGTTTATATATATAAGAAATTGCATATTCTAACTTATACAGCAGCATTCTTCTTATACTAACAGTCTTATAAAGTCGATCCATTTGCTGTCTACACAGATTTGATTTGCTGTCTTATACAGCTGTTGTCTTATAAAAGTCAGTCGCTATCTTATACATAAGCAGTCATAGATGCAGTCATTCGCAGTCTTATACTAGCAGTCTTATACAATCCAGGTACTGGCTATGTAGGCAGATTTGATTGGCTGTCTTGCAGCAGCCGTCTTATACCAGCCTGTGCATTCGTTTAGAATAAATATTGCATACTTTTTGGCTCGTTAAGAAAATCAAAAGACTTTAAATTCTCTCGCTATAGGAATTATTTTTTGTAAGGACATTTTATTTATTATCATCTTAAACATTTTTTTTTTGTGATTTTTGTTGTTGCTGTTGTTTCGTAAACAGGGCACGTGAAATTTCAGCTGGTTAAACAATGTCAGAAGTGGGATTAGCCAGTGGCTACGTGTGTTCAGCGCGTGTGTGTGCGGGTGTGTGTCGGCGTGTGTGTGCGTCTGTGTCTCAACTTGAAGACAGCTTTTACCATATGCTCTTCACCAGGACGGGCGAGGGATGCAGCTGACTGACAGACACATGGGACACAGCGCCGGGCACAACTTGAACGACACGTGGTGCAATAGCGACTGGAGCTGCTGCCACGACATGTGGTCCAACAACTGTGGGTCCCCAAATGCTGGGTCCAACCACGGTGGGTCCCCAGAGGCCGGAGGGTGCGGGCGCCGGCACAGGTGCTGGAGCGGGGGCAGCAGCCGCCAGGCTCAGCAGAGCAACGAATACGCACTGTCAAAGCGAAATAATTAGAACTGGGATCTAAGGATCTTATCGAGAACTATTTACTTACCAGCTTGAACATTTTATTGTGTCGATAGTTGGAAACGATTTGACATAGAATTGCATTGAACACTTGCCTATTTATACGGAATATTGCAAAACACAACAGCAGTGCATCAGTCGAGTGTATACTGTTGTCTATGTGTGTGTGAGTGTGTGTGTGTGTGTGTGTGTGTGTATGTGTGTATGTGTGTGTCAACGCCTCGGCAGTTGTCACCCCATTTGGCCTGGCAACAAACACACAGATTCGAGCCACACGCGACACACTTGATGCATTGCAGTGGAAAGCTTGAAAACCCTTCCGGGGGCAGGTTCTTGTTCTCGTTCTCGTTCTCGGCTTACGTTCAGGTTTTGCTTGACTTGGGTTCGCTTCGAACACGTTAACAGGTTATGGACATGCCCACCTCCACTCGTGCAACGCGTCGTATGCTTGATTTTGTTGCATGCGTTCCGCACCTCCGCGCACACCTGAGCGCATACGAAAACAAATCAACAGGTAGACACACACATTATACAAAGTGCTCCACTCTTAATCATATGGCAAAGAAAGACAGCCCGAGGGTAGGTGTGTGTGTGTGTGTGTATCAGTTTGTGTATTTGCGGCCTGCTCTTTGCACTTTTGGCTCGCATAAATTAAGCCAAAGCTGTTGGCAATGGTTGATTAATGTGGACACTTTGTTAGACAATTGTGTCTCAGTTTGTCTTGTGTAATATTGAAACGTTTGCACATCATGCATTTAGTTTGGGTGCTCCCCAGAATCATTAAGTTTGCAAGGCAATAAAGCAAAATGTTGTAATTATTGTCATGAAGGCTGTAAATCGGTTTCGAATCGAACCCTAATCGATTTTAATCTGGGATAGCGAAATTTTAAATCCAAAGCTGGTTCAAACCGGGAACTAAACCAACACGAAAATGTTGTCTTGCAGTTAATATTGTTCATATTTGGACTTATCATTAAGATAAACTGGAATTCATTATGTCATCCACATACCAAATTTGCTAGCTCTAGCTGTTAAAGTTTTCGAGATTGAATGAGTTTGTATATACAGAAAGTTGGAAAAGGTTTTATATACCCGAGATCGCTCTGTTGTTTATATTAACTGTAATTTATATTGGCAAATAGAGGCCACATACCAAATTTGCTAAGCATACCTAGAATAGTTCTCGAGTTCGATGAAATATCTGTTCACATACCCAACTTGCTCTGTCTAGATAGTTTAGTTCTCGAGATCAATAAGTTTATGAAGATCAAGAGTTGGATACTGGATATTTAAATCTCATATCGGTCAGTTGAATTAAATAATAATTAAAAGTGACATATAGAGTTCACATACGAAACTTCTTAAGTAGTTGTTGAGTTTCAGATCTCGATAACGTACCTACTCTTATCTTCTTTAGTTACAGGGTATGCAAGTAGTCAGTTAATAGGTGACAGTTGGTTAGTCTGCCCTTAACCCCGCCTTTTCACCTCTTCATTTTGCTCGCCCTGAAATATTCGTTGTGGTTAAAACACAGTTCAGGGTTAAAGCGTGCGAAAAAACTTGTTGATTTGATTTTAATTGATTGAGCTAGGAAATGATAAGCTCATCGGCGCTTAAGTCTTTAGCCGCCCCTTTTTTTACTTGAGTCAGTTTGCGAGCTGTCGTCACAGACTCGACTCAACTAATTAGCGCAAATTAACTAAATGCTGATGATTTGCTTAGACTTATGGGGCGGACAGGTTGCCATTTGAACGAATACGGCAATTGATTCACGAGTGCTCCGTCCGCAATTGGTTTGATTTAATTGGCATGCGATTTGCATATGCTTTGCAGCTTATGCAAACAGTTGTGTAAATTTCAAAGGAGACGAGCACACATAAATATGAACTTGAAACTGTGCACAAGAGAGCTGGTACACAAGAGCTCAGCGTTTCATAAGAGCGTATGCTCCTCGATGAACTATACCATATCTATATACATATGTATCTATCTTTAGCACCATTTGTGGCACTCTGCACTCGTTTTGCTAATGCACTCATTTGCATAACACAGAAACAGCATTTGTTGCCACACACACTCGCACACACGTGCTGTCGGCAAAGTGTGTCTGTCATAAGCTTGGGAACCAACCCAACAACCAACCCAACAACCATTCACGTTGTCTGCCACTGGTGTCGTATGATAACTCCCTGATTACATGTTAATTATGTCACTTAGTCGCTTAGGCTTAGCCTATTATTCACCGCCCTCCAAGGGCTGGAGATGAGCACGTGTCCAGTTAAGCTTTCACATTTGGTCTGCTTTGGTTCAATTTTATATGAGAGACCAATTACTTTCGATTTTCTGAAATCACTTTGCAAATGATTTTGAAGTGAATCGTAGAGTAAATAAATAAAAGGTCGTTTCCGCCTTTATTTCACAGCTTCGGATGGAATTTTTAAATTCACACGTATGCGATTAATTATTATTTGGAGACTGGATTAGGAGTTTTTATATCTAGATATATGATTATGACTATTGGAATGCTCTCTTAGGGGTTCGAAAATTATTGTATTTATTGGCATATTTCACTTTTTCTTGTGATTCGTGTTCGTATCGTCTTGAAAAAAACTTGATAGTCTTCCATCTCTACTTCAGACAAGTAACTTGCACTGCGGCTATTATTATGAATTGTGTGGTGGAGACAGGCCAAGAGAGATGTGCTATAGGCTTACTTTCCGGCTAAAACAAAAACCAGTTCAATTGTTTATGCTTGCTAAGGTATTGTTTAAGGAGCTGCGGGTGGAAAGGTAATCGGTCTCCAGTTATGTTTGTCTGCTTGACGTCAGCATCTCCAGTCAGGCATTTATGAGGGGGCTATCAATTACCCGCAATCAAATGCAAGACAAGCCACAAATATCTTCGATAAAAACAAATAACATGCAAAAATCAATACACATAACAGCTGACAATATAAATATAAAGACTGACGAACTGATTTGCGATCAACGCGCAGCCCAAACTTCGTCTGAAAAAGATATAAATAACGATTCCATTTAAGTATGCATTGCAAAGACGTCACTAGCTTGCGCATGGCTGAGGTTCGGACCAATAAGCGAGAGGTTGCTGGCTCAAATCTTGCATTTATCAGCGTCAGAGCAACGTCCGATAAATTTCTCTAGTGAAATGAATGACCACAAAAATTATTTAATTCATTTAGTTTAAAATTTTTATTAAAATTTCTTTATACATTTATCGAGTTGCTGGACAACAATTTGCACACACATTCATACACATTCAGGCAGCAGCAGGCAAGATCGAGTGTTAAAGGCGGCTGGGTGGGTGGTTTATAGGGTAAGAGAGCGCGCAGGTGGTTGCCTAGTGCAGGTGATAATCATGGAAATCGTGATGATGATGATGAAAGTGGAAGGGATCGTAGGGATAGGCCTTGATAATGGGCGCCGGATGGTAGGTCTTGATGATGGGTGGATGCACCAAAGTCTTCACCACAGTGGGCAACACCACCGGCTTGATAATGTGATGCGGCACGCTGTGCACCACCGTCGAGCTCTGATGCGACACGGCAGCGGGCACATGCACAATCTTGGCCACATGCAGCGGCTCGATGTGGTGGTGGTGTGCGGCCAACAGCGGATACTCCGGATAATGGTGGTGGTGGCCATGCAGATATCCAGGCCGTGCAGCGGCCAGGGCGCACAGCAGCAGCAGCGACAACAACTGGAAAGGATGGCAGTAGTTAAGGGAACTACTTGGGCAGCTTGAGGGTTATCCTTACCAATTTCAGCATGATGTGTGTGTGGAATATCCTTGTGTGTGTGTGTGTGTGTGAGTCAGTGGTGGGGTGCTCGATGACTTGCAGCGTGCAACTGATGCCACCGTGACACCACGCGGTGGCTTTTATACACTTGCCGTCTTGCATCAGTTGCCATTGGCTGCAGCAGCAGCAGTAGCAGCTGCCTCGACGCTCGACAGTTCCAACAGCTGCAGATGCTCTCATTGTTTGTCGCGATTTCAATGCAACGTTTTCTGTTTGCAACACCCCCCCACCTCCCACTCCCCTTACTCAGCAACACCGTCTACTTTGCCACTTTGCCATATCCGCGCTGCCGGCATTAACAACGTTTGCCACTTGCATCCGCAGTGGCTGTTGCAGTTGCAGTTGCAGTTTGCAGTTGCCGTTGCAGCAGACGCTGTAATTGCCTCGCTTTTGATTATCGCTTCGCTTACACTGGCCTACAAGCAGCATGAATGGAAGGCAGCTGATACTAACAGCGATATTTGTGAGTTATTATTAACAAGGAGACTTTTATTTTTATAAATTTCAATATATTTTAATACCCTGCTTACAATTCGAGATCGGGCTTGTTCATTAAGTATGTCTTAAATAATTTAACATTCGACTCTAAAATTTGCAGCCTATAAATAAATGCTTGTGTATTAGATATGCATACGAAACTTTAGAGCTAGGTAAATTCCGGATGATTTCATCTTATTTCTCGTCTACCATAAATTGAAAAGAGTCTATGTAGCTGGAGAAGCTTAATGTTTAACACTCTCAGAGTAATCGCTTTGTAAGCCAAAATTCTCGATTAATTTACATGACATTTAAGTGAAGTATGCGCATTTTTGGTGGGTTTGTGGATTGTATCCGCCCATTATGGACACAGCGAAGCCCTATATACTTAGGCATTAGAATCGCATAATCTAGCATTATAATTCTTTAATTAGTTAACTATCGGAAAACTCTGCATACATTCCTGTTTTGATCTCCTGACGGGAGCTTGAAGTGCGTCTTCTCAGAACAAATTCTAATTTATTATTTTGTTGAAATTCAATTATGTGCGGATATCCATTGTTCAAAGTTTTTATATTGTCTCTATTAAAACTCTTTTATCTTTGAATTTGTTTATATTTCCTCTATCAAAGCTCTTTCATATTTGAATTAGAATTAAAGCTCTTTTATCTTTGAATTTAAATTTATTTTTATGTTCATACCTACAAAGATTCCTATCATTTATTTTATTAACTTATTGCTTATAGCTTTAGATAAGATCTGTATTTTGTGACCAAAAAGAAAACTTTTATAAGAATTCTACAATTTTGCTGAAATGAATTTCTAATGATTTTAAATATCATATCATGCTGCTCAGTGTTCTTTTCGCTTTTGCAGTTCTTGAGCCAATAATTCTGGCATTCAATTCTTAGAATTTAACTTTCTCATCAGAAACCCTGTTGTTGGATCTATCCTAGCTCACGTTTATCCTTAGCTGTTTGTTTGGTATCTTCAATCAGTGTTAACCATGCCCAACACTTCGGCTATGGCTCAATCAAGCGTGTCAAAGATTTTTCCAGCGATTGTTGTTGTTGTTGCTGTTGTTGTTGTCGTCTGGGCACAAATGTTGCCATTGGTAATTGCCAAAGCGTTTGCCTTTGCCTTTGCCTCTGCTTATGTCGCCGCAATTTGTGCCTTTAGTTCATCGTATATACCGTTACTAATGGCAGCAACTTGTAATTGTTGCTGTTGTTGTTGTTGTTGTTGCTGTTGCTGTTGTTGTCGAATTGGCTTGCAACACATGGTGGCAACTGGCAACTGGCAAGCATAATTTATGCCAGTGTTACATTTGCCTGCAACGACCTTGACCAGCCAGCCAAATTGTTGTTGGTTTTTTTTTTTCAAATTGTTTTATTTTTTTATTTATTTTTCATTTTTTGGCTTCTTTTTGCACTTGCAGCGGAAATTCACACTCGCCAATTGAATTGTGCATTATTTTCCATCCGATTTGCTGGCGTGGAAATTAGTTGCAATTCTTGTTATCTTTATATTTAGGCTGAGAATTTTTCAATATGCTGCAAAAACTAGCTGAACTTTGTCTAACAAGAAACAATTCCCAAAGGGTAGTCGAAGATTAGATACCCTGGCAGACATATGACGATGAGAATCCATAAAGAGTCATGCATAATATATAAAATCGTGGTCTGTTAAGAAATGATATTGATCAGAATATGTTTATTTGTTGAGAGTAATTTGTTTGATTTGAGAAACTCCAGCAAATAAAAGAGTTAATCGTATGGAAACTAATTCCTTGGCCGATTGATTACGATATGGTAGATGAATGTTGATAAAACTTGCTTCATATTTTAGGAGAACTTTGAAGCTCATAATTGTTAAGCTTGGTTAAGATATATGATTAAAGGACTCAATCCAGCTGACCTATTCAAGATTTAAAACTAAGAGACTCGATCCTAGCATACTTATCAATAATATATGGAGTTAAAGATGTCTTCTTCTATGCATTGCCCATATTTCGTCACAATTATAAGACTCGCTGCTGGTGAATAAAAATGTGGCAACAAGTGGCAGACTCGCAGCCTGTACCCTCAACGTCATGTGTCGTGGTTAGGATTGAAGAGGTATGCCTGCATTTGGCTATGATATTTAAGTCTAGAAACTGGAGCTACACAAAGCAAACAAAAAGTTCACGAACGCGACATTCAAGGTGCTCAACTGGCGGGGAAGGGGGGAAGCTCATTAGAATGTCGCGCTGCAATTGACAGGCGACAAGTGCAGCAGCTCGACGCCAAATGCCAAATGGAGGCACTCGCTGACGGCTATCTTTTGGCTTCGATTAATCAGGCGGCGAGCAATTGAATATGAAAATATTTGCACAACAATTTGCTTTGGTTTGGCCAGCTGAATGTCTGATCAATTGGCTTGACCCACAGAGCGAACACGCCCGAAACTTAACAAATGCAACGAATTTGTCTTATCTGCACCAGGAAATGTTGCACTCTCTAAAACGAAAACTGGACTTATTGGCAACATGTTGCAAGCCATTCGCTTTGGGTTAGTGGGTTAGTCTGGGCGCCTGCTATAAACTCTATGCTCAACATTGCGCATACGCCGTGTGAGCCCAAAAGTAATTTCAATGTTATTGCTATGGAAATAACTTTGCACACACATCCGCTGACCAGCTAAAAATGTCGTTGATGGACACTCAACTGACCTTAGCAGAAATAATCACAACAACAACAACAACTGCGACAGCAACACGATTTGCCACAAATCTTTGCCCATTTTGGCCACCTGCTGCTGGTGCCGCTTTATTAAGCATACGTCGCGTTGTCCCCACTAAACGCTGCGTGTTAATGCAATTACGTATCGAAATGCTTGAACAAGCCACTCGAATGGCATACATTTTCCAATGCGCTTTTCATATTATCTCTAAACGAACAACCCACTAAAAAACGCGCAGCTGCAGACCTGAAAATTATATATATCTATCTATTTAACTGAAACCCCCCAAAAAGCATTTCTCATAGATTTTTTTCCGCGCTTTTTTTGTTTTGCGCAATCTGCCAAACTCTTTGCCAGACTTTGGCTAACTCGTGCCTGGCGCCGGCTGCCCGAGTGCCCAAATAACTAACTAACCGACTGAACGACCGACTGACTGACTGACACCTGAGTGAACTGTGGCAGGACAGGCTCCCATTTGTATTGTTGCTGTGGGGCGGCAGTTTTCATGTTCGGACAAAGCATGAATAAAGCTGAAAATTTGGTCAATTTACATGCACCCAAAAACTTTTGTACATACACATGTATATGACACTAAGATTGATAGATAGTTAAGTAGATATGTGTATTCATTATTTTCTGCCTGCATATGCAATAGTTGCCTTTTTTTTTGAGATTGTGCTTTAAGCAGTTATGCCAAAGCTTGTTGCCGTACCTCATACTGAACACCTATATACCCTTTTCAACATGAGTAATGGTTATCAATGGGTTATCTGAATGGGAGACTCCCTATTCACAAATAATCAAAACTAGGATTCGGTTCATGAACCTGTCTTTGCACAACTATGAACCCAGGTGCTAGTTCAAATCCTGTAATAAGAAAATAGATAGTGAACAAATCAAATCGATTTACTCATCTCTGTCCGTCTGTATATATACGTCGATTTAAAAGGGAACCTCATTGTATTTTTCTTGACCAACTCCCATTTGATACACAGATCAGAAGTGTTTCACTTATATTCGCCTTACCCCCTAGAACTCTCTTAATTATTTTCATATAATTACCAAGAAATAGTCTCCATAAGCGACACACAACTCTATTCTATAACTATGCTGAAAATTAGGTAAAGATCTAGAGTTATAAAATTAGATTTCTTTAGAATTATTCAAACGATATGCCATAGTCGAGCATACTTCTAATAAGGTATTCTCTCTAATTTCGTAATCATTTCAATTAAACTTCAATTAAATACCAGTTAGATTTAAGATAAACTTTACACACAGGATGGCTTCCACGTGTATCGATTAATTTGTTATCTTGAACCGATTTCCGTATTTTGTCGGTCTTGAACTAAAAGTTGGTTCTCGCAGAAACTTAGCGACCTTCGAGCCAATTAACTCTAGCGAAATGACAAACAAAAAGCTGAGAAAACGGACCATTCCGAGCTCGAGTTAATTTGAAAATGATCAAAGCTGACGTAGACCCAGCACTGAGCGCTGGTTAAGTACTGTAATTGCTCCACTTGGCTTTAATTAAAAGCAAAATTAAGTTGGCTAACAGTTGGGGAACAACTTGCTAAAAAGCAACCAGACAACCAGCCAGAGGTTGCACACAGCACAGATTAAACGATCTATAGATATTGTCATTGTTATGCAAGCCAGGTGAGCCGAGCTAACCAGAACTGTCACAAGACCCTGTCCCGTCCAGCCCGAACCCGGTACCCAGAGAGACAAGTCGAGAGTGTGTGGGTTGGCCATAAGGCGTACATTACCCTTTGGTGTGAGCATAGCCCGGATATCGGGCCAAAGGAATTTCGTTGAGAAACCAGAAAACAATTGTCGTGAGTCTGGCTCAAAAATAGAAATCCAAAATCTATTAAAAAGCACTTTGGCAGGCAAAAAGAATATTTTTTGTAAACAAATATGAGAGAGAGCGAGAGAGAGAGAGAGAGAGAGAGACTTGAGACAGTGGCAAAAGGGGGGCGGGGCAGCTGCCTGAATTATACTTATGTCGCCAGTTTGCAGTATTCATTAATCACGCTCACAGAAGAAAAAAATTAGCTGACAAATGGTCATAACGGCGACAGCTCGCAGTTTGTAGAATGGCAACTGAGCCAACAATTCTTACAAAAGCGGAACTCGGCCGAGAGAGAGACAGAGGGAGACAGAGAGGGAGAGAGAGAGAGAGAAGCGGAGCAAAAGATCTGACAAGAGCGGATTCTATGTGGGCAGACATTGTCTTGGCTGGCGCAGATTAACATAACAGGAAATTACAATATGCTTACAATAATGTTCACTTTTAATGCAAAAAAAAAGAATGTAATCAGTTTTTTTTTTTTGTCTCTAATACCCTAGGGGCCTTATGTATGCCCAGCGGGTGTTATGCTGTCTGACTTGACTACAATGCATGAAATGCCTGCTATTCCATTTGATTGTTCTGTGTGAACTTATCTACCTATGTGAACTTATCTCTTTACAAAATTAAGCATATATGCTGCTTTTTGCTCTAGCTCAAACATGTATTTGTATATATATATTTGTATTTGTATATATACATTTGTCATAGACCTAAAGGGCATTAGCTATTCGTTGCCCCAAGACAACTTTTACTACTTGTTTTTCACTCCCTCCGCCTGAAGAGTTCTGCGAGTTCTACGTGACCAGCAAGTCGAACCAGTAAATTGTCCAACACACGCCTTTCTCTATGGTTAATAAACTTTATTTACAATTCTTCTTCGCCTGGAATAAACACAACAAACCCAAACACAAAAAAAAATAAAACTAGTCATAACAACAAGCACAACAACTTTGCCAACTTTGGCAATTTGGCAGTGACCAACGCCACGCACTGAACTTGAGCCACTTCTTGTGGCGGTTGGCTGTTGCGTGGCTGCGTGGCTGCGACAATTGCGTAGTGGTTGCCGGTGGTGCGTGCCGCCAGACTGACAAACACAAGCATGGACAACTCAGCATGTTGCTGTTCGGCTGTCAACGACTGCGCAATACTCGCTCGAAGTCTAAGACGAGCTTGAAATAGGCGAGGAGGAAAATTTGTTACATTTTTGATTAGCTCACAGAGTCATACAATTTTGTGGGCTTGATCTTAACAGCAGGTCAATAGTGGTGCCTGCAGCTTTAACTGGGCGTGGCCAATACATATTTTAACAGAGTATATATGAGTATATACACCCAGCTGAAATTCGTTTACCAATACGCTTCATCTTCGCGTTGTAAGCGAGTATAACAATTTTCACGGTCAACTTTGGGTTGAGGAAAAATGACAACAAAGCAGACACGAAAATGTTGCGCCTGTTGTTGTTGTTGCTGTTGTTGTTGGGTGTGTTGCAAGTGGCAGAGGCAGAGGCAAAAGCTGGCCAACTGGCGACCAAATGGCCAAGTGCTCAACTGGCCAACTGCGCTCTGATGGGGGCAATCGGACGTCTGGCAGCTTTTGACTGGTTTTTTTTTTTAAGTTAGTGGGCTGGTCGGAAAAACTGTAAACGAAAGCATTGTTATTGGTGTTGTTGTTGTTGTTGTTGTTGTTGAATCAGCTGCAGCAGCCGATCGCCCGTCCAAGCGAACATTCGGGTGGGTCGCTGTCGCCGTCGCTGTTTTTCAGGCTTTTCTTAACGATGTCTGTGCTAAAATTATTATTATTGTATTTTCTGCACTTTTGGCGCAGTTTTTGGATTTTGAATGTAAATCTCGCGTGTGTGTGCGTGTGTGTGTCTGGCAGCTTTTGTGTATAAAAGCTGTCGCGGATTTGCAGCTAGCAACAGTCAACGGCGACGCGTCAACACAGACCTACAGTACATTTCTATAGCAAATAGCTAGCGCTAAGTAACGCAAGGATTAGCAAAAATGTTCAAATTGGTAAGTCCAAGTCGCTTACCTGGCTAGCCACGCCTTCTCCATTAACAATTCTCCAACTGTCCGCCCACAGGTGGTGTTGTCTGCTCTGCTCGCTGTGGCCGCTGCCCGTCCAGGCTATCTGGAGGCAGGTCCACTGCTGCATACTAGCTATGCTGCACCAGCGATTATCCATGAGCCCGCGCTGGCCAGTGTGGGGCACATTGTGAAGAGCATACCGACGTCGGTGTCGCATCAGAGTATCAGCCAGGTGCACAGCTCGGCGCACATTGTGCAGCCGATTCTGGCACCCGTTGTGAAGACCTATGCGGCGCCCATCATCAAGACCTATGCCGCTCCAGCTCTGCACACCAGCTACCTGTCGCCTTCGTGGGCCTCTCACGGCTGGGCCTCCTCCTGGTAGGCCTCCTCCAACTCGGCGCCGTTTCATCATCATTGGGCGGCTCTGAGCGGAGCTGCTCGAGATTTTTTATACCCTTTCTGCATTTTGTTCTCTTTTTTGACCCTTTTGACTGATGTAAATAAAAGTCCATAATTTCATAAACATAATTCTCCGTAATACTTGCAATGAAGTGGGCGTCGGTCGGGAGGCTAGAGATTGCATTTAATCCAAATACTCAGAACTTATCGATAAGACGGAGTAGGTGGAATAATTATTATTATCTTTCTCCTAATATTTAATATTTAGTAAACACTAGTAAGTAAGTATTTGATACATAAGAATAGAAGATTGAAGGCTATGCCCTTCTCAAAGCTGGGCGTCTTAAAAATGTATGCCGCTTAAACAGAATATATTTGCATTTAGTTAAAATTCGGATATCACAGGAATACGTTTTTTAACAAAGTTTTAAAGTCATATGCGACTTATATGCAGAATTTGGCGTAGGAAAATCAGCCAGATTTAAATGAACTCTAGGCGAATCAAATTCGTTATTTTTCTTTCTAAAATATGTCTTTCAATTGAATGTTATTAAAATGCAATTTTTACTGACTTTGGTATAATCAACATTTATACAAATGACAAATTCTGCCTTTTATTCCAGGAATTCCATTGCATCCAATTTTAAAAATGAAGCAACTCTGCTTTATATACACCATTCATTAAATAGGATTATTTAACTCATCGTAAACTGACTTTAAATGAAGCTAAGCTTTACCAGCTGTGAAAATCGTTGAACCATCAACCGTGGTTGAACCAGCATAAGGGCACTTATAGAGATAATTAGAAACTTATCACTGCCTATAAGGATTTTATCACAGCGAGCAAAGCGCGTTATCAGAACTCTGATATATATAAAGTGCGTGTGATTGGGGTTTGGGCAGCAGGTGCAGCCTTTCGAGACCCGAAAAGAGCTCTCTATCCAAATTTCTTGACGACATTGTTTAGAGGTCAACGCTGTCATCCTTAGGCCTCTGGAAAACCATTATATGTTTTGTCGAAAGGTAAGTTCTTCAATGAAAAACTATTTTTCTATCAAAATATCTTGGGCAAACCCTGAATTTACTATATAAACTGCGCTAGCTATTTGTCATCCCAATCTTGTTAAGATCGCAACGTCATATTTTTCTATACCTGTATACGAAGTCTATTTATCTATATTTTCATAAGTCAGCATTTATGAGCTTGACTACTCTCAAAACCTTGTGCAAGTCTAGGGATTGCCGAAGATAGGTGGCTTTTCTCTCTTGTTTTAATAAACAGTCGAATCCTCATACAGAAATAGCTAAAGGTCGATGCAATTGTAACTGCACTTATTGCATTTATTGTAATAATGAAAATTATAGCATACCCTTTTTTCACATTCTCAAAGCCTACAGGGTGTAGCTGCTTGAACTGAACGTCTTGCGGCGCACGTAGCTGAAGTTCAAATTGAGACTGAAATTGAAATTGAAATCCAAACGTGCTGACCCTGAAAGAACTAAGCGAGAGACGCACTTAAAGTGCAAGTAATGCAGCTGAGGGCAGCGGCTAATAAAGGGCCAGAGCAGAGCACTTGGCTAATGGCCAAAATAAACTGGTTGCCAGCAGCAACTCTTGCTTTTGGTTTGTCAACGAATAATTGTTGGAGCCGAGCTGAGTTGAGCTGAGGTTGAGCTGAGCTGCCCACCGACGCTAATTGCTTATTGAATGTGTGTGAGAATTGAATCTGATATGGTTTTTATTTCGTCGTTGTGCGTAGTGAAGGTCGCGGGCTTTGTGCCTGCTGCTATATAAACGACGCCTGCAGTTGGCAGACCACAAGCAGTTCTCGCTAGAAACTCAAAGCTACTACAACACGCATTCAGTCAATACAGACCAAACTTTTAACTCAAAAACTCAAATATGTTCAAGTTGGTGGTATTGTCTGCTCTGCTCGCCGTAGCTGCTGCCCGTCCCGGTCATCTGTACGAGTCGCCTGTGGTTTACGCCTCCGCTCCGGCCGCCACCATTGTCCAGGAGCCAGTGCTGGCCAAGGTTGGCGCCATCGTGAAGAGTGTGCCCACATCTGTCTCCCATCAGAGCCAGTCGGTGGTGCACAGCTCCGCTCATATCGTCGAGGATGTTGTTGCGCCCGTGGTCAAGTCAACGCCTGTCGTTAGCTATGCAGCTGCCGCGCCAGTGTTGCACAGCACCTATGCTGCTGCCGCGCCAGTGTTGCACAGCACATATGCTGCTGCCGCGCCAGTGTTGCACAGCACATATGCTGCTGCCGCGCCAGTGTTGCACAGCAGCTATGCTCAGATTGCCGCTGCCTCGCCGCTGACCTACACCGCGACAGGAGTGTGGTAAAGGAAACCACCCGCTCCACTCAATTGATGCGCAGTGGGACGTGCATTTTGTTGGACGGCTTTGTGATACGAATTTGAATAAATAAATGTTTTGCTTTGAATATCGATCGAGTATTAACTATTTTTTTCCGCTTTGCCAGAGTCCTTGTTTGTCTTAGCTGCAGTTCCTCGACCCTAAGGTATTTACTCTGTCAGGCTCTGCCCGTAACTCGGCCCTCACCCGCCAGCTATGCATGGCCTCTAACTGCGCTGTAAACAAGTGGGGGCTATGTTTTGGCTTATCCAAGCATACCCGTTCCAAAGCTTTCACTAAAGGGTTGCTTAGTTTCATGGGATGTGCTTGATTTCAAAATATTAAAAGTTGGCATTGATTCAAATTTGAAATACATTTTATATTATTCTACAACAGTTCATGCTATTCCATTGTCTAGATACTATTGCTATTCGTAACTCTTAATATTTAACATATCGAAATCTGGGCTGAAAATTTATGACTTATCGAGCTTAGCTATAATGCTTTCACATATATTTCACAAGCCGCTGTTATTTTTCTTTAAACTAGGATACTGTTCCGAAAATATGGCTTTAAGCTAGCTATATACTTAAATATAATCCAGCAAATATCCGGGATCGATTCCCAAGCTAGTTTATGGCTGTATTATGTGTGTCTTTTCCGAAGGTCTCAAACAGTGCTATTTAAATTTAGTTAGTTTGATTGTTTTCTTATACTACAAATAATAATGATAATAATATTAATTTTAATCATAAGAAGAAACTAGCTGGTATTTCTGAAAACTTGATTTATTAAATTACCTCCACGTCAATATTCTTAAGAATATTTAACAGTCTCCAGCTGTCATGCGTCATTCAGGTGGAAAATCTAGATTTCCAGTTGTGTTATTATTAGCCGGGTATATATGATTGGTGATAGTTGTGCCTTGGTCTCGGCCTAGGTTCAAGGCCAATGGCGCCACGCGCTGTTGCCGGTGGCCAATGAACCTGCAACTCGAGCAAAAAAAAAAAACAGAAAGTGCAGCGAATGTTGCAGCTGCAAGGGCTTATTATTCAATGTCCCAAGTGACAAGCGGCCATATACAAAATACACTGTAAAAACTATTGACTATGTTAACATACAAATACTTTTCGTTTTTAATACAGCATATAAAACCTTTTTTTGATGATTAGTTGTAACTAGAAGAAGACTTAAAATAGTTTTACACAAAAGTCAGCTCTCTCAATTTTTAAGCACTTTCTATTTATTTAACAAAGCCAGTTCGAATCCAGATGAAAGTGTTTTTTTTAAACTAAATAATACTACATTTATTTTAGAATATTTAAAGGCTAAAAAGCTGATTTACGGCTCAAATTTTGGTTCATTATTTGTTAATCAAAGTCAGGTCCAAAAAGGAGGGTTTCATTTGAAATAATATTTTGTTATTGTTTTACAAGCAAATAGAGTAACTTTTTTAATGCTTATCAATCGGATTTATTCTTGTCATCGCCCAGTTTGATTTTGCCAAAGCTCAAGAACTGGACGGGTTTTTTGATATAGTCAGCATTTGTATCGAATATCGATCTGAGCGCATCGGGTATGCCTTGTATCTTTTGCATGAGGTCGCGCCGATAGATTGCATGTTCCAACGTGGAATCCTTTCGTTGAACCGCACCTAAGCTGGCTGCACCGCAGGCTGGCAACAGCAACACCATGTGCACAAGCTGAATAATGTGAAAGAGTCCTTATTTATTGTTGGTGCAAGCAAGTTTTCGAATCCTTACCAGACTGGCAATGACAATCTTCATGCTCGGACTTGGGCTGAAATCAAACTGTAGTCGAACGAAAGCTTTTCACTTGCTTTTATAGAAGCACTTGCCGCATATGGATGTCCAGTCGAGTTAGCGAAAAGTTCTATTGCCATACGAATTTTCCGGAAGTCTTGAGTTCTGTTTACAAAGTAATCAAATGCCAATGCACGCAGATTTCAAAGCTCGTGCCGGGGCCAAATACTTAAGCCCGGGCCTGGGTTGACGTGCGACTAATGAGCCGCGCTTTGTAAATGAAAACAAGAGTGGGTTGGGTCTCGGCTTGGCTTGTGGTTTCAGCTACGAAAATAGCCACCAAAGTGGTGCGGTGCGGCGCGGTGTGGTGCGTAACTGAAATTGGCCGCGAATAATAATCTGGTTTATGCGAGACAAGAATCCGTTCAGGCACGTACGAATGCGAGTACTCATTGTATTCACTCGTGAGTGCGTGTGAATGTGTGCGTGCGCCTTGAAAGTGAAGTTCAAGTATAAAAGCCAGCGACAATTTAACAACTAGCACAGTCTACCCTTCGACACAAGTCAAAGATCCCACACAACAGCTCTACAAAATGTTCAAATTGGTAAGAGCAAATAGCTGGCTAGTCTTCCTCCAGTGGTTCCAGTGGTGCCCTAACCGTTTATCCAACTTCAACAGTTCGTTCTCGCCGCTCTGCTCGCCGTGGCTGCCGCTCGTCCCGGCCATTTGGCTGCCGCACCGCTCGTCTACAGCGCACCCACAGCCTATGTGCAGGAGCCGGCTCTGGCCAAGATTGGCGCCGTCGTGAAGAGTGTGCCCACCGCTGTTTCACACCAGAGTGTCACCCAGGTGCACAGCACGCCCGTCGTTGAGGATGTGGTTGCGCCCGTTGTGAAGACCACGGTGCATGCCGCGCCCGTAACCACCTATGCGGCAGCTGCGCCCGCCGTTGCCACCTACTCGGCGGTTGCTCCGGTGGCCACCTACTCGGCCCTGCCGGCCACATATGCCGCCCATGTGCCCTATGTGAAGAGCGTGTCGCCACTGGCCTACTCCGCACCGCTGGCATACTCTGCACCACTGCTGCACCACGCACCACTGACATACGCAGCCAGCGCCTGGTAAGAGCGAGAACGAAAGAGTTTGATATGAAACTACGATGTTGACTTGTGTCCCACCACGTAAATAAAATCCAGAAACCAATCGAATTTGAATCCTTCAAACCAGCTTATTTATTAGGGAACATATCGCAGAGGTAGATGCTTCACTTGAGGTAGATGCTGGGATAGCTGAGCGCAGCCGTATTCCAGCCGGGCTCGTACCAGTCGCTGCCGTAGCTCAGCGGGCTGCTGGCATAGGTGTATGTGGTCGGATGGTGGTACGTCTTGAGTGGATGCTCGTAGATGGGACGCAAATAGGGACGCTTCTCGTGCACCACCGTCGAGCTCTGATGGGAGACGGCGGCGGGCAGCGCCAGATGCTCGTAGCCCAGCACCGTGGGCGCATACTCAATTGTCTCATAGCTGGGCAGGTAGCTGGGACGTGCCTGGCTGAGAGCCAACCAAGCCGCGCACAACACGAATAGCTGCAAGAGAATTCACGTGTTAGTTATCCGAACGGGGGTATCCATAGTATTTGAGCTTCTCACAATTTTGAACATCTTGAAGATACTTTTCTGTTTATTTTGGTGAACACTGAAGAGCGCTGTTTGTCGAACTGTGGCTCCAGCTGAAGAAGCGCCACAATTTTATAGCCAAAGCACCACCGCCGCTTCTTTACGTTAGAATTGGCACAGACAATCGAGCCATCAAGATTTTCCCAAGCTCGACGCCTCATTAGTGACCCATTTGGGCGTAACCGAGCGACTAAGTGGTTCAGTCAAGGCAGCCAGTCAAAACATGGCCAAGATCTTAAGCAAATTTCATAGTCTTTTTTTTGCTGCTGCTGCTGTTTGAAGTTATGCTGGTTCCTGTCTCCAGCCAGACCCACCCACACCCAACACTAAGCTATGGCCCCATTCCAGCCATAAATCAGCCGCAACAGCATTTCTAATGGCTTGGCCTGTGCCTGTGCCTGGCTGCTGGTCTGCGACTCGACTTGCCAATTGTGCCGCCTCTTGGCTCGGCCTCCCAATTACCATGGCCCGGTGCCATACAAGGAGCCGCAGTCGCAGCCACTGCTGCACCACGCTCCAGTTACCAGTTAACCAGAAGCTGAACGTTCCACAATGAAGTCAGCAAATATCGCATTAGCATATAATGCCCACAAAATGTGTAGTCGTATTTCCCTCTTCTAATATTCCACGGCACAATGACTTTTTTCCTGGCTGCTATTTTTGGCTGCCGCCAACGCAATTCTACGCAGCTCTGTGCTTTACTTTTTGCTAGAGCTGTGCACGTGTCGTGTCATGCGATATGGCACGAATATTGATATTTAAAGAAACGCATGATTTTAAAATTTTAGTTATAGTGTCAAAAATAGTTGCTGGCCTTGTGAAACAGGCTCATCGGCTTTGATTTGAACCTTCATTCCTTACAATCTACCCCCAATCATAAATAAAACAGGCTCAGATTTCGGTTCGTTTTTAAATCGAAATTCGAGCTAAATAACATTTTTAGCTTTAAGTTTAAGGAGATTTGTCTTTGACATTATTACAGCATTGTACATTTATTAACAAACATATTGGCATATATATATATATATATATATATATATATATATATATATATATTAATTCATATTTGGTAGCACCTCGTGTCACGCTGCCAGCTCTATTTGTTACCACATATGTCGCCTACTGTAGCCGGTTTATTTTTATTTAGTTTTTTTTTTTCGGGCAGCTCAATTCCCAGCCCATTTGGCCTGACCTTTGGGTCTAATTCAATTAGATACACGCAAATGCTGAAATCAAGACACCAAAAAAGCCATAACCACAACGCGCTGACAGCCACTCAACTTTTTAATTAGTGCAGCAGTTGTGGCCAGTTCTTGGTGTATTCGTATTCATTTACCTATTCGTATACGTATTCGTTTCTTTGGCCCACTTAGTCACTTGACCAACGAGAGCCAAACAATGCCAAGAAAACATCTTTAATAGCCCTAAGCGCACTGAGCAGCAAATCTTTTGAGTTTTTGAAGCTGTGAGTGCACTTATTAGTGTGTCATTTAATTGGGCACTACAGATATATTTCTACTTGACCCAATTGCATTTTGCGGCGCCTTATACACAATCAATTTAGACAGTTTTTATGCACCCTTTTCAATGCAGCATAAAATGTGGCATACTTTGAGGCATGTTCGTATATTAAGCTTTGCTTTAAAGCTTTGTGAAGCTTAGCTTAAGCATGGTTTTGGGTCTTAACTCTTCAAAGATCATTTGGCTAAAATGTGCGCTTTGCTCTTGCTCGCAACTTTCAATTAAATTTAACATAAACCAATTCGTTTTTGGAGTATCTCGACCACATCATTTTGGACTCATACGGATTAGTTCTATCGATTGGCTCTAAGAAGTAATAATTCTAAATTTTCAACCTAAACAGGTTTTTTTTTCTCAAAATCGGAGTCGATTTTTTGATGACTTTTTTTAATATCTCAGCCAAATAATATCCGATATTTGAATTATGCATCATATTTAACTGTAAGAATGATTAACTGGTAAATATTTTCCTGATAAGTCCTTTGTCAAACACCTCGTATGGACTGGGACTATAATCTGCCCAAAGGACATCAAAATCGTCCTTATGGTTTCCAAAATATTGCTATTGTCTTTTTAAAGGACATTAAAATTGGCCACCTTAAGGACCTTTCTGATGTCCTTTGGACAACATGTAGTCCTTGTCCTGCCAATTTAGAAAATGTAATAAAAAGGACGAAAATCCTTCAAGGAGCTGTGGAAACGAGATTTTTGTGTGTAGAGATAAAAGGCTGTAGATCGGCCATATCCTTGCCGATCATGATGTCCATTTGCCAACCGTTAGTCCTCATCCTCCCAATTTAGAATATATATTAAAAAGGACGAAAGTCCTTCAGACAGCATAGATATGAGTACAAATCTTTCCTAAATTAACAAAGCCATAACTCAGCCGTATCCTTGCAGATCCTGACAAGTCCTGTGGCAAACAAATCGTATGAACAAGGACCATAAACTGTCCAAAGGACAACAGAATCGTCCTTGCCGTTCCCAAGATATGGCCTATTTTCTAAAAAGGACATTTTTTAAATAGCCATAACTCGGCCAAATCCTGAAGGATATCGAAAGGATATATCGTTTTGGACTCGTGAGGAGCAGGACTATCGATTGGCATTCAAGGATTTCCAGAATTCGACAAAAAATTTCATCGAAATTTATCCTAGGGGGTAAGTCGCAAAATTGGCCAAAATCGAAAAATTCCGGGCTAACTTGGCCATTTGAAGGGCTATCGGGATGTCCTTTGGCCAGTAGATAGTCCTCGCCTTCCCATTGAAGAATTAACAACCCAAAGGACGAAAGTCCTTCAGACAAAAATGTTTTAAGGACGATTTTCGTTAAAGAAAATAAGCCATAACTCGAGTATATCCTTGCGTATCCTGGCGAGTCATATGTCAAAATAATTGTACTGGCCAGGACTACCAACTGGCCAAATTTCATTAAGATCGTCCTTGTAGTTTTGGAGATATTCAAGGATTTGTGTTTTCGGGCCATTTCCGTGCGCTCTGGGAGAAAAATTTTACAAGTCCAATTTCGAGACATATGATTCTTAGATGACCCCATATTTTTTTTATGCAGATCGATGCAGGGGGTCTATACGATCCTAACGCGGCATGTCCTTTGAAAATCTGCAAGGACATGCCCGAGTTATGGCCTATTTTCCGTTTTTATATGATTATTTATATGTTTCATTTAAATGTGTTTTTATCATTTCAGACTGCCAAATAAAGGACTATAAGGACCTCTAAGGACCTCCACGAGTGACAAAGCAGATTTTTTAAGGATCGGACTTGATTGAGGCCAGATTTAGTTAATTTAAGTTTAAATAAGCTAAAATTATAAATTATGCTCGTTTTGTATAATTTTAAGAGAAATAATTAAGAAAATTAGCATAAAAGCAGCAATTTTATAAATTGAAACATAAATAAATTTAAAATAAAAGCGAAATTCCTGTTTTTTTATTTAAAAATTCAAAAATCAACGGTTTTTAGAAATCCATTGCATACCGCTGGCGCTGGAGTTATGTCGTTTCGAAACGTCATATCTCCATCGGCAACCGCTGGCGCTGGAGTTATGTCGTTTTGGAACGTCATATCTCCATTTTTCTTAAAATCTGCCGAAATACCAGGCGAACAGAAATGAGCAGAAGGTCGACAAAAAATATTCATTGCATACCCAAAAGGGGCGCCCTTGTCGGCGGCCGGGTCCCAAATTTTAGCTAAAATTTCCGAAAAACACCAGGCGAACAGAAATGCCCAGAAGGTCGACGTACAATATTTTTGCGGCCGAAAAAATTCATTGCATACCGTCACGGGGCGCCCTGGTCGGAGGCGACGCCCCAAATTTGCCCTAAAATTCCACTGAAATACCAGGCGAACATAAATGCTCAGAAGGTCGATGAGTGGTTTGCATAAAAATGTAACTCAATTAAAATGAGTGCTGTTAATTAGCATTTTATGTTAAATGAGCGCTGTAAGCCGGCTGTTAAGCAAGAGCTGCAGCCGCAGCTAATGTAAAAGGGCTCCTGAAAGAGAAAGCATACATATTTTTGGACCATTTCAATGCACATTTTGCAGTGATCTGATCCTGTAGGTTCCAAAGGACTATATCGATGGTATGGCATAACCAAGGATATGCTAGTCAACTAGAAACCATCCAGGGGCGGGACTGTTGCGGCGGCCGGCTGTAAAAGAAGGGCATACATATTTATGGACCCTGTTTTGCAAGAACTTGGTCCTTTAGGTTCGCTAGGACTACATCCGTGATATGCATTAACCAAGGATATATATTGGTCAACTAGGTACCATGAGTAGCGATCACTTGCTGATCAAATGATCTCCATGTGCTTTAAAACGTTCCTTGCCCTTAAGCCAGAGCACCGCGTAGCTGTCCTGGGCGATGGCCAGCGATTCGCCGAGTATCATTATCCAGAAGGTGTCGACACCAGTGCCACATTGGGTACCGAGGAGATGGAATAAATGAGCGGAAACTGTTTCCATCGATCTAAAATCAACATAATTATTTGTTGATTATATGTGGTCCATGAACGTCGGCAGATTAGGCTGAAAAATACAAAATGAAGAATATATTGGGTTTTGTAAACTTCCGACTTTAGAGAGACATACCTTTAAGGATTCGTGAGACTTTAAAATCGACAGAAGTCTATAAAATGATGATGATTTGATCGGCGCAGATTGGCAACAACGTTCCAATTTGGTCCAAATTAAAGTACGATTTTGTTTAGAGTTTATCCAGGGTATGAAATAACCAAGGTTTTCTTTTCCCTGGCAGATTTGGCTGCAAGATTCAAAATAAAAAATGTATTATTATTTTGTAAGCTTTTAATAACGATTTAATTGAGTCCAACTTCGAAATGAAAGTCTTTGAAAGTCTTCAAAATCGACAGAGCACTAAGATTTCTGAACCAAAATAATTAAGCAACTCGCCTCAGAAGGCGATTTTATTACATGTAAATTGATAATCCCGATGCGAACGATGTTAACTCGAGAGTACTTCCTTATAACATTATCAAAGAGTTTCACTCAACTACGGATCAAAGCCGCACACAAACATATGAGAAAGAAGAGAGTATCACCAAATGTATACATACAAGTATGTATATATGTATGTACGTATGTTTATATGTGTGCTTGTGCATTATCTTCTCACACTCTCACGAATTTTTTACGAAGGGGAAAATTACAATAAAATAAGCACTTTAACATTTGTAAAAGTCTATAAAATCGATGAACTTCTTCAAATTATGATTCCATTTTCGTCAAACTTTAGAATACAATTTTGTATGGCTTTTAATACTTCCGAGACGTACAAGTAAAAAGGTGTACACACATATGTATGTATGCATGTGTATATGATTGCATGTAAGTTATTTAATAAACTCTTTAACACTTTGCTGATAATCTATAAAATCGATGGACTTCTTCAACTTTTGACTTTACGAGTTATTACGGCTATTAATACTTCCGACCCGAATGGAATTTACACTTGTAATTTTATTAAAACAGCTTTGTTGCGCGGACGCAAAGTGAACAAAAGTCGGCGCACAGCAACTCGAGTAAGCGGCGTTCAAAGCTAGATAACGCATAGGAAAGCATACACAAGCATGCATAGGTGGACATGAATTGCAAGAACACACACTCGCACAAATGCAGAAGAAGAAGAGAGCATCACCAAATGTATGCTTGCATATGTATGTATGTATATATGATGGCTTGTGCATTACCTTCTCACACTCTCACGAATTTTTTGCGAAGCAGAAAATTACAATAAAATAAGCACTTTAAAATTGATGATTCTTTAAAATCGATGGACTTCTTCAAATTTGGATATCACCTTTGTTAAACTTTAGAACACGGCTTTTTTTATGGCTACTAAAACTTCCGAGACGTACAAGTCCAAATATGTACTTGCATATGTATGTATGTGCATATGAATGCTTGTGCATTTCCTTCTTATATTGCGAAGTAGTGAGAAAATTACAATTAAATAATCACTTGAACATTCGTGAGTCCGAAATGGATCATACCATTAGGCATACGGATGGCCTTTACTTGAGAATTTTCACTTATAACTCCTTTAAAACAGATTTACTCGACTCGACTGCCGCCGTTTAACTGAAAGAGCATCATGCTGCGCGGACGCAGCGTGGACAAAAGTCGGCGCACAGCAACTTGAGTAAGCGCCGGTCGAAGGTAGATAACGACGCATAGGAAAGCATACACAATCAGGCATAAGTAGATATCAATTGCGAGAGCACACACACACACACACACACATATGTCTGAAGAGGGAATCGCCTAAGATGTATGTGTATATTTGCATTATCTTCTTTTCAATCGTGCTCTCAGGAATTTTTTGCGAAGTGAGGAGCAAATTAGAATAAAATAAAACACTTTAACATTTGTGAAAGTCCATAAAATCGATGGACTTCTTTAAATTAGGATTTTACGACTTTTTTATGTAGATATCAACTGCGAGAGCACACACCCGCACATGTGTATGCAGAGAGAATAGCCAAAGATGTATGTGTATATTTGCATTATCTTCTTATTCATCGCGCTCTCACGAATTTTTGCGAAATAAAATTATGATTACACTTTTGTCAAGGTTTTAAATACGATTTTGTTTACGGCTTTTAATACTTCCATTCTTTTGATATGGTATTTACTTGAGAATTTGCACTTATAATTTTGTTAAAACTCGACTGGTGCTGGTTAAAATTATGTCGCGCGGACGCAAAGACAAAAGACGGCGCACAGCAACTTGAGCAAGCGTCGTTCAGAGGTAGATAACGACGCATAGGAAAGCATACACAATCAGGCATAAGTAGATATCAATTGCGAGAGCACACATCCAAACATATGCATGCAGAGAGAATCGCCAAATGTGTACATACATATTACGTCTGTATGTATATATGATAGCTTGTGCATTATCTTCTTATGCATCGCGCTCTCACGAATTTTGTAGCGAAGTAGGTAGACAATTATAATAAAATAAGCACTAACATTCGCGAAAGTCTATTAAATTGATGGACTTCTGCAAATTATGATTCCACTTAAGTCAAAGTTTAGAATACAATTTTTGTTATGGATTTTAATACTTCCGACCCGTACGAGTCCACATATGTACATACATATATATATGTGTATATGATTGCTTGAATTACAATAAAGTCTATAAAATCGATTTTACGACTTTCTTTATGGCGTTTAATACTTCCGACCCGTACAAGACCGACAACGTATAAAATTAGAGGTCCGGATGGCATTTACTTGATAATTTGCACTTATAATTTCGACTGCTTCCGTTTAACTAAAACAAAATCATGTCGCGCTGACGCAAAGTGGACAAAAGCCGGCGCACAGAAACTCGAGTAAGCGTCGTTCAGAGGTAGATAACGACGCATACGAAAGCATACACAAGCAAGCATACACACCCGCACATATGTATGTATGTATGCAGGGAGATTCGCCAAATATGCACGCACGTGTGTGCATTTGCCTGCTGGGGCCTTATCTACTTCTGCATCAGATCCACAAAGTAATAACAGGCTTGATAGAGCAACGCTCGCAGCACAACAACATGCCCTGTTCACTAATAGGGCCACACTGACTCAGAACAAAGTTGGGCAGATCCATCAAAGCGGCGCTCAGAAAGAAGAGCACTCAGAGCACGTCACTGCCAGCAGTTATTGATTGGACCAATCAGCGATCGACACCGAAAAGAATCGTGAGCGTGTGAGCGTAAGTCGAAAGTTAACAGCGAACACACACACGCACAGCTGACGGCTTATCTCTGGCTTTGGCTCTTCTCTGCGCACACACGTGTTTGTGTGGGTGTGTATGCCTGGCAATGCGGCGCATCTCGTTCCCACTCGAATTATGATCGCTTGCTAATTTTCTGTGCGCCGGTTCTGTGCGCCGGTTTTTTCGCTCGCCTAAGTCACTCACAATTAATTTAACACTCTGTTAGTTTTAGCTCAGCACTCAATATGAGCATGTTTTTATTAGCAGCTGCTGATCTCGGTGGAGCCTGAAAGGGTATTATGCATATGTTATTTAGCTTACTTAATAGTTGAATTCTTAATTGGATTAAACAGAAAAGGAGAATATTACTGCCAATTATCAGATGCAGAATTCCAACATCCATTAATCGTTTTTTATTTTCACAACTAAAAGGCGATCTGTATTGACAAATGCTTAGCGAAACGAAAACAAAAAGGAAGTTACAGAATCAGACCGAAAACATATACAGACGGCATTTTCTTAACATTTTCACTTATAATATTTCCGTAGAAAACTAAAATGGTATATCAGGCAAATAACAATAGAAATGCCACACCGTTTTTGATCTAAGCAACTTAAAAATGGATGGGATAAAAAAAGTTGTTGAACAAAGAACGATTCTTTTGTAAAGTTAACCTTTTCTGTTGATTTTTTTTTAATATCTCGGCCAAATAATGTCCGATTTTGTTATTTTATACCATTTTTGACTCGTAAGGATCAATACTATCGATTGGCATTCAAGGAATGAAAATCTAAATTTTGACCAAAATCGACAAAAAAGCAAGGGGTTACATCACGTTTTTTGACGAAATCGGGGTCTGTTCGAAAATCAAAACTTTTTCGATGATTTTTTCAGAATATCTCCGGTAAATATCGTCAAATATTATAATGTTATACCTTTTTAAACTCGTACGGATCCCTACTTTCAATTTGCATCCAAACAAATTAAAAATCGATGGCTTCAAAAAAGTTTTTGACCAAAAAACGATTCTTTTGTGAAGTCAACCTTTTTTGTTGATTTTTTGGCATATCTCGGCCAAATAATGTCCGATTTTGTTATTTTATACCATTTTCGACTCGTAACGATCATTACTATCAATTGGCATCAAAAACAGAAAATTTTAAATTTTGACCAAAATCGATAAAATAGCAAGGGGTTACATCACGTTTTTTGACGAAATCGGGGTCGGTTCGAAAATCAAAACTTTTTCGATGATTTTTTCTGAATATCTCCGGTAAATATCGTCAAATATTAAAATGTTATACCTTTTTAAATTCGTACGGATCCCTACTTTCAATTTGCATTCAAACAAATTAAAAATCGATGGCTTCAAAAAAGTTGTTGACCAAAAAACGAATCGTTTGTAAAGTCAACCTTTTTTGATGACTTTTTGGCATATCTCGTCCAAATAATGTCCGATTTTGTTACTTTATACCAGTTTCGACTCGTAAGGATTAATACTATCGATTGGCATTCAAGGAATGAAAATCTAAATTTTGACCAAAATCGACAAAAAAGCAAGGGGTTACATCACGTTTTTTGCCAAAATCGGGGTCTGTTCGAAAATCGATACTTTTTTGACGCTTTTTTTTTTAATATCTCGGGTAAATATCTTCTGATTTTAGAATGTTATGCCTTTTTGAATTCGTACGGAACCCTTCTGTCAATTGGCATTCAACTCAATAAAAAATCTATGGGTTACATGAAGTTTTTGACAAGAAACGTGACGGTCCTCTCTAAAATCAAAACCTTTTTGATGATTTTTTTTATAAATATTTTGGTACAATAACTTCCGATTTTAGAACTTCCGATTTGATATTTTGGCTTGTAATTGACTTAGAAAACGAGGGGTAACTTTCAAGTTTTTGCCAAATAACTTGACGATCGGATTGAAAATCAAAACTTTGAGATGATTTTTTTTCAATAACTCGGTGCCGTTTTGAATTCGTACGAATCTTTTCAATTAGTTGGCTTTCAATTGAACTAAAAATCGACTACTTAAACTCTAGAAAGTGAAATATTAGAATTCATTTAACTATATGAACTACCTAAGAGATCTTCTTGTTTTTATACATTTTTGTTTATATACATTCATAGCTAAGACACTTGAATTGAAAAGATATTCTCTGTAATTAAATTAGCTGCTAGCCTCAACTGCGCTGACATAATCAAAATTCTGTTGATAGACTGCGGGCAACGTATACTGATGGATGGACAGGTGAAGTGCTCGGATACTAAATGGTTTAATTAATAGAAATTGACAACAAGCAGCTGCCCGCTGGGAATTGCAAGCAGCAGCAGCAGCGGCAGCTAGAGGTAGGGATGGAGGGGAGGGGTAGGGGGCAATGCAACATGCGGCTTAATTAGCGTTGGAAATAGCCAAGTTTTGGGCCGCGGCCAATTCCGTCGAATGTTGGTGCTGTCGTGCTGAGCCGTTGTTGGCAGTTAGATACGCTGGAAAATGCGATTACATTTGGCGGACATGTCTATCTATTAGCCGGTCTTAGCCATAACTGAGCTGGCATTAAAAATCACTCATACGCCGCGTAGTAAGGTCTAGGCGTCTATTTAATAACCACCTGCGATGTTTATGGAATTGGGCTTTTGATCAATTCTGGAACTGTGCTCGCTTCGATGGGCGTCACGTCGATTGTCTTATTAATTTTAATGGCCGAATTACACAAAACGCGACGCAAACGTCGACTTTTTGCCGTCGCTTGCTAAACAAACTATTGCCGGCCAGCTTGTTGGCCATGTTTTTGTCTTGCCAACTTCCTTGATTACAGAAGTTTTAAGCCGTTCAGCTCTCCCCGCCCCTCCTTGCAAACCGGATCCGGCGATTTCTGTGGCTTGACTCAATCAGCGTACTACACGAATTTAATGTGTAGTTTAGCCGAAGCTATCATTAAGTCTAATTGACTTTTTATAGCCGTTTGTGTTCTTATTTCATTTTTTTTTCTGTCTTTGCATTTGTTTGCTCTGCTGCTATTACAAAGGCTACACTGAGCGAAACAAGTGACTGCCTTAAATTGAAGCAAATAAACTATTTTGAAAAATGACTGAGCTATTGATATTCTATTGCAATTGGTATTTCACAGGTATGGGGTATCTTTAAAAAGTTTATTTATTGTAAATTGTGTTTAGTTTAAAAACATGTAGCACGACTTTTCTCTCAGTGTGTACACACACTATTCGTCGAAGCAATTGTCGGGGCTGGAGTAGACGAAATCAACTTTACCACATCATATTATGGTGGCGCATGTGTCTGCTTCGCGCACCTTCCACAGGTGTGCGCTTTATATTATAATGAGTATGTTGAGCACAACAAAAGGTAACTTCAAGTTCAGGGTGAGTAATCCCGAGTCAATGATTTGCTCGATATTCACACGTATCACTCAATCGCAATTAGAAGACGGCAACAACAAAACAAAACAAAAAAGTGAAAGTCGCACTGATTGAATGGGGGAGGGGGAGGGGCGTAGGGCGGTGTGGCACCCACTCGTGAAGCAAAATTCAATTAAAAGGCAATAATCGGCGGCTAGATTCAGGACGTGTGTGACTTGTAGAGCACATAAATCACATGACGATGTGTGCATGAAAAATGCGTTCAAAACAATTTGCATACATTTCGGTGACAGACAACAACAGCAACAACAACAACAAACCGTGAAATACCGCTGGGGTGTTTGCGAATTTAATTTACGGGCTTTAACAAGGGGCGTGGCAGCTGCTGTTGTTGTTGTTGCACAAATTGGTCTGTGCGTGTGCTGAGATTTTCAGGCGGCTGGCAAACTACTTAATTATGAAGCCAATTCTGCAATTTGCATTGAAACGGCAAACGGAGCTCATTGAAGCTGTCAAATAATCTCAGACTTTAAAGCTAACATGCATGGCCAACAACAACCAGCACAGTAGCAACAACAACAGCAACTACTACTTTAACTACGTGCTTTGTTTTTGCTCAATTGCGCAACAAGCTGGCCAAAAAGAACTTCAATTGGTCAGCAAGGCAAAAGGCGTTGTATTAGGCCAATTGCCACAGCTTGGGATAAACGATGCGGCACTTAACCAAGTCGAAGGTGACTCCAAAGCGGACAGCTGCAGCCAAACGGGGGTCGCTCTTAAATTCATTAATGAAAAGACAAAGTTTGGTATGCATGCCCTAGCAGAGAGGGTACTAAAACATTGTAGCTACATTTGCAAGCATGCTGATTCTAATTATGATCATAATAATCAAATCAGTTTGGGTTATAGTTACGAACAACAAGACCCATTCTTATAGAAGCCTGGGTACTGTGGCGCTTGGCCAAGAAATTATTCCCACCATTTACTGGCCTGTGTTTCGAGTCCAGTTGATGACTGAGTCCCTCATCTAGGCCTTGTGGGTTTAATTGAACTGAATCGGTTCGAGTCCGGAAGTATGTACATTGTTTAGTTTTTTATACAATGAACCGAATCTTCAACCAAATTAGCTGCACAATAAGCTGCTGAGCCTAAAGCTGAAAGCACACCATCTTCAACCTTGTATCTGCCCAGCTCAGATCAGGGCTTCTTCAGCGAACGTGCCTCTCCCCCTCTCGATCACAGTCTCATCAGTGCAGCTCCCTTCACTTTTATGAGACTCTCTGTATATTACTATTAGGGTATTCAAGTTTCGTCATACTAAACACATATGTTTTCGTTTTTCTTGTTTTATAATGGCTTTGATATGTGCTCGTCGCAATTGCTGCTGCTGCTGCTGCCGCCGCTTCGGACTTTGCCAGGGCTGTGAATTGAAGGTATTCTAGCAAATTTTTGTTACTAGCTTTTTCAATTGTCTTGCCATTGTTACACTTTTCAGCTGCTGTTGTTATTATTATTAGTTTTTGTTGCTGTTGTCGCTGTAATGTGCACGACAGCAGCGCGACCTTGACCGCGTCCACCGTGTGGTATACTTAATTGGTGCACACGTTGGCCGAGTCACCGTTGCGCACCATATAATTATGCAAAATACGTAACTAATTAAATAATAACTAAATAAGTAAATTAAATATTTTTGCAAGCACACAAAATTGTACGCTAATTAAACTCAGCACATTCAGTTTAAGTCTGAGACTTGTGAAATTTCTTTGTTTTTGCAGATTTCTGTGCCTGTTGCATTTCCATCGAAAAGACATAAATCATAGTCCAGATATTAGAGAGAAAAAAAATTGACGGCTTTTAATTTGAAGTCTGTTTTGTGATTTGTGTTGCAGCTTGCAGCATGTGGCATGCCACAACTTGATGTGGTTGCCCAATGCGAACAATGCGAACAACCGCAAAAGCCATTAAAATGCAATTACAGGCGAGGCGCAGCCACTGAGGGCCACACTCAAGTGGGTGGTTGGGTGGTGCGACATACGCAACTCGTATCCTGTTTTCGATCATTCGATTTGCTGCAAGCCCATTTGCATATCGATAAAGCCGCACAACCAGCACACACAGCTTGTTGTGCGACACATGCAAATTGCTGCCTCGAGGTGTCCGGTGAAGGGTTGAGCTGCCGTCGATATGCAGATTTTGGTACCGCCAAACCAAAAGAATTGTCCACCGTTTTTTTATGGTCGATTGATTTATGCGCCATAAACTTTAAGCGCGCTTTGTGCGCAGAATCAAGACTCTCAGCAGCTGCCGCTCAAGGCCCCGCCGGGGGCCTCAAACCAAGAGGCCTACGCCCGATTGTATAATCGCTTTTTATCGCAACAGCAACAATAACAACAACAACAACAAGCAATTCGAACAAATCGAGAAACATACAAAGTCTTTGATTATGCTGCGCAGTCAGCTACCCGACTTTACAGATTGTTGCCAGATAAAATGATGAGGCGTGCCCCGGAAAGAGCGCGGGCAGCGGGGCAGGCGAGGGGGGGGGGGGGGGGGTCGGTGTTGGCAGGATTGCAAGATATTAAGAATGGCTATTAGGAAATCTGGCAGGCCATTAAAACGAGTGCTCAAATATGATTCGAGCATGGATTGCATTTTATTTATCATATACCCTGTAACATAGAAATGCACGCAATAGGGTATGTTAAAGTTGTGGTCATTTACAAAAGAGTTGATCTAGTCACATTTGTCTTTTAATTTGTTCGCTTCTCTGCCCGTTTGTCTATATAACCTAAAGGAACTCAAGGAGTTCGAGAGCTGGACATATAATAAATGAAAACAAATACAATTCTTTTGTTTTACAATTGAACTAGTTCAAGATAAGGCATGATACTTTGCTTGGCAAGGCCGGGTAATAAATGCTACTGGGCAGTAAAAATGAGCTACCGAGAATATTAAGTATACGCAGTAAAAACTACCCTTTAAAGTAAGCAGAAGAAAAGACTTGCATACAGGGCATTTCTTAGATGCGTACTCCCTTTCACCAAAAAAAAAAGTTGTTTATTTTTGTAATTTATTTGCATTTGCGATGCGAATTGATTTGGCGGCTAGTCGCGAGTTACGCATACGCACGCCGTGCCGACGATAAGAAATCAGTTAAGAAAAAATTAATGCACAAATGTCCAACAACAACTGGCCACTCGCAATTTGTTGCCAGCTATTAGCTGGTGCGATTTTTCAAGCACCATTTGTGCGTATTTGGACAGGAATCGCTGTGTAAATGGAGCTGAAGCTGAACGGGGCCACATTTAGTCAATGCGCTTGTCCATTTGCATGGGGGACAGCTGTGAATGGCTTTGCCTACACCTACGGCAAGATCGTCGACTGTCAATCAGTTAACAAGAAACAAACAAAAAAAACAAAAAATTGCTGATTGATAATCATGTGCGTGCGCAGATTTAGAAAGGAATCCTAACTGTGGGAGCTGGAAGTACGCACCATTGCACAATGAGCATTTATCAGATATGTGGCCGCTCGCTAATTGCTTGTTAAGTAAGCCGCAAATTACAATAGAAAACCAAAAAAAGACAATTACGACAAACAAAACACGCCACAAGAAAAACCACAACTAGAACCACAATGGCTGGAAAACGCGCTTTTCACACTCTGCCCTAGTCGCTGGCTGCCCCTTCTGAGTTTCCGGCTGTGCTCTATTCAAAAACGCTGACAACTTATTTCAGCTAGTAACAGCTACTAGTAACTAGTAATTGATTTAGTTTATTTATGCATTTGCCATGCACCACAGAGTTTTCTAGTCTGTGTCTGTGTCTGTCTCTGGCTAAATCGAGGCAACAAGGTGGCGCGTGACTGATTTCTGTGGCGCACTGCATCACAGCTCGAATCGAGATCGTATCTCACACTCATAAGCCTCTGCATGCTGCTGCTATTCTCAAAGCCCCCGACTCGATAGCCGAAGCTGTACGAAGTTGTGGACAGGGCAGGGCGTTCACGCTTTTGATTCGCAGTTCGCGCAAATTCATGTTGTTGCTGTTGTCGTTGTTGTTGTTGTTGTTGTCGTTGTTGCTGTCGCATTGTCTATGTGGTTTTCAGAATATTTCTCAAGTTTTGATTCGGTATAAATATGCCAAGCTGCGCTGCTGTTTAAACATAACACACTCAGCTCTTCAGTCAAGTAGCAGCCAAATCTACAACATGTTCAAACTGGTAAGGATACGCGCCACAGCCAAGTAGTCTCGGGCAAATACTTATCTCGGTTAACTCCTTTGCCTCCTCCTACTCCTCCAGATCGCCGTCCTGTCCGCCCTGTGCGCCGTCGCCAATGCTGGCCTCATTTCGCCCTACAGCCATGGCTATGGCCTGGGCTATGGTGCCGCCCTGGCGCCCGCCTATGCGCCCACCGTCATCTCGCATGCGCCGATCATCAAGAGCTATGCCGCGCCCATTGTGCATGCGCCCATCGTGAAGACCATCCACCCGGTGGCCACATCCTATGCCAACACGTACAAGGTCGCCACCAAGGCCTATCCCGTGGTGCATGCCGCCCCCGTCTATCATGCACCCGCCGTTGTCGCTGCTCCAGCTCTGCACACCACCTCCACCTACCATGGACACGGCGCCTATGGCGGCTATGGCGGCTATGGCAGCTACGGCCTGGGCTATGCTGGCTATGGACATGGCTACCTGCACTAAGCACTGCTCCAGCACAATCCCCATGACGAATCCTAGGACCAGCAACGATCAGGACCACAACAACATCGACAACGACATCTGCATCTGCATTACCAATCGGCTAATCCCGAGAGATTGTGTGAGATTCTTCAGTACAATGTTCGCACGCTTTGCCGCTGTCAAAGTGTGGAACACAAAATAAGCCCCAAGTGAGAGACAGAGACGGAGATAGACAGAGACACAGCCTGAGAGTGAGAGCGAGAGAGAGCTAGCAGGAGAGATCAAGTTAATGCTGTATATATGATTATATTTTTTGTTATTGTGCAATGCTCGTGGTTTCGACTTAAGTAAATAAAAACAATTCAAAACTCTAAAACAATAGATCACTTTTTATTACTCTATGCACTGGTCAAAAACGGGGCTAACTTTTCTATATATTTAAATGGCAAAATATTTAACTGCAAGATAAATCAACAAAGCTGAGAAAAGTTTTGAAGTCAAGAACATTTCGATTAGCTGAATTTGCTAACTATAAAATACACTGCAAAAAGTAAAGTAACTAAACTCAATTTAGTATAAATTGAGTATCAGCATGGAAACACAAAAATGGGAAAAGCCTTTGAAGCCCGGTGATAAATTTAACAGATATGAGAAACAAAGAAGTAGAACTTCAGAAGTGGAAAAAATTAAATTAAATATATAAAATAAATATACAATATATAATAATTATATAATTAATATCCTCATCAAATGCTCTATCAACTTGAACATTATCTTTGTACATTTGTTTCGCTCAGTGTAGCCTGCAAAGTGTTGAAATTTCCTTGAAAAAAATAAATGCATTGCAAATGCCAACGCCTGGCAATTATGCGACTGCCTGTTGAAAACTAGCGAGGGGGGGGGGGGGGGGGGGGGGGGGGGGAGCTGGGCGGGGCAAGTGGTGCCAAGTGGAAGCTGGAAATGAAAGTGCGTCGAGTGGAGCAATTGAAATAATTATTTATTAAAGCCTGTCCAGCGTCATGTGCGTCGCTCGAGCTAATTTCGCAATTGGAGCAAATCGAAAAGTGGGCCAAACGCACAAAATATGTCACTTAAATCGCATTGGCCAAGTTAGTTGGCTTTCATTTTAAATGTTTATAGAGCAACCCATCAACAAGTTGAGCCCAAAACGAATGCTAAACAAATACCCTAGACGAACTGTGCTTAGTATAAATAATATTGTTATTGTTCGCGGCGGCAACAATGCAATGTATTGTGGTGCTGCTGTGGTGCTGGCCTTAGTCAGTACAATAATTGTGGGCAAGATACCAAATATCAGATACAATGCGCATTATCGACATAAATTATGCCCAACGATCGTAGACTATAATTTTATTATTGCTGAAACATAACATTGACACCCGGCGACTGTCCTCAGCTCGGCGGATTAGATGGCCAGTGAAGCGAAGCCAGCAAAGGCCGCACCACAATTTGGCAACGACCTTCAGCGAAGCTGCACACAGAACTAAAGTGAGGTGAGGCGGGGCTCATTCAGAGATTGTGGGCCGCTTCCTACTTGCAATTTGCGCATTGAATATTCAACCAAGCGCAACAATGTCTCTGCCACAGTGCACTCAAAAAGGGGGGGGGGGGGGGCGGCAGAGTGTAGGGCGTGGTGGGGCACATAGTGGTGCTCTCATGGCACAGTTACCGCCCGTTGTTTTCCCACACCGTGAGGCCACGAGGTGCAATTGTCGCAATCGAAACACCTGCTCGTAGCTTGAGCTTCAGCTCACTCAATTTGAGTGCTTTCTGGCCGACCTGAGTTAAGTTGGCCCAGCTTAAAAGTATTCCATGCAATTTGGCTATTTGTGTTGCGCTTGGCAGGAACGTGCTGTTTATTGCGTAGGCATTGCACAGGGCACAGGGCCAAACAGTGCAAAGACCTTCGGCCACAACAAGCAAAACAAACAGCACATACATCAAGGACTCTGCTGTTGATTGCAGAGTGTCACGCATGCAATTAAAAGGGCATTCAATTGGTTGCAGAAATAACTCAACAAGCAACAAGCAACAAGAGCTGCACATGGATGGCATAACAAATTTCCAGTTTAATTACAGCCAGCTGAAGCGGTCGGTCACTCAACCAGCTGCACAGCCTGATCCTGGCCGCAGGAAATGCACCCAGCACACGCGTCACCCACGCGCTCAACAATCCCCTTTGAGGTGACCTTCAAGCGAGCGTTGACTCTGCTGCCTATACCCTGTGGATGGGCAGGCACAATGGGCATTTAACGTCTCTAAGCAGGACCATTAGGAAGTACATGCAGCAGAAATATTAATTTGATTTCCAAGCTGAAGCCCAAGCTGGAACTGAAGAAATAATTCGAGGCCCGAACCTTTACACCCTACACTAAACTAAATTGTGAAATATCTAATGATCCAACAGATCGAACCTGAAGGTAACATATTGGTTCAAACCTTTAAGAATAGAACTTTTTGGCCCTCCAAAACGCGATGATTAATGATTGCATCTATATGCACTTTCATGTCGAAGCTGATATTATTCAAATTCCGATTCAATTCCTTTGTTCTTTTTCAAATAGTTCCCTTTTGCTAGTTCAACTGAACAAGTGGCTCTTCTATTATTATTAAGCTAAAGTAAAGCTTTCTTGACCTAAAACTTGTTACTAGTATAATTTTGTACATGCTTTGTCAAGTGAACAATTTCCTTGAGGTGTCCAAGTGGTTATTCTATTATAAAAAGCTTATTTCCAAAATGTTCTTAAGCTTGACAAATTATTATTCCAAATTGTGTACTTAATCTCAGCCCAGTTTATAGTCAGTTTTATATTTGCTCAAATGATATAAACTAAATCAAAGCGCAAACTTGTTGACTTCCGCTTTATGGAAGTGCATGACGAACAACTCTTGAGTGCAGCCAGCTTGGCAATTCACTTAGCTGATGCTTAGAACTTGTGCACCTTAAGCTGCAACACGCGGTGTTGATGATGTTGCAAGTGCGGAGGCTAAAACCCAACATTTTACTGCCACATACAGACACATGTGGCAGACACATGTGGCGGCAGCAAAGTGTGGTGGAAGCAAGGAATTGCCAAACTCCAAGAGCAACAATGCGTGCTTCAATTTGGCGCAACGCGTGCCACAAGTGGAGGCTGCTGGGGGCCGCAACCAAACAAAAAAAAAAACAAGTAAAAGGTTCTAGTCGGGAGCTCCCGACTAGGGGATACCCTGAACCCTCTTCCTCCAACATCAAATGCATATATACATATATTATATTTTAGAAGCTATAGTCAAGTTTGGTGACTCTAGCTCTTAAAATTTACCAAAATTGCCCAAAAAACACGATATCGATAACGATTTTTATCGATTGCTTCGAAACGGAGTAAGTTTTCGACTATCGGAAACAAACTCGACCTGCGCGTGAACGGACGGACGGACGGACGGACAGACAGACGGACATGGCTAGATCGACTAGGCTAATGTTGCTGATCAACAATATATTTACTTTATGGGGTCGGAGATGCTTCCTTCTGCCTGTTACATACATTTGGCTTTCGCACAAATACAATATACCCTTATACCCATTTTTAATGGGTTCAGGGTATACAAAGCAGCAGGTAAGTCGCACGAAAAGCGGGTTGAGTTGACGTGGCGAGAGCACGTGGCCCCAATTTAAGGCGCTTTATGCGCGGCAACAAGTCTGCGCGGCAAAATCCTGAGCAGCTGTTGCCAGCGGCACTTGAACGGTTGCTGTTGCCCCTTACCCCTTGCCCCTTGCCCCTTGCTCCCCTTGTTGAGGCTCGAGGCTCGAGTGTTGCGGCATGCGCGGCACTCGTACATTGAGGGAAGGAATGTAAATCGCATTGCGCCAATTTCTGGCACATTCGCGGCTTACAATACCTGAAACATATCGATTTCTGTTGGGGGATACTTCGTTATGCTAATTTTTTGGCATGACATTTTTGGGGGGGGCGGAGTTCGCGTGCCACGTGTTGCGAATTTGCGAGGCATTTAATTGGCCCAATAAGCAACGAGTTCTTGTACACAATGCATACTTTCGCGTGCCGCGCCTTATTCATTTGTGTTCGAAAAAAGCGTAGTCTGCCTCAAGGCGTAGGCTTTAAAGGCCCAGTGTACGCCCGGTGGGCGATTTTTATTGTGTGAGATTTATTTTTCTTGGCTTTCAATGGGCAGCCGTTGCCATCAATCAAAGTCTCGATGTCATGAGGCGTGAAACGTGCTCGCAATTCTTCTTTGCAATCGGAACCAGCTGCAGCTGCTACGACTCCCACTGGCTGTGGCAACTTCTGGACACATTTCTCTCCCTCTCTCTGTGTGTGTGTGTGTGTGTGTGTGTGTGTGTGTGGGTCTAGGGACCGCCTCTTGGGGGACTGCAGCATGGGAGATTGCGAAACGTGTCGCGTGCATTTGGCCGCACGAATTGCTTGTCGATGGGACGTGGCCCGGCTGCCGGTGATGGCCTTTGGCTGCGTGAAATGCTCCCGTAATGGAGTTTGTTTTTTTAAACATTTCACATAATGCGTAATCAGATGAACGGAGTATATAAGCCAGCGTCGTTTAACCAAATCAATTCATTTTATGTGAAAGTCTTTGAAAGTGCAAACGTACAAAATAAATCGACAATTGCCGCAAACAAACATGTGCAGGATTGTAAGTATTTTGGGTATATTAGAGGTATCAGTTGACACTATTAAGCCATAGAAGGAGAAGGAGGAGTGATTAAATAGAGCCCCTAGAGGAAACTCGTCGCTCAGCCTGAAAGCTTTTTGAATAAAACGTTTTTCATTTGTATAAGTCTGAGTCTGATCGGTTCGAGATATAACTTCAACATCGGACTACTATATCTATCACATGACTGCTGTAGAAACAATAAGGATAAGGATATTTCAAATGCTTCCTTCTTCTCTTGAAATACACTTCCCTCTCACTCCCACTCTGCTCTCCCCTTTCAGCTCGCTCTGCTCTTCTTCTGCCTTTTTGCGCCCTCGCATGCCAGCTTCTACCATGGACCACCTGCTCCTGCTCCTGCTCCTGTGGCAGTGTCCGCTGTTTATAGCGCACCAGCTCCTACGCTGACCTATGCTGCTGCACCGCCCACGCTGACCTATGCTGCACCACATGCGGTGCATGCACCGCCAGCTTTCATTAAATACGCTGCACCACACCACATCAGCACGTACGCGGCGCCCGTTGCTCCCGTCGTCAAGTATTCGCTGGGCGCACCTGTAACGACCACCACGACCACCTACACGGGCTTCGCTGCACCAGCTCCACCCCCACCAGTTGTACACTACTCTGCACCACCACCACCTGCGTTTGTGACCCGCTATGCGCCACCACAACACGCTTATGCCTACCACGCGCAGCCTTCGTATGCCCGGGTGGCGGTTCATGCCGCCCCGCCCCCCGCTGTTGCCTATGCGGCACCGGCTCCGATTCCGGCCGAGCTACCCTGCGATACCGCCTGGTGAGGCATATCACACACATCTACCTAGCTATAATCATGTTAATTTCAATGCTAATCGACAAGCTGCCGTCGCGTATATTAGCAATTAATTAAGAGAGAATTTATAAGTGTGTGATTTAAATTGTTGATAATAAAACATCTTCCGCGGCATTTATGCGCCATCGTAAAGAACGCCAGCGCGTGTTAATTATACAGCCGATGGGGGGCTTGAGATACCACCGCAAGAGCAAACGTAAAGTCAATAAAAATGATTAAAACCGAAGCTAACTGTCGAATTCCAGCGATCGATCCATCGAATGACCCACCTCAATGCGAAATCCATTGAAGCTGTCAGCGTTAGGCAAATCCGAATCCATCAAATGGGTCAACTCTTCTTCGATGACTGCATACACAGAGCCAACGATTTTATTAGCACAAATTATAACTGAATACATTTCGTAGGAGGTCAGCCACTCGACGAATCTTTATTGGGCATTCGGTTTGGGTTTTGGATACGACTTTGGGGCTCGGCGTTTGGCGTGCTGCCGACGATTTGTTGTTCAAACCGCAGTCGGGGTTGCCGTCTCAATTAAGTTCCTAAACAACATTAACTAAAGACTTATTAGCCAGTCATTGAGCTATCCGCAGTCGACGTCGCAGTCGCCGTCGCAGTCGGAGTCCGTCTCGTAGCTGGTGTCACATGACTGTCGATTTTTGTTTAATAAACCCAAATGCCCAACTGTTGTTCAAATGCTCAACATGCTTGCAAGGTGTCGACATTGCTGTAGTTGTTGTTTCATTTGATTTTTTTTGGCAGTCAGCTCTAAGCAGGTGCGCGACTTGGTAGGGGGCGCTTAACGTCCTCGTTCAGATTAAACTTGTGCAAAAAATTATTCTAATTTACTTAAACTTTACAAAATATGTTCTTTATGTTAAAATCAACCCTATTTTATATTTGTGCAAAATATTTACCCCTTTTAACTCCTGCAATTTAAATTGTTGCATAATCCTTGCCTTCTGTGAAAATTCGTCTAAATGGAATTAAAGGAAGCAGCTTCAAATTTCTGAAAAAGATAAGATAATGAAGAATTTATTAATGCATCAAATATATGTAAATTTGTACACAAAATGTTGCAACACTTGGCAGCTCTCGATTATAATTTATAATTATTTGTCAAGCACTAAAATTGTAATCAAGATGTTTCTGTTAAATAAAAACATATAAAATTGTAATTTATGTGTTAACCGAATCCAAATTTCTAACACCTTTTCCGTAGCTATGAATAAAGCTAATTGCCGTGAGCTCGGGCTGAATATTAAGCAATCGATTAACAGCTATTTGACATTAGTAGATGAGCAAAACTGGGGGCAACTAATCAGCTAGCTAATAACCCCCTTGGCGACGACCCTGACTGAGTGACTGACTGAATGACTGACTGACTGGCGGCGGCGGCATGTTGCATAGTTTGGATGCCAATCGAAATGACCAACATTGATTTATATGCAAGGCAAACTAAATATTATCAATAGGCGCTGCTCAACAGCTGAGCAGCGGCAGCAAATGGCAAAGCAGCTCATAAAAAAAGCCAACAACTTAGCACAGATAAATAAACACAGTCACAAGATAATAACAAAAACAAATGCCAGAGCTGCAGTTGACGTTGGCATCGAATTAAAGCGAAATAAAAAACCCAACGACAGAGAGAGAGACAACAACAACAACAAACTGTTAAACAGAAGCAGAATGAATAAGTTAGCGCATATGGCCAAAAGCCAAGAGCCATGTCGTCAGGGGGAGCCAACTGAGCCAACAACTGAGCTGAAAGCCAAAATATTTTGTCGACGCCAGCAGCGACGCCAGCAGCGACGCTGGCAGAGGCAGCAGCGTCGTATCGGCAGAAGCACAAACGCATTTTGATTTTTGTTTTTATACCCTGTAACCAAACAAATGCTCCAGAAGGGTATACTGAAGCGTGCCAACTTTACAGAACAGGCATCAATATAGTATATAAAATTAACTAATTAGCTGTATCTAATTTAATATACACATATAAGAATTAGTGCTTATGTGTTCCATTCCAATGTTCCCTCACGGTTGCTTTGAAATCAGTTGTATCGATTGTAATATCGAGATCGAGTGAAGCCAACTTCGCTCTGTGACGAAAGTTCGTGTAATTATAAAAATATTTTATATTTAAATACTTTAAGCCAATACACACTCGCATGAATATTATAAAATACCAAAAATAAAGACATATATTTTACAAATTACAAACAATCGTATATTCACCTGGGCATAGGGTATTTACTCACCACGCACTCCCTTCAAGCTCTTCTCCACGCAGCTGCAAATAAACAGGGTATCTGCTAGTCCAGACCCACTCTCTTACAAGATCAGTCTCACTTGCTTTGCTTTGCGTTGGCTCTTGGACTGGTCGTCGCGACTGTTTGACTGGTCGAGTGCCTCACCTGCTGCTCGTCTGTCTGTCCGCGGGCAGAACTCAACTGAAGCTCAGCTGTGGCTCTGCGCTTTGTTTTTTGTATCTGGCGTATAAAAAGCATCTTCAGCTGGCGCACAAATTTTAATCAGTCCGAAAGGCTGCGTCCGTCCACAACAGAAACGAATCGCTAACGAATCGCATTCGAGGCTCAGCTGAGTACGCGAGTGAACAGTGTTGTAAAGTGCAAACACAAGTGAATCAATCCAAAGAATCTAACGGCAAAAATGTCTCACAAAGTGAGTGTGTGTGTGTGTATGTGTGTGCACCTCTGGTTGTGATCTAATCTGTAACGGTTTCTTTCAGAAATCCGTGGCCAATCTTCTGCTGATGGGGCTGGCGCTGCAGCTGACCTCCGCGGTGCTGGCAGACGTCTCGCACTTGGAGTACTCAATCTCGCCCAGCTCCCAGCTGGGCGCCTATCACTATCCCGCGCCGCGTGCCTCGCAGCGTCAGCTGTCGCATCAACAGGTGGCGCGACAATTTGTGGAGCCAGCCCTGGAGCATGCGGCCTTTACCCAGGTGCTAACCAGCAGTGGCTACGTGTTCGGTGGCAACACAGCCGCCGCCGCCGTCTCGGCACCACTGACCGCCGCCGCCACCGCAGCGACGGGTCGTTCCATAGGCACGCCGACGGCGCATGCGGATGCCAATTCGCTCAATCTGAAGCTGCCCGTGCCCTTTGGCCTGATGCCATTGAATGTGGCGAATCTGCCGCTGCAGGCAGGCGCCTCGTACGCCACAGTGCCGCGCACCACCGGGCTGACCTCCTACGGCACGGCGCAAATACAAAGGCGCTGAGCACCACCAGTTGCACCACATATGTATAGGATTTCGTAGGCATCGATTTTAGTTGATATTAAGTTCAACGCAAGCCACAGAGACAACCGACTGTTTTATTACCTCTGTGAGTGAGTGTGAGTTAGTGTGTGTGAGTGTGTGTGCGTGTGTGAATCATCTTAGGGAATATACTCGAAATATACTCGAAATATATTCGAAATATGCTCGTAAATAAAGTAAAAGCTACTTGCCATTTAAAGCTCTCGCCACAACTACACACAAAGATCACATTTATCGATCGACTTTTTTATGGGTGGGTTCATTACCAAGCGCCAATCAAACCATCTCGATCCATCCAGCGGATCATTGCCACTGCAAACACTTGTCTCTGGTTTGACTGTGCTGCATTTGCATATATCGAGTGGAGAGTCGAAGGTCAGCACCAAGAGACGTCTTCATCGGTGGCCAGCAGACCCGTCGATCGCACCTTTCACTCGCCAGCTGCTGCTTATCAAAGATCAATGTTTTTTATGCTCGCACACTGTGGTTCGGCGGTTCAGTGGTGGTGCGGCGATTATTATTAACAAAAAAACAAATGAGATGAACATCTAATTTGCATACAAGTGTTTCGAGAGCTGTTTCAGCGCTCGAGGAGTTGATCGTAAGGCCTTAAACTTGGCATTGATTTACTAGCAGTAACCCCCCCTCAACCACCCCCCCTTACTTAGATGCCCCTGGCCTATCGTTTAACCGGACACAATTGATTGTCGCAAATCCCATTAAACGGATGTGCGATTTATCAGCAAACGGAACTCTGATCTGCATCCAGCTTTGAGAAACCACTTTTAATAACTGGATTAACAGCAACCAAATCAAAAAACAATAACCAAAACGAACGGTACTGGCAGACAAATAAAAATAAAAACAATCCTATATATACATAAATATATTATTATTAACTGATGGCTACGTAGAGGCAGGTCTTGCCCGGAGCGAGAGAGGGCGTCGAGGAAGTGAGCGGAATCTCAAGTATCTCAAATTTCCGTATAACCATCAACTGACTGACTAACCTGATGGAAGAACTCATAATCAGAGCTCAGAGTCAAGAATTGTTTACAGGCGGCAGAAGTGAGAGTTCGTTGCGTTGATCAAGCTGTTGTTAGGCTACAAACAGGAGCAATGCCGAATAATAAATACCCTCGTGAAGATTACGTGAAGCAAAAGTTGAATGCAGGATTGCTCGATTTAGCCTAAATAAGAAACAGTTTCTTAAGGAACAACTGACTTTTGATAGATCATTCCCATTGACGCATTACCATATTGTTATCCCATTTTTGGGATTTTATATATGTCCTAACTGAAGCAAAAGTAGGTATATGTAACAAATTTGATCAATGTAGCTTCACTGAAAGACGAGTTCACATAGGATACAATTAGAAATACGTATATATAGGCTGAAGAACTTGGCTAATTATGCTGATCAAGCTTATATATGCGGCATTGGCTCACAGATGTCTCTGTACAAAGTTGGATCAAGGTAGCTGCCAGAAAATTCGAGTTCCTTTGGGATATATAGAATAATAGTAAGATCGATACAGAAATTCAAGTAAGCTGTTATAAAATCCAAGCCGTTTCTGTATCAAGTTTAAACAAGCTAACCTTAAATAAAGTGAAGTTAACATAGGATGTATAGACAGAAAGATAGATGAGCACATTTAAAAGCTCTTCTAAATATGCTGATCTCGATAATATCCCCTTTATAGGTCGAAGATGTCTATGAATCAAGTTTCATTAAAGTAGCTTCACTAGGATGGCTAGATATTGATATTTAAAAGTAAATAACCTTAATTAAAAGTAAATAAACTAGTCTCCTTCTACCAGCTGTTAAACCTGTTTTGTATACATTTACAGGGTATAAATATGCGGATACAGTTACACATGCGCATACCCCACGTAGCATCAAGCACGGCTCACTGGTCACTTGAGCAGATCATCTTGCAAGGCCTTGAGTTCATCTTGGAAAAAACAATGCGAAACGCCGACTGCGACGGTCGCAGCGGAGGAGCAGAGGCAGTCGATGATGACGCTGTCGTCAGCACGTGACCGACGATTGCTTATTAAGTCCGCGAGCCGGTTTGAGAGCTGCTCGCACAGCTAGCTGGCCAAGCTGTGCGGGCCAATAAGAGGCGCTGAATAATGGCTAAAACAGATGCCGCTGGGAGCGAAACACATCCTGTCCGGGGCTTGCCTTGGGGGTTAGCTCAAGGTCGATGCAGGATGCAAGGCAGCAATTCGAGGCAATTGAAATTCTTTTTATGGCCGCCCATTAAATGCGCACTAATGCGACACTTGCGAGGCGACACGCATTTTATAGCCAGGTCTAGCTTGAAAATAAGGCTAAGACAACCGCCAATTGGCAAGCACTTTAAAGCGGGCAAAGCCGCAATTGACCCACTCGATGGCCGTGTGTCTGCATACAAATGCGAGCACTTTGCGAAATTTGACAACTCGTCGATTGCGACTGCGATTTGGACTTCCTAGCCACTATCAAAGGCTGAACACGTTCCGCTCGCACAAAGAAGCGACCAAAATATGCACGACTAAGTCGAACAGAATGCTGGCTCGGTGGTGCAGTGGCTATATAAAGCGCAGCTGTGGCCTAAAACAGACATTATCAGTCCAGAGTCATCCACTAGACAACCACAGCAACATGTTCAAGCTCGTAAGTTTCCTGCCACTTCCTGAAAACCACTTCCAGCACTTGACTAGCTCATCCCACAGCTCATCATTGCCGCTCTCGTTGCCTGCGCCGTGGCCAAGCCCGGCGTCGTCGCACCACTCGCCGCACCACTCGCCGCACCACTCGCCGCACCACTCGCCGCACCACTGGCCGCCTCTGTGGCCTATGCGAATGCACCACTCTATGCCGCTGGCGGCAGCAGCCAGGTTGATATCCGCAACAACTATGATGGCACCCAGTCCTCCTACACCACGGCACCCTTTGAGCTGACACCACCCTACTCCAACCGCTATGTCTCCGGTATTCCAGCTGCCTATGCCGCCGCCGCTCCCTACGCCGCTGCTCCACTGGCCGCTCCACTGGCTGCTCCTCTGGCCTCGCCATACGCTGCGCCCTACACCCTTGGCTCACCCTTCGCTGCGCCCTATGCCGCACCCTATGCCGCACCCTATGCCGCACCCTATGCCGCACCCTATGCTGCACCCTACAGCTTCCCCGCCCCTGCTCCAGTTGTTGTCTAGACATGTCTTCAAAATCTGAATTGTTTCTTTAGCGAATTTTCTATTAATAAAATCGTGATTTTAAACTAAAAACTATTTAAATATTTTTAATCAAATGATACTGACCACAGTCTATACTCTTCTCTTCTGGTGAAAGAAACATTTTTTTAATGTGTAAAAAAAACTTCCTAAAAAATCTTTAAAAAAAAAGTTCAGTAATACATATAAAGATGATGAGAGAAGTGGGCGTGGAATAGTGTATTAATTTATGAAAAGGAAGAATTTATGAAAGAAAGATATTCAATTTAATGTCGCCTACTATAACAAGCAGCCGCATATACCCCATATACCCTCTAGTTGGAAAGGGCACTCTTAACGCTCAATTTATGTTGTCTGGCCGTCCATCATGTTTTGGCAATATTTTATTAAAATGTCATAATCGTTTTCCATTTTGGCCTCCACACACACAAAACTATCTGTTATATAATATCGAGCGGTGCAAGAAGTTATTGGCCCCCTCGAGCCGCCATAAAAGCAAACGCGCCTTCTAAACAAATGCGACGACAACAAAGTCACGATTTGGGCCATGTTGCCGCAAGTTAGTGGTTACCTCATCCGCTGGCCAAAAAGCCGTCAAAGGGGCCACAAAGAGGTGTGGTGCATTTGGGTGGCTCCGAAAGTAGCCGAAAGTGAAGAAGTGCACGTGCAATTTGGCCACTGGCCAATTAAGCCAGGCTTAAACAAACACTTGCACTATAAATTAATGGCTCTTAGCCAGTGTCAAACATTGTTAGCCACGTCTTCGACTCGAGCAGTCGCCAGCAACTGAGCACAAGGACAGCACCAACCCCCCAACACCACACAAAAACCACCAGCAAGATGTGGCAGCTGAAATTGGTAGGACTTTTATGCCCAAGTGGCTCAATTTAATGGTTATTAACACTTTCTCAACCCCAACAGTCTTTCGTTTTGGCTTTGGCTTTGAGCTGCGCGGATGCCAAGCCCTCGCACCACTTTGATCAGTTCGATCCACACCTCCATCACTTTGATCAGCACTTAAACCACTTTGACCACTTGGAGCCATTGCATCAGGCACTGCCGGATCACGTGGACTATGCAGCTCCTCTGCAGCTGCAGGAAACTCTGCTTCCGGCTCCGCTGCCGGCAACAGCTTGGCCCGAGCCAGCTCACCTGGCTCCAGCACCAGCTTGGCCGGCGCCAGCTCCATTGGCACCTGCACCACTCTGGTCAGCACCACTCGCGCCTGCACCAGCACCCGCTTGGCCCGCACCAGCACCTGTTTGGCCCGCTCCAGCTGCGCTCGCACCTGCACCACTGCTGCCAGCTGCTGCTCCTTTACTGCCGGCACCTGCACCCGCCTGCCTGCCGCCGGCTCACGCTCATCTGCTGCCAACCGCCGAGCTGCATTTGCCCACGGTGACACAGGTGCTGCCGCCAGTAGTCGAGGCGGTGCCCTTTGCGCCCAGCTATCGTGCGACATTTGGACCAAAGCGCACCACGCACCGCGTATCCGTTGGCTACGCTTTTCCCAAGCTGTTGGCTGCACCACACGCCCATCTGCGCGCGCTGCCACTGAAGCTAGCGCACCACCATAAACACCATCATTCGCTTTTCTAGGCTCTGTTCGAGTTGGCATTGGAATTGGAGTTTATTATTCATAACACTTTCATACATTGAACCACACCAAAGAAGTTTTGAGTCGTGTAGAAAATTGTAAAATAATGTAAATTATGTATTTAAAGATAAATATAAAAAACGAAAACTAAACCTAATTGAAATCTAATGTAGGGGATAAATGAGGAGGTCAAAGTGTGCAAAATAACTGAAGAATTTTAATATTTTTTGAAGACCTGCTTTCCTGCTCAACGAACTATCTTTAAGCTAATGTACTGCCAGATATTTATTGAAATACTTTTAATAAAACTGTTTATAATAATTCCAAACAATTTTCTTGCTGGCGTGTGTAAAATGCAGACAACACTTGCAAGCGACCAAATCAGGAATTCCAAACACAGAAAGTGACAATGTACAAAGGGGACAGGGGCGGGGCAAAGAAGTGGGCCAAGGAGAAAGAGGGGTATATAGGGGGCGACACGCGACAATTGCAGTGAAGAAATTGAATATTAATTATAGAGAGAAAGACAGAGAGAGAGAGAGATAGGGAGGGAGGCCATGGCAGGGAAAAGAGGGAGAGGTGGGAGGAAGAGCCACCACACGGTGTGTCACGTCTGATAAATGTGGCTCATTAGTAGGTGAATATCGATGCCACCAAAGTAATATTAAAAACAAAACAACGAAAACTTGCCCAACAACCCGGCCGAATGTCGGCCACTAGGCTGTGGCTTATAGATGTGAGCGAGTGTGCGTGTGTGGTGCGGGTGGTGTCGATTTTTTGGCGTGCAATTATGAAAGTGGGCGTCGCTAATACGTAACAGATGGCCAATTGATTATTAAGTACATTAAACGCCCTTCGCAGCACGGCCTTATGTAGAAAGTCTTGCGTTTTTGTTTTGATTGCTTTGGTATGCCCCACCACAACCACCGAAAACAGCACCCAGCCCGGTCTGACAGAATTATAAAAACGCCAACCACTCGACAATTGTACATCAAAGCTTAGTTAGCACTCAGACAAACCACCCAAAAAAATTAGCCCAAATCGCAGCAAAATGTTCGCCAAAATTATGGTAAGTCGCCAGCTCCTTGGCCCAGGATGTGGATTTTAAAACGTGTGCCATCTTTGCTTTGCAGCTCGTTGCTCTGTGCGTGGCTGGTGCCCAGGCGGGTCTTCTGCCCTTTGCCGCTGCACCTGTTGCTCCAGTGGCCGCCGCTGGCGTTGTGGCGCCCTATGCCTCCAGCTTCAATGCCCATCGGATTAACCATGCTGTGGCCTACCCGGTAGCACCACCCGTGGCGCCCGTTGCTTTGGCTGCACCAGTGCCGGCGCCAGTTGCTTTTGCTGCACCGCCCAAGGTCGCCTTTGCTGCTCCTGCCTTGGCACCAGCTCCAGTTCCAGTGCCGGCTGCGCTGCCCGCTCCGGTGGCTGCTCCTCTGGCTGCACCGCTGCCCGCACCACTGGCCACGCCTTTCGGCTTTGCTGCGCCCGCGCCTTTGGCTTTTGCCGCGCCCACCAGATTTGGTCTGCCAGCTGCTGCACCTTTCGCTGCACCCGTGCCGGCTCCTCTGGCCGTGGCACCCAGGTTCGCGCCCGCGCCCTACTTCTTCTAGATGTGATTCTGAAAAAACACCCTAGACTAAGCCCAACACACACACACACTTAGCCCAAACAACACACACTAGAAAGCAAAATGCTTGGCGAATAAATTGTAAATTCACTTTATTTAAACGCTAATCCTAATCCTCGCCAGCGCTAGATCCGCACGCTCTTCACGTGGCCAATGCGCTGGAACAGCGGCACATGTTCGAAGGGTGTGTGAGAAATGGGCACCGAATCGTAGGTAACATGCGCGATCTTCGTCAGCGGCGCCACAATGGTATAGCCAGGATGTTGTTGCTCCTCCCCCGTGACGGGCTGATGATGATAGACCACCGCCGTAGGCTGATGGTACACCAGCGTGGCAGCTTGTGCCTGATGCAGGGCCAACAGCAGCACGAGGATCGTGTAGCTCAGCCAAGAGATTAATGTACGCATTCTGAGAGAGAGCTGGGATGATGAACCGTTCCAGTTTCTGACTGCACTTCGACTAAGCGGAGGCTCGAGCGTTGGCTTCTTGAGGCCTGACCAAGTACAGTTAGAAGCTGCTGGGGCTAGGGCTGGTGGCATCTTGAACCGGTTGACGGTATTAACTGGCTGCATTTTTCCTCAGATCGGGAACCAGTTGCAACACCGCACACCTAGTGTTCCACTGTTAACAATCTCCGATACTCCACTCACACGAATTCCCAAAACTCGTTTTCAAGTTCAAGTTTAAACGCGAAGCTGATCGCCAGTTGTTGTTGGCGTTGTTGGCGTTGCCGTGTTTTTTCCAAGTGTCAGTGACTCTTTTGTAGAGCTTATGAATGTAATTTTAGTTTTTTTTTTTTTTTATTATACCCTGTGCACATTAAAAAACTAGCTTAAATGTGGGTATCATAATCGTAAAGATGCGCGCACGAATAAAAACGCTTAGAAAATGATTTTTTTGAACCCATAAAGTTTATCTCCGTTCACACTGACACACAAAACATATTACAGATAAAACCATCTCTATTCGCGGAAAATGAGTGGAAGTACGAATAATTGCAATCTTAAGAAAATCATTTTTTCAGTTGGACTGGACAGAACCGGATAAAAATATATACTAATCGAGTTCGATAAAGGAAATAAATATTTGTTTATCAAGATCAAGATTTACAATTTATTCATGTTCCTTTTCCTATCTAGCTCGGGGCTTGTTAATGCCGGGAGACCAAAAAATTTCCAAATCTAGCTTTAGTCGACCTTACACAGACTTCAAAATTAAATGGGTTTCGTTCAATTTTGCCCAACTTGGTTTTATTCTAGGCTTTCTTAAATATAGATTCACAAGTTTGTTAGCTCGTCAATAATCTGCAATGCAATAGAAGGAAACAACTTTTCCAGGGCATCTGTTAGTCGCGCACTCTTCTGTGCTTCTTCTTGCTAACGCTTATAGTTAGTTAGTGACTGAGCTATTTTAGTAGGTTTTTAGTTGCCATTGTTTATTGGGGTTTATTGTCTTAAAAGACGCGCTGGTTGCCCAATCTCTTAACGATCGACAGTTCGGGCATGGAGAAGAATTGATTACAGATCTCTTTGTTGGATCTGCTCTTTATACATAAATTATTGCGTCACATGGCACTCAGATGCCCGGTGTGGCATAAATTGAAAGCTCATTGACCTTATTTTTAAGTATGAATTTGATTTTATTTAATTTTCTTTTTGTTTAAGCTGCGGTCAATCGATTCTAGTTGCAAACCTATAGCAGCAGCTGCGATAGAAAAACGATTTGGTTTAAGCAGTGCCAAAAGTGGCCGCAGCCCCGCCCAAAACTGGACACTTAATGGGCGACATGTTGCCGCCTGGCGTGCGACTTGTCGCATGTTGCAAATTCAACACTTGCCCAATTTACGATGGCGTGCCGGTCCACATTGCGTATGAGCAATGCCTGATTGCTCCGATCGCGCGAACCGGGTGAAAAGTCTTTGACCAAAAAACACACAAAGTAGATTAACAGAAGCAGCCACAAATAGTGACCAAATGAGGTGCCCATTAGATCATCGACAGCCCAATTTTGGGTGGCAGCTCAGCTAGTTCCTAGTTGCAGGCGAGGTATAAAAGACGCCAGCTTGGAGCAACTGCAGCAGCACAAGCCCAACAGAGCTTCTGGAGTATAACACGTGGCAGGCAGACGCAAAAGCTAACAACAACAATATGCACAAGGGAGTAAGTAGCCGGTAGCAAGTCAATGCCATATAGCTAACCTAATCCTAATCCTGGCCAGCTTTTACTGCTGGCAGCGCTCGGCTTGACCTGCTGCTTGGCAGCACCGGTACCAGAGCCCGCCCCGGCTCCAGCTCCCGCGCCGGCACCAGACCCCAGCTTTGGACATGACTATCATCTCGGTTATGGCGGTCTGGGCTTGGGCCTGGGCCACTACGGGGGACACTACGGCGGACACTATGGAGGACACTATGGCGGCTATGGGCTAGGTCTGGGCATAGGCTATCATGCGCCCATCATCAAGACAATTAGCCCGCCCATCATCACGAAAACCATCATTGGCAAGAGCTATCTGGGCGGCTACGGATACGGCTTGGGACACGGCTATCTGGGCGGCTACGGACATGGCCTGTATGGACATGGCCTGGGCCTGGGTCTGGGCTTGGGCTATGGCCATGGCTGGTGAGCGCCGCTTTAATTTGCCTGGGAACGTGTGAGAGTTGAAATCGAGTCAGTTTCGTCAGCTTTAGATCTAAGCAATTAAACGTATCAATAAATTTCTAGCTCGCTCGAGAAGATTAATACTCGTTTTTTGATCAAATACGAAATATAATTAATATTCAAATTCACTTTCTCTCAGATGTTGACAATTTTCAACGAAACGAAAAGCAATAAAAGCAGACGACTTTCGGCTGAGCTTCTCTACCAGCCATGGCCCAGGCTCAGAGCAGGAGCAGCATACGATCTGTAGCCAAGTCCCAGTGGAGCAGCCAGTGGTGCATGGGTCAGGCCGAGTGGTGCATGTGCCAGGCCGAGTGGTGCATGTGCCAGAGCTGGCGAAGCATAGCTAATCCTGGGTCCAAGTCCATAGGCAGAATAGGCGGGTGCAGCCAGTGGAGCGTGAGCCAGAGCTGGCGCGGCATAGCTATACCTGGGACCCAATCCATACGAGGCAAGTGAGGGCGCACCCAAGGCGTGGCCATAGGAGATGGCCGGTGCGGCGGCCAAAGGCAGAGCTGGACCTGCGGCCAATCCACCCAAATAGCCAGGAGCAGCAGCAGCGCTGGCCAAGCAGCAGAAGGCGACAACGAACTGTGACAAGAGTTTGGGCCTAGTATTAATATTTTTGAAGGCAGCTCCATGGGCCACGACTTACGTATTTGAACATGTTGTTGGGCAGTTGTTTGGCTGATTTACTCGTGGCGAGAACACAACGTTTAATAATGCCTGCCAACTGGGCTCAAATGCTTTTATAGCCAAATCAAGCCAAATCGAGACCCAAAACTCCAGCGAGAACGGCCCAAACTGCACTTTTACTTTTGTTGGAGGCTGCGAAACCTCGTGTTGCACATGCAAAGTGCAACTCGTGGATGCAGTTGGCATCGGATGTGTGTGTGTGTGTGTGTGTGTGTGTGTGTGTGTGTGTGTGTGTGTGTGTGTGTGTGTGTGTGTCGGGTCAGGCCCAGTTTATGCTGCTGCGTTGGAGACCCGCCCAAAAGCTGCCAACACGACCAATGCGGATGTTTGGAATCATTTCTGCTCGACTCTGTATATATGCCAGTTAAACATATACACAGATATATAAACAGATATATATCATAAGATCTGTGTGAAAAAAATAAATAAAACTAAATTGCATTTGAACGAGTTTCCGAAAACATTTAAGAACTGGTCGCTGCGTGCGTGTTGCGCTCAAGATATTGTCTGATATTTATCTTCCAAGCGAACGGCTCGAGCAATGCGTAAATTGGCCATTTAGCAGAAGTTTTTCAAGATTAAGTCTTAATTACAGCGTTTGGTTACAGGAAAATTGCTTTGTCGCTGCGACCCAGCTCTATGCACACAAAAGAATTTTAAAATTTAGAAATAAAACTGAGAAAATCGCGTGAGAAACTTTCAGAACTTTTCTGGCAAGCAATTGAGCTTTCGATAAGTTCTCAGCATATGTTAAAAATTTGATATCGGGGCGGATTTTAAGAAATAAAATACATTATTGTACTTTAGCTAAGATGAAACTATGGAATATTCAAAAATATTTCATCAGTATCGGGTGCTAATAGACATTAATTGGGATACAGAAAACATATATCAATTCGATCCAGAATTTGAAGATCATATTCTTGGTTTAAGGAAGTTACCAAGAATTGTCTGAGAAGCTGAGGATATCTGATGTGCTTACTCCATATAAAAAGAAAATGAAATATCTTATCGTATATCTTATTTTAAGGAAACGTATTTACCCATTATCAATGATTGGAGGCTATAAAGATATGGAAACATTATCTGAAAGACTCGAATAACTCTTCCACAGCTCAGCTCTGATGAAATTTAGGTGTAAATCCTTTGTATACATTAATCAAATTCATTTCAACTCCAAATTTAGTTCTTTCAATTACAATATCTTAAATTTTTTGAAGTTCTTTCAAAGCTAACAAGTTTCCTGTTTTTCGCTCAGTGTACGTGTCATAATGCGAGTTGTTGTGTTGATTGCTCGAGCCGGACTTCTATATAAATTTTATCTAGGGCAGCGAGTTGTCGATAACCGATGTTTGTCTCGAGCCTAGCGGCTGGTGCAGCCGTCAGAGGCGCCGCAAGGTCAGCGTGCAAGAGGGGCTAACGCCAGCTGCCCCTTTGCGAGACGCCGCTGGGCAAGCACTTTAAATGTAATCATAAATTCAGAGCTATCAAATGCGAGCACAATGCACATTGTTGTTGTAATAATTCTAACAGACAAAGTTGTTGTTGTTGCTGCAGCTGACAGTTAATTGCCAGCAAGCAGCCCCTCCGCAGCAGCCCCACGCCCCACGCATAAATCAGACTTAACTTTGCGTAAGCTTAAAAGCCCAAGCTTTTAAAGTGCCTGCCGGCTATCTGCACCACTGCACCACTGCACCACATGCACCACCTGCCCGCTTGGCCACTCGCTACGCCCTGCGGAGCAACTCGAAATTGACTGCGTAAATCTTAGCTAACCCCCACCACCTCTCCCTGTGGCAAATGGAAAGGCGCCCAAGTGACAATGGAGGTGGCCAACGCCAGAGTCTGGGTAATTGCAGCGGGCTGTGATTATGCGTAACTTACGCCCAGACAAAATATTTGCATACAAATGTGCCCGGCAAGTGGGCGATTATTTTGTATCATTTTTTGTTATTTTTTTTGGCTACTTTGCGGGCACTGTAGCCGGTTTATTTACAGTGATTGGGTACAGTGAGCGCCAAAAAATTAAATTCAATTAAAATTTTGTCACTTGTGCAACGCGTCGATTAAGATCGACCTTTATTGATGTCTGCACAAATTGAACCAGTCGGGCGGTTGGGCAGTTGCCTAATTGTGGGCACTGTGTTCGTTAACTAAACGGCAGCACTGTAGCCATTTAAAAAATAAATAGCTAGCAGCAGGAGGGAAGCTGATTAAAACGTGCGATCGCACAGCAAACGAGTTGCCTGGGAAACATTGTTGTATACCAATTATAAAGGCGTTGCTGTGGGCGTGGTCGATTCGCCCTGCAAGCAAATGAGACGAGGCAACAGTTAATACCAATTTGTAGGCGTCAAAAATCATGCAAAAAGCACTCGAGAACTAGCCAAAATCGGCATTTGATTTAATTTGCAAGCAGCTCGACATTTAAACATTTAATGAAATGCATTTTCTGATAGCCAATTGGCGGTACCACGCGGCGTATGATTAATGCACTTGCTGCAAGGAGTGGCAAGGCCCATTCAATATTGATCGCTGAGATTTGTTCGCAAGTGGCGCCTTTTAATTAAACGCAACACAAGACAACGAGAAGTAGATGTTAGAAGTTGTGGCAAGCCAGCAGCTGTTGCTGCCACACGCAACAAATCGCGCCACGTTTCAATTAAAAACAAGCTAGCATTTAATGTCTTTGCATTGCTGCAGACGAAATACCCTAGTCAACTTATTAATATTATAATTCTTATTGCTAAAATTATTATCATTACATTAGCTGTCAGTATATGTCTACAATCAAAGAGCCCTACTTTTAGATAGCATAAATAAGAGATAAGAGATTCGAGCCCGGATTCCTCTACACAGCAGTCTGATGACCAATAGGCAATTCATTATCCTATGGCGGCTAACTTCTGAAAGCTCCAGGATACTACAATGTATCACGAATAGAAAAATATTAACAAATATTAGAGCATTACTTTAAGTCGATTAAGTAGCTTATAGTGTAGGGTTCGAGACCCCAATGAGACTCAAGACAGAATATTGTTTGTCTAATGCATTGTTTATATTACAACCAAACGAATAATGTGCTCTTATGCGATTTCTTGTCCTTGCTTGAACACCATAGTACAATATAAATAAAACACTACATTAGTATTCAAAGCTCATTCCATTAGAGCGTAAGCTACATAAGCAGCTAATGTATTAGAATGATAATAATTATAATTAGATCAGAGATATATGGCATTCCGATATTACCGCTCTGTACACCCGTTGGACCCATTTTGATATGTGCAGGGTGTATTTAGAACAAATAGAAAACAGTGGAGAAAATAACAACATGACGAGTGCCAAAGGATTATGCAATGCTTCAATGTCATCGGCGGCGATGGCAATGAACTGTAGGGTCCAGCCTGTGGCCGGGCTCGAGTGCAGAATGTTGTTTGTTTGGCTTTGTGGCACGTGTGGCATGCAATATTATGCTTCTCCGCACTGATTGGGGATTAAATTTTTAATAGCCTCATGACTCGACTTATTAACACGGCCCGAAGCAACGGCCTAACAATGTCTGCTGAGCTGTACCTGCATTGAATAATTCAAATATTGCCAATGCGCACGCACTAAAACCAGGGCCAAACACTTTTACTACCATACTTAAAACGATCGCAAACAAGGCCAACAAATCCTAACCAAAATAGCAAATCATTTGATATACTACACGATAATCCACATTCCTAACTCAAGAGCTTAGTCACTTCCGCCTCGGGCCAGCTGAAGGGGACTAAGGCTAGGGGGGACCAAAGCTGGCGTCAGCAGCTGCCTTCTATGGATGCGATTATCATAATTTAACGCTTACCAATCCTCAGATCAGCCACAAACTGTTGGCTACTGTTTACGTGCCCGTCATTTTAACCTAACCCAGTTACAAGTACATATATTCAATGGGAGGCTTCGGACTGTGCATTTTAATTGTGTTGCACATTCAATATAGAGACCAAATCGGGCGAATGGGCAGGGGAAGCGAGCGCTCGATGCGAAGGCAACACTTGGAAAAACACAAGCGAACGTCCTTGTTGAGGTCAAGTGAGTCAAAAGAAAAAAATGCAGAGATAATTAAGTAAACACTTGAATTACTTAAAATAAAATGTAAAAATCGATTGAAATATTTTTACGTTTTACGCAAAATGCATTTATTCAAACAATAATATTCCCTCTCTATCATCAAAAATAATACTAGAAAATCAAAAATAAAAACCAAAAAGATGAAACAAAAACCAAGTAAAGGAACAGCTTAAGCACATGATAATTGCTCGAGGAAATTAAAATTGCGTGAAGTTAACTAAAATCAGGATCCAAATACGATATCAGGTCTGGCTGGTCGTGGTTGACGTGGTTCAGTGGTGCGCTTAGCGGTAGTAGGCGGCATAGGGATAGGCGGAGTATGCAGCGGCATAGGGATAAGCGGAGTACGGGTAGGCGGCAGCGGCGGTGTAGGCAGCGGTGTAGGGCGCACTGTAGGCGAGTGGTGCAGCGGTGTAGGCGCTGTAGGCCAGTGGGGCAGCCACCACGGCGGGCTTGGCGGCGACACAGGCCACAATGGCGAACAGGCACAAAGCGAACTATGAACACAATTTGTTTATATCGAAAACACAATTGGACACTTTTAGTTTCGGACTTACGAATTTGAACATTTTGAAGTGGTTTTTGGTGGTTGCGATTTGTCGTGCTGGCTGGCGAGCTGTTTGTTCTGAAGAACTTGACTGATGCCCACAGCTACAAATGCACGCACTTATATACCTAACGAACGGAGCCCTAAATGCACAAAGTTGAAGCCAAAAAAAAATAAATAAAACAGCATACTAATAATAATATTAATTATTATGCACGGCCAGGCGCAGCTCAGATGGATGCTCTTGCCTGCCAATTGAGCCGTCGTCGGCTGTCGACTGTCGTATCAATTGACGCCAAGGAGAATCTCAGCCACAAATTTGCACTTTACTTTTAGTTTCATTAGCGGGGCGGAAGGCGGGCGGGGCAGGTCGCTGCCCAGTCAAACGCAATGAGTATTTTTAAACGCGTGACGCCAAATAACAACAACAACAACGAAAAACGATCAGCAAATCGAACTGAACGTCGCAGGCACGTGCTCCGCATACCACATGCGAGCTTGTTTGGGTTTCTGACCCACTCCCAAGTCCAAACCCAATCCCACACGGACACCCAGCGCTGCCGCACTAAGTGAATTTATAAAGCTAAGCGATTGCGCCGCAGGCTGTTTCATTCGATCAGTGCAAAGCGCTTAGAACACACAAAAAATGTATAAGAAATTGCTACGCTTGAAGCGCAGCTCAACGGATAAGACGCAGATGCTCCACGCCGAGCCTGAGCCCAGTGGTCAGATTACGTCGGCAGTCGCTGAGCCGAGCTGCTGTGCCACCTGCTGCCGCTGCTGCTCGGATCAACCTGCCCAGTGCTGTCCAGAGGATTGCTCCACTTGCTGCCAGCTCTGCACCGCCGCCCTCGTGCTGCCCAGCTGCGTGGGTGCCATTCGGGCGCTGCAGTGCAGCATTTTGCGACAAGAAGGTGGAGGAGAATCCCGCAGACAACAACAAACCCGCAAACACAGCTGCTGTCAGGCAGGCAGCAGCTGGATTCCAGGTTCAGAATCCTTGACAAGACACAAATTGCAGATCGTTGCAAATACGCGGAGTTGTTGTTAAGTTAAATATACAAATGTTACTTTAGAGAAATGTGTCCAAATATAACTATTAAATAATTAAAAATAATATTGTGATGAAAGTTACATGAAAATTATGGCTCTGAAACATGGAATTGACAACATATTCGAGTTCCCCGTTTTCTGAATATTTGTCGAAATAGAACTAAAAGCCAACTACAATTTTTTCTGTTTTTAATCAATTCAAATGTTTTAACTTAAGGTTCTATAAGAAGCAATTTTGCGACATTGTTTGACAAATATCAATCAATATTAATACTTTGGCATCTTAAAGACCAATCCACAAAAAGGTAGTCTAATAAACCTGGATGAACTTTTTACAAAATATGCCTTAAATAAAAGTTGAATTCACTTATGAAGGCTAGTTTTATTGAAGTCACAGCCACAGACATTTCTAGAAAAAATATATTTGTATATTTTATATACAAGGCTTTTCCGCTCAAAACCAAAAGCTTTAAATTAGAATTTGCATTTTGTGGCAGTTCGAGGGTTCTAACCAGGAGGGTCGAACCAGGAATAGAATAGAAGTTACCTGTCCACCAAATAATCAATCAAGCAGGAATATACAACAAAAGAAGTAAAATGCATTTTAGAAAATCAACTTATTGGCTTGTTAAGACACATCAAAAACACATATTTTGAATCCTTAACAAAACATCGATTCTCTACAATCAAGAAACCAAATAATTCCTCTCGAGCAATTGTTTTTATTTACAAAAAAAGTAAATCTTGATGAGTCAAGCCGTTTGAATCAGATGAATCATTTATAGATATGTGTAGGCAGCAGCGGTATAGGGGTAGCTGTAGGGATAGGCAACAGGCGCAGTGTAGGCGGCGGCAACGGGGGCAGCAGCGGCAGCAATGGGCGCGGTGTAGGCGGCGGCAACGGGCGCGGTGTAGGCGGCGGCAACGGGGGCAGCGGCAACAATGGGCGCAGCAGCGATGCCATTGTAATTGCGTGCCACATACTGGGAGCTGGTGGCAGTTACCACCGCAGGAGCGGCATCCACGAGAACCGCGGGCTTGGCCTCAGCCTGTAGGCTGCAGGCGAGAACGGCGCCGAGCACAAAGATGACAGCAGACTGCAAGAAATTCGGATTTAACAAACAAATAGAAAAGGATTTGAGAGAAGAAAAAAACGCACCAGTTTGAACATGTTGAAATGTTTGTGGGCAGAGCTAACAAAGTAGACTATGCGCTGGTCAAAGGCGCCTGCATTTTTATAGCCCGAATGCGACAGTTTTTGGTTTTGTTTTGATGGGTTCTACAGTCGCCAAATATTAAGAAGCAAAAAAAACAAATGACAAAATATAGACAAGGCGAGTGCCAATTGAACACCTCTGGCTACGTGCCCAGCAGCTGGGCAGCTGGAACTGTCGCAGAGGTCTTTTGCTTGGGTATGTCGAGCACGTCTCCAAATGTGAGTCCATAAAAAGTGTTGTGGTGTGTTTTGAAGGCAACCGCCCAAAAAAATGTTTCTACAAAACAGTAGCTGTTCCGATTCAATTTATGCGGTCAGTTAACTGACCTGCCCTTGTGGCCAGGCCAAACCCAATGCGAATGACACTGGACATTGGGCATGTGTGGCATGAAGCATGGAGCATGGTGCAGGCGTTGCACGCACGCCTAATCGGATTGCATATATTGCATGTGTCAAGGTCGCAACATGACGCTGCAATTTACTTTTGCAATCTTTTTTGGCCAGCCAATAGGCCGCAGTGGCATGTGGCAATATGCTCTAATCGTGACATAAAAAAAACCACAACAAGCTGTCAATATATCGTGGGAGTAGAGCCCATTAAAGCTATCAAATCTGTCCAGCCTAAAGCTCACAAGAAAAAAATATTTGAGTCGGAGACGCAACAAAGCAAAAAGAAAGAAAAGAAAAATATCAATGCACAGGCCGACATTTCTTATCGTCAGAACGCGCAAAAGCTTATTGAATGGACTGAGAAGTATCTGAAATAAATACATAAGTTCTCGATTGAAAGAGCTCGACTTGAAGTTGACCTGCACAAAGTATCTTAATATTCTTAAAAGACATATTCCTCCAAGTTCCCTGTTTCTGAGTTCTCATAGAACAGAGGTTCTAAAGGATATATTCCTTTTATTTATAGTTTTTGAGTTCTCATAGCGCAGATTCTCAAACTTATTTGAAAACAATTTCAATCATCAATTTAATAATTATTCAATTAAATACCTCAAGTGCCCACAAGTGGACATTTTGAACCTCTTTGAGAAAGCCCGACCTAGTTAGACGAACACAAGTCGACAAAAAGGAGCTTTAAGAGCTCTGTCTCTCGTGCCCGAAATTCGAGCATACCACCTTTAGATATTTACAGGGCATTAAAAGGAACGACAATCTTAACATATATATACACATTATATATATATATTATTTATTGCATCCCTTGCTTTACATGATTGCATTTCTGTAATAACTGGCGAAAATGCGTTTGCAGTTCGCGAAAAGTGTTCGCCTCGCGCGGTTCACAATGCGTATACGTAATGTTTGGCTCCTGCTCCTGCTGTTCGTCCTGTCGTCCCTGCGCAAGGATCGTGCGCTGGCTGGTGATGTCTATCTGAGCTGCGACGAGTTCGAGCAGCATCTGTACTTGGATCCCGGCGAGGCATTCTGCACGGTGACCGGCTTAATAGTGACCCACAGCCAGAACGTGGTGGTCCAGAACTATGTGCCGGACAACATGATCAAGTTCATGAAGTTCTACGACTCGACACTGCTCTATGTGCCCTTCCATCTGTTCGAGATGTACACCCACCTGAAGACCCTGGATGTGTCCTATACGGGCATTCTGGAGCTGACGCGAAACACCTTCAGCAGGGCGAGCAACCTGACCTATCTGAACTTGAGCTACAACAACTTGACCTCGGTGCAGACGTCCGTGTTCATCGGAGCCAATGCTCTGATGCGCCTGGATTTATCGTACAACAAGATAACACAGCTGAGTGAGAATGCGTTTTGTGGCCTGAACATTCTGAATAAGCTGCAGCTGACGGGCAATCGTCTCAGCGAGCTGCACAAGGACATCTTCAAGGACAACGAGTATCTGGAGTCGGTATCGCTGGAGAGCAACGCCCTCAGCTATGTCCAGCCGGAGGTCTTCAGTCGCATGCGTCGCATCAAAGAGGTGAACCTCTCCAATAATAAGCTAGTCCGCATTCATCCGGACACATTCACGGAGGCCGCCAGCCTGGAGAGCCTGCTGCTGGCCACCAACTCGCTGAACACCTTCCAGCTGACCAACAAGAGCATTGTCCATCAACTGCATCTGGACTACAACCACTTGACCAATCTCACCGTGAATTCCACCCGCTTTGTGCGCGCCAACTACAACAACATCAGCTCCATACAGATGCACCAGGCACTGCAGCTGGAGACACTGGAGCTGCGCGGCAATCGACTGGCCAGCATAGCGAATATAACCAATCTGACAGCTCTGCTGCATCTGGATCTCTCCTATAATCCCATTGGACCACTGGGTGTGAACACTTTCGATCAGCTGAAGCGGCTGCGCAATCTTTACCTGCGCTCGATTGGCGTGCGCGAGCTGCAATTCGGCATGTTCTCTAAGCAGAAGCATCTGGAGATTCTCGACCTGTCGTTCAACAATATGACGAGCCTTAATTTGGATCTGTTTGTGCCCTACCTGGCCAACCTCAAGCAGTTCTTTGTGGACGGCAATGCGCTCAGCGAGGTGCAGGGCAATCGCAGTTTCACACAGGCCTTTCCGGTGCTCCAGAAACTGGGCATCTCTCGCAATCGCTTCAATTGCTCCTATCTGCACCATCTGCTTATACCGCCCTACCTAACCGATACGGTGATCCTGCACATTGAGCCCGACGACAGCACAGACGAGACGCCGCATATACGTGACGTCTCCTGCATCAGTCTCTCGGCCAGCCAACAGGCCAATGCGCAATCTGCCGCAGCGATTGCCCTCGAGGAACCCATGCTGGCGCTGCACAAACAGCTGGAGCTGTTGCGCGCCCACTCGCAGAATCTGGAACTGCACTTGCTCTTCATGAAGCTCTTCTTCTATGCCATTGGGGGTTCGATCCTGATAGCTGTGGTGACCCTGGTCACACTGCGCGTCCGCAAGGTGCGACGCTCGGGTCGATATAATCGCAGCAGCATTGTCTTCCAGTCGACAGCCACAATGGATGCGAATCTGAATCTGTGAGTGGCCTAGCATAATATTTAGCCTAAGCCAAAAACAAAGCCCTATACTTAAGATATACGAATTGCAATTTAAAAATAAATGTATGAAAAGACTTCAACCAGGAAATCTTTAGAGCTTTGACTCCAAAAAGGGAAAAACAACCAAATGGCGAGAGATAAAAACTGCAAAGACCTCGACACAAACTTCCTGCTGGCGGCTTAGATAAGCGCCAGGCAAAGACCTTGAACTGAGCCAGTCGTCTCGGGCTATATGGAAAAGATAAAAGTGCACAGCAAACAATTCGATTCCGAGTTTCAGTTTTTCGTTTATTTATATTCAGTTTTCGCAGACAGAGAGAGATGCAGAGAGATATTTGATATTTGCCGGCTGAATTTATCTACTTCCGGAGCAGCAGAGGAGCTGCACTGTAGGCGGCAGCATAGGGCGAGGCGATGTACGGTGATGCCACATAAGGTGAGGCAACATATGGCGATGCCACATAGGGCGATGATACGTACGAGGAGGCCACATACGGAGATGCCACGTACGGAGATGCCACATAGGGCGACGAGTAGGCCACAATTCCGGGCTTGGCAGCGACGCAGGCAACCAGAGCGAGCACGGCGAGGACAACAAACTTGAACATCTTGTTGGGTTTGGTAGTAGGGCTTGAGCTGCTTGTAGAAGTAACTAAACTGAACTGATGTTTACAGCTATTGGCGTTGGGGCTTTTATACAGTCAGCCAGGCAGCCAGGCAGCTGGCTAATACTAGGTAGAGCCTTGGCGCAGACTGCGTGCCAGCCCAGCTAATGAGCCAAACGGAGCTGAAGAGACACAGCTCGACAAGACTCAACCACATAGTATTGTTAAAGCCACTTACGCATATAACTGCCAATTGGGCTGGCTACGTGCGCTGCCTGACAATTGGCTAAGAGAATACGTTGGACAAGGTCTTACCAATTTGCGTATATAAGCCATGGCTGGGCACTGGTTAGAGCATCAGTTACATTTTGTTTCAACGACAAAGTCAACCAGCAAATAAACCTAAAAATGTTCAAGTTCTTCGCTGCCGTCTTCCTCGCCGTGGTTGCCTGCGTTGCCGCCAAGCCTGGAATTGTTGCACCACTCGCCTACTCCGCCCCGTTGGTGGCTGCAGCGCCTGCTGCTGCTGTTTACAGCACCGAATATCATGGCAACTTTGCGGCACCCTATGTGGCATCGCCGTACGTGGCCTCGCCCTATGTGGCATCGCCGTATGTGGCCTCGCCCTATCTGGCATCGCCCTATGCAGCTCCTCTGCTGCTGAAGAAGTAGACAACCCGCCGGAACTCTCTGGAACCCACCGGAACCCACTCGAACTGCGAATCACATCTGATGGCTAATAAAAAGTTGACAACATAAAAAAAAAAAAAAAGCGAAAAAGAATTGTATTTCCAACTGAAGCTTATTTCAACTGCAGCCTAAAAGTTTGCTAGACTTTTTCTGCTCCCCCTTAACCCTTAGGTCAGCCATTAAAGGTGTTGGTCGACATAAAGTTGAAAGTAAATGCTAAATTGAGGGTTAAATTGCCAAAGCCCAAACGATCCACAATCAGTTTGTGATTGAATGGCAACTTAGGCTTCTTCTGCTTCTTGGGCGTGTTGACGAGCTGTGGACTGGTTGTCTGCACCAGATGAAAGAAGGTGTACATCAGACGCTGTACGTCGCGAAAGAAATCCTTGGGCTCGTACAGCTTGCCCTGCGCATCCTCCAGCTGCAGCCCGCCAGCGTCCCTAAACATTGGCAGCGTGTCCTGGGCAGCTCCGGGGCGGGGCGACAGCACGAACAAATGAAGGGTCCAGGCGCATCTGAGCTGCAGCAGCGCCACACCGATCCACAGCCAGGGCCAGAGCCGGAACTGTGCCGAAGATGAAGCTCTACAGAGTTGTGTGTGAGGCAAGAGAACGCCTACTTACTGGCCACATGTTTGCCTGGAAGGCTATGGAATATAACTGCAGCTGCTGGCCGTAGAGCCTGTCACTTTTATAGCCAGTCCCGCCCAAAAGAAAAGATATCTATGCCGGCTAAATTCCAATCAAGCTCAAACTATTTTATTTCAGGCATGCAGATGGACACATCTAAGGCTGCCGCCGCTAGCTTCAGGCCTAAAGCCAGCCATGACCATGCCCGTGAGCATATGCGCCGCCATGAATGATGGGCCGCACAATGTGGTGCGTTGGCCAAATTGGACGCACCACATGCACCGCCTGCTGGTGCTGCTGAGGCGGCAAGATGTGGTACGACGTGGCGCTGCCCAGGATGGGCGTTGCATGCAACAGGCCAGGCGCCCCACAGGCGATGGCCACGCACAGTGACAGCAAAATGAACTGCCAAAAGGATTTGTTGGTATTAAAGCACAAAATATGACAGGCTCGCCAGGCTCAAACCACCTACCAGCTTGTACATGTTGGGGGCGTTTGTACTGGGACTTGTAGATGCTGCCAGAAGACTTGTTGATTCGCTGCGCTGTCTGCGGCATTTATATAACGAGTGGCAACTGGCAAGTGGCATGCAACCCAACACACGACCTTCGCTCCAATATCTTGGGCGGCTTTGTTTGGCTTTTGGCCAGCTCGTATTTCGCAAGTGAATGACTGAGTTCTCGGCTTAAATTACCCACTCTTTAACCGCCAGCCAAACTTGTCAGTGGGTCGCTGCGCTTCTCGAGTTGCGGCTTCAAAAAACGCGTACAGCAAATGCACTCGAAAAAAAGGGCGGGGCGAATTGTGGCATTGTGCGTATACATTTACATATTCACAAATTTTACAATTTTCATTTGGAGAGCATAAATTAAAGAATTAATTATGCAATAAATAAAAAGGGTGGTGAAAACAGAACATTTTCCCTGTGGGCAAAGTATCTGATTTTCACATATGAATTATTCATTTTAATTCAGAATTAATAAACATATTTAAATATATTCATGCACATAGTCAATCAGGCGCTGCTCTACTTCTACCTCTGCGCCCCCCATAATGTAAGGGAAATGCATTTTTTATTAGCTTCCATTCAGAATTTTATATTATTTTCAGAATTTAAATAGTTTATACAAAAACGCAAAGTAGAGACCTTTTTTTTTTCAATTTGTTGGTGGAAAGGCTGAGAAGTATCTCAAAAGTGGAATATTCCTGATCTGTATATCTCTATAAGAGAGCCTGACATACCGAATTTGATGAATTTAGTGCTTTTGCATGTATATATATAGAAAAATGTTTAACAATATTACGAAACGTATTGATAACATAGATGCATAGATACATAGATAGATAGATATTTCACGATATAATACGAAATGAGATATGAGGATATATATATTTCAGATTTGAATTAAAGCGCAACAAATACATTAACCTCATTAAGTTTTAGTTTTTGATTGAGGCCACAAAATACAACTTCCAATAGGTAATGTGATTTTATACTGTGATGCGATTTAGAGCACAAAACTCTGATCAGATTGAAACTGAGCAGCTACGCAATTGTTTTCCTAAAAAAACAACAAGTGCTGACCGGAACTGTACAAAATAGGAAATACTACGCAAATATATTGAATAATCAGTTTTATATATTATGGGCATTCAGCATTAATTGCCGTTTGCGTAGGAGTTTGTTTTTGGGCCTACGTCTAATACCAAAGGACCACAAATGCAAAACAAAAAGCGCTACGCACTTGGCAAACTTCGCACAAATTGCGTCCAAATTCAAGGGCAAAAGTGTAAATACGCCCACGGCGTACAGCTTGGAGCTGACCTTGAAATCTATCAAAGCGAAATACCGGAAGTGCTGACAGAATTCCCCCCCCCCCCTGTCCGTTCACTTAATTGTTTATTTTGGCCAACGACAACTGCAAAACAAAGTGCAAATGGCCCAAAGATGTAAACAGCAAATGGCAAAAGGAAAAATATTTACCATTCACCGTATAAAGAACTCTAGAGCGAGATTGGAGGAGACTTCGAGTGCTGATTGAGGAAGCAGGAGAAGAAGGAGGAGGAGGAGGAGCCTGTGCCACAGCATATGTTGCATGCACCTCTATTTATGTGGCAGCTCGTTTGGGCTTATCTTGTCAGACGCGCACGACGATCAGCGCTCAATCTGGATCTGGAGACGGGCGAGCAGCTCGTTATACTCTATATCCAGCAGAGAGCATTGAGGGTATATACGACATGAGCATATGCCGAGGCTGCAAGCCCAATAAATAACATTTTTATCGGTGGCGCAGTTTACGGTTTGAACCCATTCTTTGCCTTTCGGTACCTGACTTTCCACATTCAAAGGCGCAGCCTTTGGCTCACAAAAATTGTAAGACTCTAAATGAAAGTATTCTATTTTTGGTTTGATTTGGTTTCCAGTTTGAAGCCGGCCACAAACTTAAAGCTCAGAAATGTTGCATATAATAAGAACTTAAAGAACTGAAATAAACTTAACCACAGAGTATTCTGCAGTCCTTGCCCCATTAACGCCCGTCACATTCTGACTTGTTGTGGTTTCTGGAGTCTGGATTCTTTTGATTGTATTCTTTGGACTGTAGTCAATCGATCTGTGAAGTGCAATTGCAATTGCAAGCTGCATTCAAACTGAGTTAAGGGCTTCTTTCAAATTGCCGCTGCAGCAAATGCCTTTGACCTTGGCCAGCAGCAGCTAGGAGATCGGACACAGCCTATAAAAGGCCGCCCCGGGCTGCGAATGGTATTCAGTTTGTGCTCCACTGGAAGACCATGAAGCTGGTAAGTGTTGGAGCTGTGACAGCCAAAATGTTTCCCGAGATACTCTAACACAACTATTTGCTTGCAGTTCATCGTATTTGCCTGCCTGGTCAGCTTTGTGCTGTGCCACGAGATACTCTATACGCCCGGCTATACCAGCTACTATACCTCACCCGGCTTGGCCTATGCACGCCACACGGCTGCCGTCCTGCCTCTGGCCTACACCCGGCTGATCCAACCGGCCAGCCAGTCGCATGTGTACCACAGCGTGGAGACACCCAATTCCTACCAGCAGCAGTATCGCAGCGACTACAAGCCCCTGACCTATGGGTATCTGTTCTAGGGGGAAATACTTAACGCATGAAATTTGAATAAAGTTTGTCAGCATCAATCGCAATTGTTTGCAAGCATTAACCTGGCCAAAAAACAGTTCACATTGTCCAATGTGGTCCAAAGGGGCGTCACAACAATTTCCCTACCAAAAGTGTCTGCACTCTGGTCTATTGAACTGCGGCCAGCTATTGGCCCCGCCGTAAGCGTAAACAATTCACGACGAGATCATTCACAATGGACCGTAGTTTTAGCCATATCGGGTGACCTAACCGCTTGGACATGGCACCTTGAACCCAAGTCCAGAGAGCAGCGTTTAAAATAAATCTGCCAGCATTGAAACCCTTTCGTGGGCGGCAAATTGGGGCGTGGCACACGTCAGAGCCCAACGGGAGCTGCACATGGAAGCCATAGCAATGGCAACAACTGTTGCCGGTCCAACAAATCCGGCGGAAAGTTTTTATTTTATTATTTCCTTTTTTTGCAATGGAAACTTTTGCGTTTCAGCACGTTGAAAAACGTGACCCGACGCTGGTCACATGGATTCGTGGGTGTCCAGGTGACGAACTTGGACACAAATGCGTACGCAAATTGTACACGGAAACCAGACAACCAACCGAATCGACTGGCAAATTAATCGCATAAATTAATTAATGTTTGATTGGTTTTTATACACTGCCACAAGTAATTAGCAGGAGCAAAAGGACCTATAGTTATTTGAAGGCACTTTGAGGTTGTTTTGAGGAGAACGAAATGCAATTATGGGTATAGTTCCCTAACTATTTTCTGGGGGAAATATATCTGGATTTTCGCAATACTCTCTGATCTAGATTTGTCTCTACAATATATCAAATAGTGAAAAGCGCCTTCCACTCTTTAAATATGTAATAAGTATAAGAAGAAGACCTGCAAGCCGGCTTACTTACAACGAGAATAGGTTTCTTTTTCGAATAAGTTGCCTAAATAATCTAATAGGGTAAGTAACTGTAAGCTGCACTTTTACTTCCTCCAATGTAAATATATATTAATTAATCTAACACAAATACTCTGTAAAGTGAAAGATAAAAGTTCACAGGGCATTTACCTGTCGTCCATTTCTGCATACTGGACATGACACTTGCTTATGAAACATGAGCGCATCAGTCGGGTCGAGTCCAGACAAGCCCTATGCAAAGCATTAAGAAATTGTTAATTTCAGTTATTAGCAGATAGAACAAGTTCGCGGTATCAATTTCACATGACTAAACGAGTTTAACTTAGAGTTGGGCGTGGCTGCCACAACAAGATGAAGATGAAGAAGAACAGAACTTGCAGAAAATTCCCGATGAACGACAACAAACTAAGTAAATTAAGAGCCATGCACAAATGTTCCAAGCTGCAAACCAGAAACGGCCCACAGCCCAGCCAGGCAACCAGCTATGCGAGGTATAAAAGGAACACAGGAGTGCAGCTGCCACAGCAAAGCACACAAGTCGCGGGCAGCGAGTGGACACGAACTGGCATCTAGAATTTCCATAGAAAACCCATAAGGAAACAAGTGCTAGGAAAATGCGCAATTGTGTTTGGGTAGGCAAATCCCCAGCTCAGCTGAATTGAATTTCTAACACTTTCAATAAACATTTACAGTTGTTGCTGCTGCTAATCTTGGCCAGCGCCAAGGGCAAGCCGCTTGTCTCATTCGGGCTGGGCGTGCAGGCACAAAGACCGTATACGAGCACCTATCTGCCGGGAGAGACGTACTACAACAACTACTATGGCATAGCTGGACCAGTGCACCATGATGGCGCCTACAGCAGATACCCCTCGGGCTATCCGTATGCCCAGCCCTATCCGGCCACGTACTCGCCGGGACAGCGCTTCGGTGCGGCACTCGACATTGGCATTGGGGCCTTGTCGCTAACCCCGTTTCTGCTTTGATGCCCGGCATGCACAGCGGTTGGCAATGCCATCAGTCGACTGCGGCAGCTACTGTGAAATTGGCCAATCTAATAAACACAAAACAAATAGGTTCACAATGCCTTGTACTTCAATTTGCCAAGGGGCAACGCAATGGGGCGCCTGGCGCTTACCTACTTGCCGAAAGCCAACCAATGTTGAGCTCCACACGGAGCCGTATTCCTGTTAGCTAAGGAGCAACAGGTGACCCAAACGCTGCTACGTGACATTGCCACATATTTTCCGCCGGATTCGAATGACCTTGACTATGCGTCACTAGCAACTTACTCTACATCTATACGCTTTCAGTGGGCATTATAGACTTGAGATAAAAGCTGTAACGCATAGAAGGAGAAGGCTTGTGGCCCATAAGCTATATATATTCTGGATAGTATCCATGCGTAGTATCAGCAAATCTATCGTCCGGCTTCTTGTAGTAGAAATCATCCGGATCGAACCACTATAGCTGTCATTGTCGATCGAACTGAAGCTTAGTTCTTGACCCTACTTGTCTATGGTGCTTATCGATGAGAAAAATCTTATCAACATCAAGTTGGAGTATCTTAAAGCTTTTTAAAAATAGTCGCTCGAAACGTCAGTTTTTGTGTGGAAAAAGTTTCTGTTTCTTAAGATATTCCCTTAAAAATGTTGCAGTTGCAAGCTTTACTTTTGTCTAACTTAAATGTAAGCCCGTAACAAATCGGAAAAAAATGTTATATGGCTCCTATAGAGTATAGAATCAATTGGAAATAAACTTTATATAGTTTATGTCACATGTCTAAGGACATTTAGCAGTGATTTTTTGTTTTGAACACACTGTACTCTATAAAAAAAAGAGAGGACATTAGATTTAAACTTCTAAAACTAATTCCTCTTATAGTCAGAGCTATCCAGCCTGCCTACCTATGAACCTTTCTACTAAGTATTTTTGCCACACCCTTTTGCTCTCTCGTAGTTCAGTAGTCCCAATCCTAACAGAGTATGCTGCAGTCATGTGCTGCGCTCAGCTCAGCTCTAAGCTCTTAGCAATGCTGCAAAACAGGACCTAAGGACTAAATGAGGACTTAGGTAAGGTATGCCTCACTGGAATTACGTTGAGTTGCAAGACGATTGCGTCAATTGAAACTATTTATGGTTTGTCAAGCTGGATTGCTGCTGTCCATGCCCATCAGCAACAGAAACAGCATCATCACCAGCATCATCAGCAGCAGAAGCAGCATCAGAAGCAGAAGCAGCATATGCTGCAGCCAAGGTGAGTGCGACGTGTGCCTGCAACGTGCTGAATGTAACTGGAGCTAAGCGAAACAAAACGTGTTTTAGAAGTAAATTACGAAAGTCTGCTGGCCATTAGCCAAGAAGCAGCTAAATAAGTTTTATATACAATGAAAATTTGATATGTAGCTCTCGTATAGTGCACAGATAATTAATATTTCACTTTTGAAGCTGAAGCTTGAAGTTAGACATAAATTGTTGTGAGCCTAAGCTAGAAGCAAGAAGCGAATGCGTACTTTGATATATTTATTTAACAAATTACAAAATGGATAAGCAGAGATATAAAAATACCTTTCGATATGATGTGTCTTTCACAACTGTCAAGCAGTCGGATTACTATAATTTACCCACAAAACAAATATTTCAACTTTGTCTATTTCCAATTTATATACAAAGGCAAAGGCAATTATCATTAAACTCTTTTGACTAGCTTTACCAATATATATATAATAAAGAGAACTTTTCAAAAGTTTTTGAAGTTGAATAGGAGAGTTATAGGAGCGCAACGCCTATCAGAATCATAATTTATCGAGCAGAGCCCCAGTCAAATATAGTCGAAATGGCAGATGAATCAATCGGGGAAGGACCCTAGATAAACTCTAATCTGGGTCATGCTAGTGCCATACCACAGCGGCATTCGGTGCACTTGCAGCTAACGGGTTTCGGTGGCAACTATGTAGTGCGGCATTTTTCACGTGTACCTCGGTGCCAGGTGAAAGGCTAAGGTGCGAACGGTGCGCGAAGGCAGGCGGATGACGTGCAAAAGTCACGTTCTCAATCACACAGCCAGCCAAAGGGTGAAAGCTCAAAATTGCAGCGTCGTTTGATTTTCTTAAGCCAAAAAAAAAGAAGCGAGGCAGGGGCAAGAGCAGGCGCCAGCAATCACGTTGACGAATGAGGCAGTCATTCGAAACATCCAGCATCCAACAGGCAACAGGTTGTGCGGAGTTTACGTAAATATTGTACAGAGCCAAGGTGGAAAGTGGACACTGGGATAACAGATGCTGTCGTCGCCGCTCACGTTGTGGCTGCCACGACAGCTGCACGGGCACTGCTGCTGCTACGGCTCGAGCTGTGGCAGGCAGCGCACGAAGTGTCCTCGTCCTCGTCGGGATGAGGCCGGCAGCGGGCGGCGGGCGGCGGCGAGCTGTATGCTGTGTGTGTGCCACAGGCACGAAGGTTAAACGCGAAGCTTTCGAGCATCAGTCGACATTGACTGCAGCTATAAAAGCGGCAGCAACAACGCCTGCCCCAGCAGTTAATGCCAGGACACGTCGCGACACGCGTTGCAACTAAAACCAAAAACAAGCGGACTTGAAGTGAAATTCAAAATATTACAAAGAACACCTATTGAAAAAGACTTTAAGCAGAAAAAAGTTGAAAATTAAAGTGAGAGAAACGTGATGGATACGCTGTCACCCAACGATTGCTCCAAGTCGAGCTCCAACTCCAATTCGAGCGGCAACAGCGCCAGCAGCTCCTCCATGGATCTGGGCAACAAGCAGCCCAAGCAGCCGAAACGTGGCTCGCGCGGCCAGAAGCTGTCCAGATCGCGCAGCCTGCTGCAGTTGCTCAGCAGGCATCTGGGCCGTCATTTCCAGCATCATCATCACCAGAACGACACCGTCTACAGCAGCCAGGATGATATACGCAGTTCGGCTACGGATCTGTTCAGTCTGAGTGGTTCGCGCAATGATTGCCTCCAGGTACTCAATGGCGGCTCCAGTCTCGATCTGGAGCACACCTCACGCACAACCTCGGAGTCGAGTTCGCCTGGTCTGGAATTTTACGATAACAATGCTGGACACATCTATGTGGAAACCGTCTATCGACCCGGCAGCGCCATAGATCAACTGCATCCACATCACTATGATGATAGCGGCAGCAGCGTTGACGAGGATGAGAATGATAATGACAATGAGAACGATAATGAGAATGAGAATCTGGAGCACCTTAAACCGCATGGTAGCGAACCAGAGCCGCGTTCTGCCTCGGCCGCATCGGCTGGCGTCAACAACAAGACATCTGGCCTGCATCTGAGTCGCATCTCCATCTCCTCCTCGGTTAGCCGCATGCTGCAGCACTTCTCCACACCGGCGGCCACAACGGCAACGGCATCGCTGCGCTCCTTGTCCTGCAGCAGCACGCCGCGGCGACAGCGCAACTTGTCCTCGCTGATGCGGGGCAAAAAATCGCTGATGCCGCACAACAGCAACAGAAGCAACAACAGCAACAGCAGCAGCTGCAGCAGCAACAGCAGCAGCAGCAACAACAGCAGCAGCAGCAGCAGCAGCAGCAGCAGCAGCAGCTCATCAAAATCGTCGAAAAAGGACAAGAAGCAGCAGAGCATACTGCGACCTCCAGTTCAGTACGTTTACATGAAGGGCATGTCCGGGCTATACTCGCGGGTGCCCAGCTACGCGGTCTGCTGCCCCTATACGCTGCAGCACAGCATGTATTAGTCGGGCGGACGGACGGACGGAAGGACAGCCCGGGCGGACGTCATCGCGGCGAGGACATTGGCCAAGACAATGAAGCAGACGGCGAATGCGGGTGAAGGATGAAGGGTGAAAGGGTGAAGGCCAACGCCAAAGGTGTTAATGGCTTTAAAGTCTGGTTATGGGGTGGGTAGATAATAGTGAAAAGTGATGTAGTGCCTAAAAAAAATGAAGAAAAACAAGCCGGCAGCAGCTAGAAACGGCTAGAAACGGCTAGAAACAGAGTTTGGAAATGCAGCAGCAAAGCATATTTTATAAATGTGTGTTAGCCAAAATAAAAACCAAAAATTACAGAAAATAAGAACTTAAACTTGTACAACAAATTCCATGTATTCCAAATATTAGCCTATCGATAGGAACTTTCAGTTTAAACATTAGCTAAAATTTAGTTTTATTTAGCATAAAAACCCTGATCCACACACACATATCTTCCCCCAAGTAGTTTTTAAACTTTGACTCAACTTATGGAGCTAGGCTCAAAAAAAAAAGAATACGAAAAAAGAATCTCGAAAAGTTTGTTATTTCAATATACTTTGCACTTATTTCAACGGGCACTTGACTAGACAAAATTACGAATTTATTAAAAAAAAATAATGAAAACTCTTTAAAAAAAATATATTATATATTTAAATCCAAATTGTACAAAAAAATATACTTGAGTCGCCAACAATGTTTAATTATTTTCAACTCTAACACACTTTTTTTGACTAAACACACACGAAACAAAGAGAAAAAGAAAAAGCAAAAAACAAAAAACAAACGCATAGCAAAATGTTTAGCAACTAAGTAAATACCCTATATTTTTAGAGCATATAACCTTAAGCCTTAAGTCTAGCTGTCAATAAATAAAGCAAAAATCAATCTAAACAAAACTCGGCCGCATTCTTATTTCCAAATTCGCAATTAACGGCCATTTGACGAGCTTTGCGGCAAAAAGTTCTGAGGCCAAAGCTCATCGGGCCGAAGGTGGGCGCAGTCGTGCGCCTGCGTCCTGCGCCCTGCCACACGTTGCACAGTGTCAACCGTGCCCTGGGAACAGTTGCGTGTCGCCTTGTGCGCCGCTTGCTGCTGATGTAGGTAAGGTCCTCAAATTTTCAAGTTGCCGAAGGACTCGACCTTATTGTTTTGACATACGATATCATGTCTGCATAACGAACACAACTATGACGTTAATCGCCAGACGCAGTTGTTGTTGTTGCTGTTGCATGCTGCATGCTGCATGTTGCAAGTGGTCCGCAGCATGCAAATGGGAGCAATTCAATTTTTGATGAAGCACAACTAATCCCAGTCTTGCAACTGCTTGAATTGGTTGTTGATTTGACAATTTAAGCGTATTTCGGTATATAATATACATATAAGCAGACCCGGCCTTGCCCGGCCCAAGTTTTCTGTCTCGAATTTAAGGCACCAATTCTTCACCCAACCGTACTAGCTTATACTTTGACTAGGTCATTTAAAAAACATTGGAGGCCATCGAATTAAGAACCAGAAATTCGAATCGAAGTAAGTTTTAGATTAAACAAAAATTGAAATTTTGTTTCCTTTTCAATTCCACAAAGATGCAATTCCACAAAGATGTTTAACCATTAGTTAAACACGTAATACAACCGTTTCCCCCAAATTGTCTACAGCAGCGAGTGGAATTACCAAATTCATATTGATTAAGTGATGGAGTGGATTTCGCGTGACCTGTGTCTGCCTGCTTAGCCAGATTCTGTCCCTGATGTTTGAAATTCATAGAAGGAATCATACGCTGCTCTAACATGCTGGCCCTGGGCCGTTTGGCTATTTTCTCTTAACACTGGGCTGCGTGCCTGGTTAACACCTTAAGTTCATCTCGATTTAGCCTCCTGGCCAATGAAGACATTCCTTCTTTTACAGGTTTTCCGCCTTTGCCGGGGACGTCAGTCCATTAATGATGAGGTTCCCATTGAATAGCACCCCATCTTCTCCCATCTTCTACCACTGGACTCTCTATGTCATTGGGCATCATGTATTTCTTGCACTTATCGTTTTTGACCGCCAGTCCGAAAATATGCAATACTTTCTGGAAGCAGACTCCTTTGTGGGTGATTGTCCCTGCTAAGCTATCTTGCAGCAAGTGCAGATTATTTGGTTGTTAACTTTGCTAGCCAAAACTATTAACTGCACACTTAGTTACATGAGACAACTATTCTATTCTAATTATTCCACAAATATTTGGTTCCGGGTATCTTCTAGTCGGGCACTCCCAACTAAAGCACTCTTCTTTTAATTTAAAATTAATTCAGGGGGATTTATGCTTGCAATATTTTGCGCAGAACGCCAATTTTAAAATTTACATGTATGCAGAATTAATGGGAAAAGTGCTAGGTTCATTAATGTAAAAAAAAAAACGACATTTAAAGAAGAAATATGAATAGTTCCCATTTATGTAAGAATATAGTTTCTCTTCCTAGATACTCATAAAACTTTAAGGATTGAAAATATAAAATATTAAAGCATTTGTGTGACCAGATAGAAAATCGACAAATAACAATCTAACAGTCAAATTATAAGGCATATGAAATGTTATGAAAGTGAAATATATGTTTTAAATATAACTTTTGATTTTCCACTTACCAAATATATATATATACCACTTTCATGTGGCTGGGCTCAACTTAATATAGACGACCTGAAAAGAGTCCGAGGCGTAGAAAATGTTGTTAGTAAACGCAGTTAGGCGTATAGGTGCTAATGGCCTATATATGGCTAAAATTATAGTTTGTAAATATTGTCAACTGCATGGGCGTCAATTGTTTTTATAGCTTTTGGTTTCTTAATTGACAAATCTGTTAACGGACTGACGTCAGGGCAAAAATTACGCCTTTTAATTAGAGGATAAACAACACACGACAGCACGACAACACGACAGAAACAATTATCGCCCGCGTCTGCAGCCTGCCCCCACACCAGGCGGAGCCATTAAAACAACGGACTTCATTAAATCCCCATAGACAGAGCATTAAAAAGCCTCAATGCCCCCCCTCAATTGGCAGTCAGTTTTATTTATAGCGCATTAAAATCAATTTTGTGCGTAATTAAATAATCAAAACAACAACAACAAGGACAACAAAAAACAAAACGACAATAGCTAAAATCTATTTTTGACGGCCTTAATTGCGGCTTATGAATTTTTCCTGGTGACATCTCTGAAAAGCGGAAGAGGAGGAGGAGCAGGAGCAGCCACACCTGCTATCCACCCACAAAAGGATATCTGTGTGGCAATTAAAGTTTAGAAATAAGCTCGAGCGCTTTATTTTTAGCAAAAAGCCAAGGGAAATTGAGACAAATCGACGTATCAACAATTTGCGCGTGCAATTGCGCTACAAAAGCAATTAAATTGCAGCACAGGACGTGGGTAAATATTGAAAGTGCCACCACCACCACCTGGCGGCGGGTAGTGTAAACATAGCGGCAAACAACAAATTGCGAAATACGCACAGGAAGCGTGTAAACAAATGCCATAATTCAAATGTTGTTACCATTATTAGGCAACTCAGCGCCAAAATAATGCACAACGTAGTAAAGCTGCAAACGGAAGTGGAGCAGGAGACAGAGGGCGACAGAGAGTAGGAGAGAGAGAGAGAGAGGGAGAGGGAGAGAGAGAGAGAGGCGCGCTCTCGCCGCTTTGCAGCGAGCGCTGGCTGCAAACCGGGCGAGTCGATAAAAGGAAGCGGCATTCAAATTGCCGACTCAAACGCGAAAGGACAACACGCCAGTGTGTACACACAAAGCGCTCGACAAAAGCCGACAGCCAAGCAATTCAAAGTAACTATCTGTGTGTGTGTGTGTGAGTTAGTTGCAAGACAAAGACCGGCAATAACAAAGGCAGAGAGAGAGAGAGTGTGAGAAAGCGGAAGTGCAGCCAAGATTATATTGTTAGGGTACAAGTAAACGCACCCAGATATGGGCACACCACATGTCTGCTTTGCGGACGAACTGCAGCAGGAGCACCACAACAACAACAACAACAATGCGGCAGGCAGCACCAACAAATGGCTTTTGGAGCTGGAGCACTCGACGAGCAACTCGCCAACGCCTCGCTACGAGCGCAACATGGGCTTCTTTCAGCTGCTGAGCCGTCGGTTTGGCCTGAGGTCAAGCGATGACCTAGTTCATGGTGCATGCGATGACGCAGCTGCCGGCACAACAGCAGCGGCAGCGGCAGCAGCTGCACAGGAAGAGGACGCGCACAGTTCATCGACCGACTCGTATTCATCATCCCTGACGGCCAGCCGCGGATTGGCCGCTGCGCGTCTGGAGCTGACGTCGTGCGCCTCCAGCGAGACCAGCAGCACCATTGACATCGAGGAGCAGCAACAGCAACAAAATATGGGCAAGCGCAAATCGTTGAGCCGCACAAGCTTCTCACGACTGCAACGCCGGTCGACATCGTCGCTGCGGCGCGCCTTTGAGAGCCTTGCGCTAACATCACGTTCGCTGTCGTGCAGCGGCCCCTCCCCTCCGACACCGCCACAGCCACAGCAGCCGCCGGCGCCGCAGCCATTGAAGTCTGCTCTGAAATCGGCATCGACCGTGGAGCTGCGACAGCAGCAGCAGCATCACAGGGTGGCCTCCAAATCGGCGAGCAGCTCGAGCGCCTGCTCGACATCGTCCGCATCCTCCGCATCCGCATCGTCGAAGAGCAAGGTGAAGCCGCCACCGCAGCGCATACTGCGTCAGCCCGTATCCTATACATATCTAAAGGGCATGTCCGGTCTGCCGACGCAGCGGGTGCCGCGCAGCTCGGTTTGCTGTCAGTACGCCAGACGCTAGAGAAGCCGCCTGGCGAATCTCGAAATACGATTCCAGAACAATCCGAAAATAAGCACAGCCACACACCTTTGATATTGCTGTTAAATATAGTTGAAAAGTAGCTCCAATTCATAGTGCCAAATCCATGCCCATTCATTTCGAGATCTGTGATACAATAATCTTTTCATATCCACACGAAAGAAGTACACAAAAAGCTCATTTCAAACCAAAAAAAAGCAAAAAAAGAAAATAAGGGAAAACCAAATTTTTGCAAACAATTGCCAAGACTTAAGCACGCGAAAAACTAGAAACTAGATATTAGATTTTTCCACACACGGCTTTTGATTAAACATCCATAACAAAAGACTGTCGAGGGGGGAGTTTTCAAAAAAAAAAGTAAGAAAAAAAGATTTTGCGAAGATTTTGTATAGATTGGATAAAGTTTCAGAAAAAAAGTTTCGCTTAATTGAAGTACGCTCAAGTACTATATTTGATTATAATATTATTGTACATTCGTGCCTTTATCCCGTATGTGTAGATCAAAATTAAAACCAACAAAAAAAAAAAAAAAAAAACAGAAATTTAAGTCGAAAATATTATTAATTAAAAATGACGATACTCTCGTCTCACAATTAGTTGCCGTAATGGGATCAAAATTTTGTCAGGCAGTTAAATCTAATATTTAAGTACTCAACTATGTTTATACTTAATTCGTACACTCTTGAATTATTTCCTTAGATATTTGCTCGTAATTTTAGAGAACAAACGAAATGAATTCGTAACGCACTCCCAGTCGTAGGGCTTCACATAGTTATTATATAATAAGTATATATAGACCGATAATATATGCGATAAACTAACCAAGCAGACATTGAAATTTAAAACTGATTATATTATATATAATATAAATGAATTCTATAGCAGGCATATATAGACCGTATACACATACATTTACCGAATTGTACTTATAAAGAACAAACAATCTAAGAACTCAACTATATTAATTATACATATATCGTGCATACAATACATACAAACAAGGCAAGGCAAGGCGAGGAGAGGCAAGGCAAGGCAAGGCATAAGCAATACAGTTATATACATATACAGCCGATTATAATGAGATATATATATACCATATACACACATTTACTTAATCATAAGTTAACTATTTACCAAATAGAAGCAGCTAAACTGAATATTTAATTCACACAGCATGTTCAATAAAATGAAATAATTTACACCAAACCGAAACTCTGACCTTTTTTCCTCCACAACTTTCCGCATAAATAGCTATATTTATTTGGCAACTTTTTTGTCGAAAAACAATTATCATAATAATATGACTGACCCACTTTGCGAATTGGTCGAGTTGCCAAAGTTACCAAAAATAGCTGTTACAATGAATCAAGGCTAATTACAACCAGGCCTGAGGACCAGAAGCCCTTTTATTGCGTATACGCCGCATATGACAAGCTCAATCGATGCCTGATTACATTTTTGGTCACTTGTTGTCAGCAACTGGGGCGGCGGCATAGGCTGGGGCGTGGCTTGGGCATCAAAAAGTAGGTCAGCGATTGAAAGAACCATCAATATTTTTCAGACATTGCCCGATGAAAATCGTTGCCAGGCAAACGACATAAAATGTTTATGGAAATTTATGTGCGAAATGCGATTCCCTTGTTGAATTTACAACAAGCCCAGCCCAGAACAGGCCAAGCCAAGCCAAGCCAAGACGTAGACGTAGTCTGGCCTGGCCCGTTCGTTCGTTCGTGCCGCATTTGATTAACATTATTCCAACTGAATTGGCAGACGAACTGGTATGGAAATAATTACCTAATAAATATGACAAATCAGTCAATTTTACTACGCACAGCTTTAAGCTTTCAATGATTTATGCTGCCTTCAAAATTTAAAGCAAAATTGGAAAAGACTGCCCAACTAGGCGATACTCTGTACACACTGTAAAGCTGACTTTGAGAACATTTGCACTTTCTTCTATATAAGAAAACAGAATAATAATAACTTAATAACAAAGCTTTAGTCTCATTAATTGTTATTGTTTTAAGATAAAGGGGAAGTTATCCAAAAGCTGAAATATAATGTGCTGCCTCTATACTTCTCGAGCTATGCCTCAATAGCTTGCCTGTAAATCAATCCAAAGATCTTGATAAAAAATAATTGAGAGCAAATATATGTATATATATATAATGTTTTCCTGACATTCTCGCATGCGAATAGACGAGCGGACGGATAGACAGACGGATATAAATCGAACGATTCAGCTCGTCGAGATTAAGACTAACACATGTACATATATTCTTTCCGTCTGCTGCATTCAAGTGCTCAAAATTATTATACTCTTTTTTTTTATTCATTTTCTATATACCCTGTAATAAAGTCGGATCAATCATGTTATGCGATAGCTGTTCCTTTTTTGTTTGGCTGTTAAATATGATACTACATATTATTTATCTAGAATTCGATTTAACATCTTAGGTATCATAAAATCAGACTATAATTTTGTGCATCACAACAAGGTTACATTTTTCATTTAATTTAAGCATTGGCAATTCAAATCGCATCTACTCTAATTACCCGCTTCTTTTGACATATTAATGACAATATTAAATGCTTTAGTTGAAATATTGCTATATAATATAACGTATACGCCGCCTGATCCAACCAATTAATGGAAAACTTGCAATGCTCTCAAGGCAACAAATTAGCGAGACAGACAGGCAATCAAAACAGTTTTTGGATGCTGCCAATGGGCCATCAAGTCACGTACACTGCCTGGAGAACAACAACTGTGTTGATGTCTGTGGCTAAGGCAAAAAAAAAACAAAAAATGAACGAAAGTTGATGAAATGCGTCAAAGGCGCGGGCAGACTTCAAGTGTTGCCTGTGGGCGTGTCATTTTGATAATGGAATTGCCTAAAAATACGAATTCAGTGACCTAATTCCCGTTGACAGACGACAAATGTTAGCATACGAATGGATACGTTTTCTCATCCGGCCAACAACTAGTCGTATGTGTGATTTTTATGGGCCAAACGCCCGCCTGCTGGTGCTGTTGCGCATACGACCCGACCCATTGGCTCAGTGAAATAGAAAATAACAATTGCGTACAACGCAAAGGCGCCCAAAGGCGACCGCAGTCACGTAGTCACGCCCCAAAGGCAACAGAAGCAGCCCCAAGGAGAGCTCCTTTGGTTGCCGCTGTTGCCTTTTAAGTCGTGCTTATTTTCTGGGGAGCAGCGACTGCCAATATTTAATTAAGTTTGCGTTTTCTATTTCCTTACTTTTTCGCAGCTATTTTTATCATTTCGCCGTTTATATTTACTCTTCATTGTCGCCTAATAATCCGGCTCTAACTGCCGCTCATTAATACGGGCCTAATTTCGGCCTGCTGCCCGATATTTTCGGAGTTGGCATTAAAGAGCTTCCGAGGGCCGCAGCAAAAGCCATATTTATGATGTGGGATGCGTTAATTTGTCCCACGCGTCAGCGAAAATGTGCTGTAGAGCCCAAAACAATACAGCACCATAATTAATCTTCTTTGGCTCCTAACAAGGGCCAAACACAAGAGCCAAAAGGCAAACAGACCGAGAAAAAAAAAACAATTAGCAAAAGCCAACTTTCGCTTGCCGAATTATTTATACCTTTGCGAACGCGTTTCTGCTGAAATGAGTAAATTGCCAAGCCTGAAGCGATACTGAAACCGAATCAATTACAGTATTATCAAGTCTAGTTCACGAACTGAACCAAAAAGCAAGCTATAGGTTCGAATCGTGAACTGAAACGGGTTCACAAATGGAACGTCTAGCATAACCTTAGCTTTACTAACCTGAACCCTGAACCGAAACAATCTAAATAGTCGCAGAATCTGAACCGAACTGAATATAAATATATTTAGTTCTATAAATCAACTTCTATTTCTTAAAGCTGGTTCATGAACTGAACCAATAGGCAAGACCAGAATCGTGAGCGGAACTAGGGACATTTATCTTTATATTATATACTGTCTCTTATAATGTGACAGAATTATAGTACCCACGTAAGGGTATTAAAACACGCGCGTGAAATTCCTGTTGCGCTCTCTGCTGACTTCTCACTCGGCATATTTCCGTTTTCAACTGATATATTTTTGCGCATTTGCCAACACATGTCTTTATATGTTTGCCGTTGGCGCCCTTTTAAGCCCCTCCGAACCTCTGGCCTGCTCTTTGGCCGCATTCGAGCCGCTTTATTACAATATTTACCTCAATGTTGTTTACCTTTATCTTCTTGCTTCTGTTTTTACATTCATTTTGCTTTTGGATGAAGCACATTTTTGATGATGTCCTCTCATGCTTGTTATCTTTACGGCAGTTTCCGTTGCTTTTAATGGCACTCGGTTGTAATTTAATTTTGAATTTCACAATTTGCGCTGCACACTCAGCGGGCGTCTTGCCAAAATAAGGCAGCACAGCAAAGCATTTAATGAATATTTCAAGTGTTGTTGTTGTTGTTGCTGTTGTTGTTTTCGTCGAACCTTTTGCTATTTTTAGCTGCCACGCGAGCATCAAATCTTTGCTTATTGCCGCAAAAATTGAAGCCGACACGACAGCCTAAAGGACACAGGACACACAACAAAGGGCTTCCATAGATATTTAGGCAAGACGCATAAGTTACGTATACGCCCAGTTGGGCGAAGGAAAGCAACAACCTGCATGCTAATTCGCACTTTGACCCAAATACCAGACAAAAGCCCTTAAATATGTCCGCGCACACAGTCTGAGGAGGACGAGCCCTCTAGGACCTCAGTCAAGATTGACATGAACTAAGCAAATAATAAATTATTTCGAGCTAGCCTGCATGGGAAAACGCTTTGGCGCTTTCTCATGAAATATGCACGATGTGTTGGTAATTGAAGTCAATGCGCAAACAAAATGTCTACATTTTGGCCAATATATCGTCGCACTTGCCAAATATGCAACCAAATGGGCTATGCCCCAGAGATAGGGCTGACGAGTGTGGAG